TTGTATGTTCTCCCCGTGGTCGCGTGGATTTTTCCAGTTTTCCTTTCCACATTTAGAATCCACGTGTTAAGCATTTATTAATTGTGGCCAGGTCGCTTCTGAAAAAAGAGCTTTCTAGCTCAGTGTGCCTTACCTGTTAAAATAAAAATATATAGTTTAGTTTTAGTCAATAAGGTATTAGGACGAAACTTGCGATGGAATGGCGGCGAAAGTATAGGGAACGCACCCTGAGGGGATGACCACCATCGCGAAGACGATGGAGCCATTAGATCATTTCGTGTCCGGGAGCAAGTGAGATGGATTGGGGGTGTCAACGTGGGGGTGGGGGGCAGGTCTTCATCCAGCAGTGAATAGCCCATGGCTGACGATTAAGACGGACACCAATATCAAGGATTCACAGGCACTCCGTGAGTGTCGCACACACCCTGCATGTATGTCGAACTTCTTTCGCACCGTACGCAGCCAAGCATGCTGATCGGCGGTACATGTACAGCTCTTTTGTCAATCCACTGCTGGATGAGATCCACCCTCTCCACTCCCTGAACGCCATGGAGTGGTGGACCGGCGGGTAGCCTGACCACACCTTATCGCGTTGGTCAGTGTGAATTGAAGTCCTGGGGAAGCATAGATGTGGCAACACAGTACAACATAACAGATTGTACTTCACTCGCTCTCTGCTGCCTGCGTATGCAGCAAAGCCACGCAGCAGCCCTTTGATAGGCAACCTGCCGTGCGTGTGGTGGTGGTTGGTGGTCGCCCATCCTCGAGCAACTATCTCCAGGCTCAACCCCTGCCTAGCTTCAAAGGTCAGCCGAGACCTTGCGCATTGTGGGGTGACGTGGTCCGTAGTCGGTGACGCGCGTAACTTAAAACTTGGGTGAAACTACAGACCGTGAGTGTGCACGTGTCGTATATACGAGATGCTCCGATAAGCGCATTCTTAACTGATAGGTGGTGTCGTTTTAATAGCTTCGAGGCAACACACCATCCAAGCACTTGGCTGCTCACATGTATTTTGTTTTTAATGCTGTGTTTGTATGAACAAAATAGATTAGCTAACCACATGGATTGCTTTGATTCAAATAATTGCGGAACAAAATGTACCCAAAGTGTCGCCTTTAATAGACTGTTGGGGCAAGTGCTGTTAGCGGAGCAACTGTTAAGGCCTTTGTCTCCCCCAAGCCGAAGTTGCTACTCGGGCACCTGCAGGTAGTCATTTTAATGCTGAGTCTACCCAGTGGAGGCCAAGTATCCGTTCAGATAATCGTCACCGATTTTGGATGAGAGTGGGAATCGAACTCGGGTCGCTGGGTTTCGAAGTGCAGTGCGCTAACCACTGCGCCACCTCTCCCTACAATAGCACACAAAAAACAGAAACACAGACATACACAGATACACACAGGTATACAATAACACACACTGGTACCCACAGGTATACAATATTACACATGTACACACACGTATACAATAACATACGGGAACACAATAATGCTTACGCAACTATACAATTACACACAAGTATGCAATTATACACAAACACTGGTATAAAATTACACAATTACAGTACACACACGTGCATGCACACACTCGCTCACGTCTTGACAAGAACATCATGCTCGAGAGAGCGAGACGCAGGGTGAGTGAGGAGTTTCGAGGTGACGTTTATTCTTTACACAACCCGAGGCACATACTTGGCAAGGGGTCCCATTGTATTTTTTTTAAACTTCACACCTCAGGAAATTAAAAGTGGTGCAAAAGAATGAATGCAGCCAGGAGGCTCTGAGCCAAGCTTCAATCAGCCTGGGAGGTTCCTCCTTTTCCTCTGCTGCTTTTGAATGTCTAGATGCCCCCCTTTTCTCCCGCCAGTCCACCCTCCTCTTTGCCGATGATTGTGTCTCATTTAACATAAATGAAAAAAGTAGTCTCCTTTTCCCAGTGATGTGCATGTCCGACTGAATTGTAAAGAATCTTGACATCTGATAGTTTAGGCGCTACATGAATCAACATTGTATTTTTTATTTAAGCACCGTTCATTATTCACCCCAGCGTGAGTTTAGTGGAAACAATTCGTGGACTACCTGTGAAAGGAACACCGTATCAAGAGTCCGAGCCGGCAGTGTTGAAGACCCTGCGTTTGAGTTCGGGGTTCAGCCTCCCGTGATTAAACCCGGCCTCTCAAGTTGTAGTGGGTGCTATGCTTCTCACCAGGACTAAAGCAGGAAGTTATTTTCCCCCAATTATATTCCTTAATTAATCATCAAATAGAGCAAGTGAAGACGTATAAGTATCTTGGGGTCCTCTTTGATTCAAAACTGAATTTTCAAGATCACATTGATTATATTGGTAAAAAGACAAAAAAATTGGTTTTCTGTATCCACACAAGCACTGCTTCCTCCCTATGTTCCACTTGGAATTGATTAAAGCTACCGTACTGCCTCTACTTGATTACTGTGACATCGTATATAAATCAGCCCCCAGTTCTATACTGAAGAAGCTTGACTCAATTTATCACTCAGCCTTAAGATTTGCATTGAACTGCCCATATAGGACCCACCAATACGATGCGACATTGGGTCAAACTTAACTTCTCTTAATGATCGATGGCTTGTCCATCAGATATTATTTACTCACGATGTACTTACAAAAAAATCAGCAGACTACCTGGTGGATCTCCTCACTGTTTCGAAGAACAAATGTGACCTAAGGTCTACACTCATTTACCAGCTTCACATTCCTTATTGCTGTACAAATACTGGAGGAAGGGCCTTTTCTATTGATGCCCCCAGGGTCTGGAATGCTATTGCCAATAAACTGTAACTTGGATTACTACCTGTGAGATCTTCACTCAAAACTGCTCTAGGGGAGTTGTACACTGCTATTCAGAATGGCCTGAAATCAAATGTATCGTTACGGATGACCGCTGCAAAGTATGATCTTGAGTTTTGATTATAGTGTGCTGATCTTTAAAGGTGTATTGAAATTTTTTGATTCTGCTACTGATACTCCCGCTGTTATGGAGTGACTAATGCAGCCAGCTATGGCTGCAACGTTTGGTCGTGCATGTTACTTATATCGTTTATTGTTACATTTTAAATCAGTTCCTATGATCATTGTTACATTGTTTTTATAGCTTTATTTTGGTGATTTTGAAAACGTTTTGGTTTAGCCATGTTTGTTGCAGTACAGCGTTAGCCTGATAACTTTAATCTACATTGACTTTTGGTTGTTATTGTTTGACTTGCATCCCACTGGGATTTTTGCAAACAGCGTTTTAAATACGGTGCTTTTTCTGGAAGACTTTGCTGTTTTTTCCTGGATTTTTGTCTGTTGCGTGTAGTCACTTTAAGATGTTTTCTTTGTTCATGTTTTAGTTTGTTGCGGTTGCACCCGAGTCAAGAGCCGCATGGCTCACAGGGTTATACCTTATACATGAAACTGAAACACGTAGGCTTTCGCGACCAATAGCCATAATAGATGTGGTGGCGGGTTTTAACGGCGCATATTTAAGCGGTCTAACCCAAAAAAAACCTATTATGGATTGTAGTGGGTTGATGGTCTTCAGCGTGGTCGCCAGTGACTGGATGAAAACAACCCCCATCACATTTAATGCAATGCAGTTGGGAATATTTTGGCTTCGAGAAGTTAAAACATAAGTCTGACTGTTAAGCTATAAACACCTCTAATTAAACAAATCATGTATTGATGATGCTGCTGATGCTGCTGCGTTGACAGAGGTGCACAAGCACAATTAACACGATATATTTTTGAACAATGTGACGTTTTGGGTAATTGCCTTCATAGCACGCAAATGAACACGTCCTATAGCAGGGCGTGTGGGAAGGTGACACCAGCACTTAGTTGCGGGCGGGGGGCAATTCAAGACGCCTCTAATACAAAATAAAGTTTTTTTTATTTGACCAGGTAATGCCCACTGAGCTGTATAACTCTTTTCAGAAGCCACCTGACTTTCACAAATGATAGCTCAAAGTAGTGGCTTATCGCGTGGAAATTTAAAGCAGCAGCCAAATACTTGAAACGCGTGATGTCGATTATTAATGTGGAGGGAAAAACTGGAGGACCTGGAGAAAAATCCACGCGACCCACGGGGAGAGAGACACGCAAACTCCAAATATACAGCAGCAGGCGTCAGGGTCGGGATCGAACCCACGACCTTGGATACTAAGGCGAGGGAGATAACATTTGCGATGTCAAATTTCCAGAGGCTGCTCTCCAAAACGAGTTGGTGCGATGCCCTCTGGTAGAGTTCAGAGTAAATGCTGTACGATTTCCTGGTTAGATTAATAGCATAGTGTGGTGCGATTAATTATAATTCTAAGCTTTGTGAGAGGCATTTATTTGAAGAAAGATGAGATGCAAATTTGAATGATCGTTTAATCTCAGCAGCAGCGGGGGTAGCGAGGTGTCAGATTGCCTGGGGAATGGTGCCAGGTGCCGAGTGCGGAGGACACTGCCAATACCCTTAACAAAGATCCCCTGTATAGCCTTGATATATTTTTGGGGCAAGTGCTATGAGCGATTCTCGCACCTATGAAGGCCGGCAGGACACACGAAGAGATAGCTGGGTGGCTAGAACCTCGCCTGGCCACCTTTGTCTCCCTGGTGGCGATGTCTAACACATCGCTCAAGGTACTAATGTGAGGCTGAGTCGACACTCGTGAAGGATCAGATAATTGCTCGCCGGTGTTGTTCGTAGAGCAGTGCGCGAAAAACCGCTCCCTCCAAACACTCTGCGCTACCACTCCCTACCGCCCACCCGAGCGTTTGCCCCGTGTCTCACCATCACCACGACTCCGTGACATTTGCGCAACCGTGGCTCAAGCAGGGGATTAGTGTCTCCGAGTGGCCAAGTTTGTAATGTAAATATTCTCGCCGTCTCCTCCGAGCCTGGCACGCAAACGCCGCGCCCCTCTTTCTCAAAAGTCACCGGTGACGCCTCCTAGGTGGGGGGGGGGGGGCTATAAAGGTAGCCCCCCCACCCCACACGCACCCAAGCGCCACATGCAGAGAGCCTCCTGGAAGGTAACCTGGAACGAGGACATGGCCCGGTTGAACCTCGGCATCGTCATCCTTGTGGCACTGGGAGCCCCGCTCTGCTGGAGGTGTCGCGCGGGTCCGCTTGCGCCGAGCGGCGAAGTGAAGGCCGGCCCTGCCGTGGAGAGGAAAGGAGTGGTGAAGATGGTGAGATGATGTTGGTGATGGTGGTGGTAGTGGTGATGATGATGATGTTGGTGATGATTGGTGATGGTTAGTGGTGGTAGTGATTGTGATGTTGGTGATCTTAGTGGTGGTAGTGATGATGATGGTGATGTTGATGATGGTTGGTGGTGGTGATAGTGATGATGATGTTGGTGATGGTTAGTGGTGGTAGTGATGGTGATGGTTAGTGGTAGTAGTGATGGTTGGTGGTGCTATAGGTGGTGGTGAGTGATGGTGATGATGATGATGATTTGTTTTTGATAGAGCCGCCCTAGAAGCTGAGGCGTCCCAGATCGCTCTCCACCTCGCATACCAACGCATGTGAAAAGGCACCCCCAGTGGCAGCTGTCTCTGTGCGGTATAATGACTTCCAGCACCTGGCCTGCAATTGCACATTAGTCTGCCAGGCAGGGGGCGATTTTTGCGACGATGTGTTTAATCCCAATTGAGTAATTTGCCGGTAGATTATGAATTTGGCAAATTTGATGATCATGATAATGATGATTTGTGTTGGTAGTAGTTGATGACGGTGACTACGATGATGATTGGTTGCTGTACTGGTGGCTATGATGGTCATACATGATCGTGATGATAATGATCACTTAGAGTGATGATGATAATGTGATGACCATGGCAATAATCGTGATCATGCTTATGGTTATATCATGATGATGATGATTGAAGGTGGTGATGATTACGCTCATTGCTGTGGGTGAAGAGGAGTGATGTTAGCGTTGGTTGGTATAGCAATGATGTTGATGACTACAACTCGTGGTGGTAATAACTGTGTTGATGATCACATCACAATGATCATGATATGACGCTGATGACTAAAGATGATATTGATTACCACGACCGTGATGCTCATTATGAGTTATAACAATGATGACCGGACATATATGCTGATAACTCCATCATCATTGTGCCGATACCATTGATGACTGAGGACAGCTGTGATGCTGATCACTCAGCCTCGTGCATTGTGCAAAAAACCCTCAACAGTTCCTGCAGAAATCCAAATGTGGTCCTGTTGCCTTAGCTCAACATCAAATAAATTGTGAACACGCGTGACAGACTGACAGCTGGCCTGAGACGCACATAGATCGGTTTCATCCTGATGAGGCCTCATCAGTACGGTATCGTCACCGGTGCCCACCGACTGTGATGCCGATGATGATGACGACTACCGCGGCCTCTGCCCCAAGGTGCCCCCCGGTCCCGCTGACCACAACAGCGGCGTGAAGAGCTGGGCTAAGGGGCAGCTGGTGCGGGAGGGAGACATGATGATGACTCTGGAGCAGGAGGCAAGAATATCGCGTCTTCTGGCTCCGTGGGGCCCAGGCGGCGCCTCACGCAAGGCCACCTCAGACCTCGCCTTAAGATGGCCGCTGGCAGTGGTGCCCTACAGCCTGGACCCCATGCTCAGTAAGGGGCGCCCTCAGGACCTCCCAACCCTCACCTCCTTCCTCAAGCATTTTCCCCAAAAACCCTACTCCACCTTGTTCTGTAGTTTCCCTCAAGATTTATCATCAAATCCTCCTACACCATGTTATGTAGATAGTTTCTCTCAAGATTTATCATGAAATCCTCCTACACCTTGTTCTGTAGATATTTTCTCTCAAGATTTATCATGAAATCCTCCTACACCTTGTTATGTAGATAGTTTCTCTCAAGATTTATCATCAAATCCTCCTACACCATGTTATGTAGATGGTTTCTCTCAAGATTGATCATGAAATCCTCCTACACCATGTTCTGTATATTGTTTCTCTCAAGATTTATCATCAAATCCTCTTACACATTGTTATGTAGATAGTTCCCCTCAAAATTCCTCCCCAAACCCTTCTCCACCTTGTTCTGTAGATAGTTTCCCTCAAGGATTCACTCATAACCTCCTCAAGGATTCACTGGTAGCCTCCTCTGTCGCCTTCCATTTATGGTCCAGGGTTTCCGCGATGTGACAATATGACGATTATAGCGATGTCACTTTCCTGTAACTTTACAATTCTACAAAGTTATGGATGAAGCGTATACAGTGCAGTCATGTGTTTCACATTTGTATTATGTGTGCTTTAGTGAAGTGGATAGACTCGCCCGGCTATATTAACGTAGAATTTTCCACGTGTAAACACTCGTTAATGGGCCGATAGCGCCTTCATACGTAGAGGACCGCAGAACTTGGACAAAATTGTTGAGGCCCGGCTCGCCCGCGTGGCTGCTGCCTTCCCGCTCGTCTGTGGTCGCTCCTTGCGCCTCTTGAGTCGTCCTCTCTCCCCTTCGAGAGAAAAGAGCGAAGACGGTGAGCGACTTGTAACTTTCATCATCACCGGTGTGTCGTATCGATAGTTCAATGCTAATGTGCCATTTAAATTGAGGGGCTGCTTACTGTGTGGTGTTATCTTGGTGTGGTCTGGGACTGTTGCCTTGCCCAAGCTTCATAAATCTGACTTATATAATTTAAGTGATTTATTATTTATTCATATTTAGTGACTTGCTTGACCACCTTCCCTATTTTGCACACCTATCGGTTAGGGAGACATCTGTGGGAGAAACAAAAAAACAGCTTCATAGCTCATTGGATTCCTCCTCTCGCAGTCTTAAGTAAAGATCCCGGTTCCGACTTCAATTGTCGTTATCCCTTGCACAGGTGTAGCGGCTCTCAATGGAATCCGCGCGGCCATGGCGAGCTGGGAGGACAACACCTGCATTCGATTTCTGCCCCGGGAGGTGGCCGCTCTGCGCGGGGTCACCCACTCCAACTACGTGGCCTTGAAACCACTCAGCGGGTGAGGCCAGCTTCGTCGTCATCAGCGGGTACCAGCAGCAGCAGCATCATCAGCGGTACCAGCAGCAGCATCATCAGCGGTACCAGCAGCAGCATCATCAGCGGTACCAACAGCAGCAGCATCATCATCAGCGGTACCAGCAGCATCGTCAGCGGTACCAGCAGAATCATCAGCGGTACCAGCATCATCAGCGGTACCAGCAGCATCATCAGCGGTACCAGCAGCATCATCAGCAGTGCCAGCATCATCATCAGCGGTACCAGCAGCTTCATCATCAGCGGTACCAGCATCATCATCATCAGCGGTACCAGCAGTATCATCAGCGGTACCAGCATCATCATCATCATCAGCGGTACCAGCAGTATCATCAGCGGTACCAGCAGCTTCATCATCAGCGGTACCAGCATCATCAGCGGTACCAGCAGCATCATCATCAGCGGTACCAGCAGCATCATCATCAGCGGTACCAGCAGTATCATCAGCAACAGTAGCATGAGCAGCGGAATCGGCTGCATAATTAGCAGCAGCAGTAGCGGAAGAATCACAATGATCATCATCAGCAGTAGCATGAGCAGCAGTAGCAGGAGAAGTCTCATCTTCATGAGCAGCAGAATCATCATGATAAATTATCAGTAGTATCATCATGATCATTGGCAGCAGCATTACAATCCTCATTACCACCACTGTCATAATAAGCCCGAAAATCAATCATAATTACCGTTACCACCACTGTCATCACCACAAGCATCACACACACGCAACCCTCATGGTCATCTCTGTCCCTGCTTGTGCTATCTGTGTGTAGGTGTTGGTCCTTCGTGGGCATGATCGGCGTGGGTGAGCAGGTCGTGTCCATCGGCCGCGGCTGCGAGGGGGTGAGTGAGCGACACGCACGAAGCTGGTAACGAACAAATCGACTTATGAACAGACATTTGGAACCTAACGCGTCCCGGTACACTGTTTCTTTTATTTACATGATAAAACGTATTATTTTCCATATATTGTCTTTGTTTACAACATGAATGGTAAGTTATGAAGTGTTTTCGTATACGAATGGTAAGTTACGAAGGCTGAGAACGCATCCTCATAATACTAATGTTATAGCTGATTCACTATACGAATTTTCAATATACGAACGAAGCTCCAGGAAAGAATCTACTGTGTACATCACGGTATTACTGTGGTGAGTAATCGACCAATAGAGCATAGCACCTGGAGAGAACCCACACATGGAAGGGGGAACACCGCAGTGACCATGGAACGTCCGGCCAACGTTGGCCGGACGTTCCGTGCTTCCCCCTCCTGCGCATGGGGTTTCTCGAGGCGCTCCAGTTTCCTCCCACACTCATTCATTGGCCAATAACACCTTCATATGTAGAGGGCCACAGAGCTTGGGCAGTTGTTGGCGTCGGCTCATCGCATGGCTACCTTCCTGCTTGTCTGCCGTTCTCTGTCTACGAGTGAGCGGATACTGTGCGGCTGCGTGTTACAAGTCGAAATGATTCATTAAAACTAAACTAAACTATTTTTATTATACCAGCTAAGGCCCACTGAGCTGTGTAGCTCTTTTTCAGAAGTGACCTGGCTATCACAAATGACAGCTCAACGAAGTGGCTTGAGATGTGGAGAAAAATCCACGCGACCACGGGAAGAGAAACACGCAAACTCCAAACGTGCAGCAGGCGTCAGGGTCGAGATCGAACCCACGACCTCCTGCATACCAGGCAAGGGAGTTAACATCTCGCCACCGCGGCGTCCCATTATGATCATCACACGCTATGCCTCGTGCACGCGTGCGTGTGTTCGTGCGTGTGTGCGTGTCCGTGTGTGCGTGCGTGTCCGTGTGTGCGTGCGTGCGTGCGTGTCCGTGTGTGCGTGCGTGTGTGCGTGCCCGTGCGCGCCCAGGTGGGCACAGTGGCACACGAGCTGGGCCACGCCGTGGGCTACGTGCACGAGCAGTCTCGCCCGGACCGCGACGCGTTCATCTCGGTGCTGGAGGGGAACGTCCAGGACGGGCAGCTGCCCCAGTTCGCCGTCTACAGCGCGACAGACCCACGTGGGGTGCCCTACGACCTCAAGTCCGTCATGCACTACAGTCGCAACGTGCGTGCGGGACGCGTGACCGGCCGTGCGGAATTCCGGCCGGAATTGTCCGGAACGCTGCTAAAACACAAACGTTGTAACTGGCATTGGCTAAAATATCGCAATGCTGAAAAAAATCGACCAGTTGGCAAATTCGCGTGACTGCCAGGAGGTCAGCTGACCCGACGTACGTCGGTGGGCACACCCGTGCCTCGCTCTGAGATGGGGCCTAGGTTCAAGTCCCGACTCGGGTGCCTTTCTGCGTGGAGTTAGTATGTTCTCTCACTGTTCTGCAGGGTGTGAGTGTGTGAGAATGAGTGAGTGTGAGTGTGAAGTATGTTCTCCCACTGTTCTGCAGGGTGTGAGTGTGTGAGAATGAGTGAGTGTGAAGTGTGTTCTCTCACTGCTCTGCAGGGTGTGAGTGTGTGAGAATGAGTGAGTGTGAAGTATGTTCTCTCACTGTTCTGCAGGGTGTGAGTGTGTGAGAATGAGTGAGTTTGAGTGTGAAGTATGTTCTACCCCACTGTTCTGCAGGGTGTGAGTGTGTGAGAATGAGTGAGTGTGAGTGTGAAGTATGTTCTCCCACTGTTCGGCAGGGTGTGAGTGTGTGAGAATGAGTGAGTGTGAGTGTGAAGTGTGTTCTCTCTCACTGTTCTGCAGGGTGTGAGTGTGTGAGAATGAGTGAGTGTGAGTGTGAAGTATGTTCTCCCACTGTTCGGCAGGGTGTGAGTGTGTGAGAATGAGTGAGTGTGAGTGTGAAGTATGTTCTCTCACTGTTCTGCAGGGTGTGAGTGTGTGAGAATGAGTGAGTGTGAGTGTAAAGTATGTTCTACCCCACTGTTCTGCAGGGTGTGAGTGTGTGAGAATGAGTGAGTGTGAGTGTGAAGTATGTTCTCCCACTGTTCTGCAGGGTGTGAGTGTGTGAGAATGAGTGAGTGTGAGTGTGAAGTATGTTCTCTCACTGTTCTGCAGGGTGTGAGTGTGTGAGAATGAGTGAGTGTGAAGTGTGTTCTCTCACTGCTCTGCAGGGTGTGAGTGTGTGAGAATGAGTGAGTGTGAAGTATGTTCTCTCACTGTTCTGCAGGGTGTGAGTGTGTGAGAATGAGTGAGTTTGAGTGTGAAGTATGTTCTACCCCACTGTTCTGCAGGGTGTGAGTGTGTGAGAATGAGTGAGTGTGAGTGTGAAGTATGTTCTCCCACTGTTCGGCAGGGTGTGAGTGTGTGAGAATGAGTGAGTGTGAGTGTGAAGTGTGTTCTCTCTCACTGTTCTGCAGGGTGTGAGTGTGTGAGAATGAGTGAGTGTGAGTGTGAAGTATGTTCTCCCACTGTTCGGCAGGGTGTGAGTGTGTGAGAATGAGTGAGTGTGAGTGTGAAGTATGTTCTACCACTGTTCGGCAGGGTGTGAGTGTGTGAGAATGAGTGAGTGTGAGTGTGAAGTATGTTCTCCCACTGTTCGGCAGGGTGTGAGTGTGTGAGAATGAGTGAGTGTGAGTGTGAAGTATGTTCTCCCACTGTTCGGCAGGGTGTGAGTGTGTGAGAATGAGTGAGTGTGAGTGTGAAGTGTGTTCTCTCACTGTTCTGCAGGGTGTGAGTGTGTGGGAATGAGTGAGTGTGAGTGTGAAGTATGTTCTACCCCACTGTTCTGCAGGGTGTGAGTGTGTGAGAATGAGTGTGAGTGTGAAGTATGTTCTATCCCACTGTTCTGCAGGGTGTGAGTGTGTGAGAATGAGTGTGAGTGTGAAGTGTGTTCTCTCTCACTGTTCTGCAGGGTGTGAGTGTGTGAGAATGAGTGTGAGTGTGAAGTGTGTTCTATCCCACTTCTGCAGGGTGTGAGTGTGTGAGAATGAGTGTGAGTGTGAAGTATGTTCTATCCCACTGTTCTGCAGGGTGTGAGTGTGTGAGAATGAGTGAGTGTGAAGTGTGTTCTATCCCACTGTTCGTCAGGGTGTGAGTGTGTGAGAATGAGTGAGTGTGAGTGTGAAGTGTGTTCTCTCCCACTGTTCTGCATGCGTTTCTTTCTGGTTCTCAGCTTTTCTCCCATAGCTCACGAGAAATGACGTCCAACATCACTTGTATTGGACAAAAACATTCCAGTGCTGAACATTGTACCTGCAAATCTACTCCACTTGGATGACACACATACTAAACTAAACCTTTTATTTTTCGATTTAAAGCTTTCGTGACTGCAGGGATTCATATTCTTGGTTCTTTCGGTAAAGTCACGTAGAAGGGAAATAAAACATAAAACAATAAAATGAATTTCTCACGACACTGCTAAGCTTGGCAGCGCATTTTTAGCTTGTGTTCATTAGGACGCTGTCTTTCCGACAGTTCTGTTTCTTCACCTGAGGACGGTTGCTTGCATTGTGGCCGAAACGTCGTGAGAATTTTATTTTATAATGTTTTGTTTTATTATTTTATTATTTCCCTTCTACATGACTTTACCGAAAGAACCAAGAATATAAACCTTTTATTTCACCAGGTAAGGCCCACTGAGCTATATAGCTCATTTTCAAAAGTGAGATGGCCAGAAATGATAGCTCCAGGCTTATCGTATGGAAATTTATAGCAGCCAAAGACACTACACGCATGATGTTTATTCTAAATGTGGAGGGAAAAACCAGAGGATCCGGAGAAAATCCACGTGACCACGGAAAGAACGTGCAGACTCCAAATATACAGCAGGCGTCAGGGTCGGGATCGAACGCATGACTTCCTGCATACCAGGCGAGGTAGTTAACATCTCCCCACCGAGTATTAGGCAACATCATCCAATACTGTGAGTTATTGGCAGCACGCTTCCAAAAAAAGAGTCTTGAGACTCAGGGAGGCTTTTTTCCTGAGTAAACAAGCGTTTAATTTACTCTTTAAACTGGCCTTTACCTCCTAGTTCTGACCGTGAACCCTGTAGGTTTAGTTTATTTCCTGGTTTTCACACACCGGGGGCGATTTGGGATCTACGGGTGAAATATGTACCGCCTTACACATGTACATCATCATCATTATTATTTGTTGACATGGTGATGCGGCGGCATGTTAACTTGTGAACATGTGACGTGGTGTCGGGGTCACGTGCACATGTGACGTGGTGTCGGGGTCACGTGCACAGGCGTTCTCCAAGGACGGCGTGAGTGAGACGATCCGTGTTAAGGACCCGGAGAAGGGAGGGTGGATCGGGCAGAGGGAGGGGCTCAGCTTCCTCGACGTGAAGCTGGCCAACATCATCTACAGTTGTCACGGTAGGGGCACAAAGACAAATGTTCCCCGTGTAGCGTCGACCGACTGTTGGGGCAAGTGCTGTGTGGGGCACCGCCGTGGCGAGATGTTAATGACCTCAACTGGTGTGGAGGAGGTCGTGGGTTCGATCCCGATCCCGACCCTGACACCTGCTGCTGTATATTTGGAGTCTGCGTGTTCTCCCCGTGGTCACGTGGATTTTCTCCGGATCCTCCGGTTTTTGCCTCCATATTTAGAAACACGCGTTTAGAGTCTTTGGCTGCTAATACATTTTCACATGATAAGCCACTTCGTTCAGATATCATTTGTGGCCAGGTCGCTTATGAAAATGAGCTATACAGGTCAATCGGCCTTACCTGATAAAATAAAAAAATGAATGCCAGCACGGCACATGAGGTGGTTGGTTGGTAACAACACGCTCGCTCGGCCGCCTTTGTCTCCCCAGTACTTAGCAAGTCCACTCAGCTCCACATCCTCCTGTGCCACATCAGCCCATATCTTCTCGAGCCCGTTTAGCCCCATCTATCCAGCCAAACAGAAGCTGCTTGGCCATGTGCTGGCTGGGAATGCAGGCTTCATGACCCAGTCAACGATCTGTCCAGATATTTCAAGGATCTCTGAGCTCCTCGCACAATCCAATCTGGTGAAACTCAGGATGGATCGTGGGTCGGCTAGCCACTCGTTCACTTATATGCCCACCCGCCCACTCCCTCGGTCGATCGCCTTCTCGTCACTCTTACATCGCTATCACCATGGTAACTTGTTTCCGTGAGCTTCACTCTGATTCCTACACCCATGTTGAGGAGTCAGTCCACCAGACTGAGTCAGTCTACCAGACTGTTTCATCCCATCCACCACACTGCAGGCTACAACAAGACACTCACCTACACAATCTCACCAAGCCGCTCACCCACTGATTCAAAAACAAATATCCCCCATATAGTTTGTTTAACAGACTGTTAGGACATGTACGGTTACCCAACACCTATGAAGGCCGGCATGGCACACGAAGGGGGTGGGTGGCCAGCACCACGCTCGACCCCCTTCGGGAGAAGGCCCAGGACTGGTTCAGATAATCGTCACTGGTGTTTGCCGTGAGCTCCCCACACGCTCTCTCTCACCCACACGCGCACCCACTCACTCACCCACTCACCCGACCACTCAATCACTCACCCGCCCTCTCTCTCTCTCACCCACACGCGCACCCACTCACCCACCCACTCAATCTCTCACTCACCCACCTACTCCCTCAATCACCCCCATCGCTCACCGATGCCCCCCTTCACCCATGCCCCCCTCCGCCCCGCCCCGTGCAGGAGACTGCTCCCTGCCGTGTCTGTACGGTGGGATCCCTGCCCCGGGCTGCGATCGTTGCCTCTGCCCGCACGGACTCACGGGGGACCTGTGCCAGGACGTGTTCACGCAGCCAGGCTTGGGTGTGATGATGATGATGATGTTGCTGCTGCGATGTGTGATGATGCTGCTGAGATGTGTGCTGTGGGGTTTCTGCTGCGCGATGTGCGATGATGGCAGACAACATGGCAGCAAGGGTAAACTCTCACCTCCCGCCACGGTGGGGGGAGGTTAATGACCTCGCCTGGTATACAGGAGGTCGTGGGTTCGATCCCGACCCTGACACCTGGGTATTTGGAGTTGGCGTGTCTCTCTCCCCGTGGTCGCGTGGATTTTTCTCCTGGTCCTCCGGTTTTTGCCTCCACATTTTAGACGCATGCATTTAGAGTATTTGGCTGCTGTACATTTCGACGTGGTGATAAGCCACTCCGTTGAGCTGTCATTTGTGGCCAGTTCGCTTCTGAAAAAGAGCTACATAGCTCAGTGGGGCCTTACCTGGTAACATTAAACATTTGGTCTTCTGGCCACGACGAGAGGCCTTCAGCAGAAAGAGTTCGTGTCGTCTTGCTGTTCCTCATCCTCCATTGAGAAGCGCAGGCGACAGTGGGTTCACTATGCGGTCCGTGGCATGGGTTACATGGCCACTGTCGCACTGCTGTGGTTTGTCTTTAACGTATCTATATGGCTCTCAATAGCTATTGATGTCTGTGTATCACGGAGTCTATATATATCTCTGTCTATGAGTATATATCTATGAGTATGTATCACTGTCTCTCTCTGTATCTACGAGTCTGTCTCTCTGAGTCTATCTCGATGTGTATCTGAGTATCCGTCTCCTCGTATCTCCACGAGCCTCTATCTCTATGGGTCTCTGGGTTTGCTGTGCGGTCCGTCGTCTGGGTTGTACAGCCACAATCACACTGCTGTGGCTCTTCTTTAATTTTCCTTTCATGAAGTATATGTACACTGTGCGACGACAAGACGAGTCCAGAACCGGTAGCCCGGAGCTCCCCGCTCTCCGCTGCTTTTATTCCCCTCGGCGTGGCCTGGCTCCGCCCTAGCCACGCCTCCCTTCTCGAACCCACCAGAGGCCTGGCTCCGCCCTAGCCACGCCTCCCTTCTCGAACCCACCAGAGGGTTCCAGGGGCCTCCCCACGAGGTCTACCGTGACCCTTGCCCCAGTTACTCCGCCCTGCCGGCACACACACACACCGTGTACATGCTCAATGGCGTGTGCGCTAAGTCTCCACCTGCAGTTACTGCTGCTGCAGTGAAGCAGTCGGCGCTCTGTCACTACAAATGTATGCTTCGTCTTTGAAACTGATTGGCCTACACCAGAGACGGCAGACTTCTGTCTGGCCTCGTCTCACTACTAGTGTTAGACCAGAGAACAACGGCAACAGGCGAGCAGTACACAGACAATGCACGTTCAGAGCACTTAGAGCACAGGCCGAGCAGTTATATCCATGGGATACCTTTTTGCCAGTATCCAATAATGATGAAAAATATAGATAATAAAGGGTTTTGCCATTTCTGGAAATAAAACAGGTGTTGTGTTAAGATGTTCATACACCAAATAGAAACCTTTTGCAAGGCAACATCAAGTCTGCATTAGCCACACGTCCTTGTGGCTAAACGCGCAAACAAACACGCTCTGACAATGTATACATTCTCTTTGAAGGTGATTGGCCAACACCAGAGACGGCAGCCTTCTGTCTGGCCTTGTCTCACTACCAGTGGTAGACCAGAGAACAACGCCAACAGGCGAACAGTACAAAGACAATGCAAGTATCAGAGCACTTAAAGCTCGCAAAGCTGTCAACCCACAAGTTTTACCCCATATTCTTGTACAGGGGAATTGAGTTTTCAGGTCCATACAGCGTACAGCCGCTTCAATACGGTGTTTCTCCCTTGTGATGGGACTTTGTAGGATGAACGTTCAGATTTCTAAGGGCACGGGGTGACCAGTAAGGTCTGAATTGGTCAGTAATATGGTGGGGCACTGATAGGGGGTTGACAGGTATGATCTCGCATTGAGCAGCTGTATTTATGGGACACTTGTTTGATTGTCAGAAAGGGTCAAACCTATTCTTACATATTTTTTATCGCGATACAATGTTATACTGGTTGTTTGGTGGTGGTGGTGCTGCTGCTGCTGCTGCGTGATGCTGTGCCGGTGCGATGTTGTACTATACTATGTGCGGCGCGCTAGTCTGTGGAGGGCTGCTGAACGCCACCCAGGGATACATCTCGTCCCCCGGGTACCCGGCTGCCTACCCCAACAATGCACACTGCGTCTGGCTCATCCAGGTGAGTGGAGGGGTACTGTTAGGGGTAGTGTTAGGGGTAGTGTTGTCATTGTTAGGGGTAGTGATATTGTCAGTGATATGTCAATGTTACGGGCAGTGTTAGTGTCAGTGTTAGGCGGCCATCATAGGTGCTACTCGCTAACAGCACTTTCCCCAACAGCCTATAAAGGCTCTAGGGGCGATCTTTGCCTTTGTTAGTGTCATTGTTGTTGCTAGGGGTAGGGTTAATTGCAGGTTAGGGAATAATTTCAGGGTCGGCGTTTGCTTCGCACTCCTACTAGGAGGATTGGGATGAGCTGGCCGCCTCTAGGCCTTCCATAAATATCTCCCTGTCCCCCCCCCCCGTCTCACCCCCACCCTGTCCATACCCCCCCCCCTCCCACCCCCCAGGCCCCCCCCGGGGGCACGGTGACGCTGTACGTGGAGGACGCGTCGCTGGAGAGCGTCTCCTACTGCTCCTTTGATTACATCGAGATCCGCACGCAGGGCGCAGACACGGCAGGGGCACGGTACAGGACCCCTATAACGCCCCCTAGTAGAGGACCCCTATAGCAGCCCCTAGTAGAGGAACCCTATAACATCCCTAGTAGAGGACCCCTATAGCAGCCCCTAGTAGAGGACCCCTATAACGCCCCCTAGTAGAGGACCCCTATAGCAGCCCCTAGTAGAGGAACCCTATAACATCCCCTAGTACAGGACCCCTATAACATCCCCTAGTAGAGGACCCCTATAACATCCCTTAGTAGAGGACCCCTATAACACCCCCTAGTACAGGACCCCTATAACATCCCTAGTAGAGGACCCTTATAACACCCCCTAGTACAGGACCCCTATAACATCCCCTAGTAGAGGACCCCTATAACATCCCCTAGTAGAGGACCCCTATAACATCCCTAGTAGAGGACCCCTATAACATCCCCTAGTAGAGGACCCCTATAACACCCCCTAGTACAGGACCCCTATAACACCCCCTAGTACAGGACCCCTATAACACCCCCTAGTACAGGACCCCTATAACATCCCCTAGTAGAGGACCGCTATAACATCCCTAGTAGAGGACCCCTATAACATCCCTAGTACAAGACCCCTATAACGCCCCCTAGTACAGGACCCCTATAACATCCCCTAGTAGAGGACCCCTATAACATCCCTAGTAGAGGACCCCTATAACATCCCTAGTAGAGGACCCCTATAACACCCCTAGTAGAGGACCCCTATAACACCCCCTAGTACAGGACCCCTATAACATCCCCTAGTAGAGGACCCCTATAACATCCCTAGTAGAGGACCCCAATAACACCCCCTAGTACAGGACCCCTATAACATCCCTAGTAGAGGACCCCTATAACACCCCCTAGTACAAGACCCCTATAACACCCCTAGTAGAGGACCCCTATAACACCCCCTAGTACAGGACCCCTATAACATCCCCTAGTAGAGGACCCGTATAACATCCCTAGTAGAGGACCCCAATAACACCCCCTAGTACAGGACCCCTATAACATCCCCTAGTAGAGGACCCCTATAACATCCCCTAGTAGAGGACCCCTATAACATCCCCTAGTAGAGGACCCCTATAACATCCCTAGTAGAGGACCCCTATAGCAGCCCCTAGTACAGGACCCCTATAACATCCCTAGTAGAGGACCCCTATAACACCCCCTAGTGGAGGACCCCTATAACATCCCTAGTACAGGACCCCTATAACGCCCCCTAGTACAGGACCCCTATAACATCACTAGTAGAGGACCCCCATAACATCCCTAGTAGAGGACCCCTATAACACCCCCTAGTAGAGGACCCCTATAACATCCCCTAGTAGAGGACCCCTATAACATCCCCTAGTAGAGGACCCCTATAACATCCCTAGTAGAGGACCCCTATAACACCCCCTAGTACAGGACCCCTATAACACCCCCTAATAGAGGACCCCTATAACACCCCCTAGTACAGGACCCCTATAACATTCCTAGTAGAGGACCCCTATAACACCCCTAGTAGAGGACCCCTATAACATCCCCTAGTAGAGGACCCCTATAACATCCCTAGTAGAGGACCCCTATAACACCCCCTAGTACAGGACCCCTATAACACCCCCTAGTACAGGACCCCTATAACATCCCCTAGTAGAGGACCCCTATAACATCCCTAGTAGAGGACCCCAATAACACCCCCTAGTACAGGACCCCTATAACATCCCCTAGTAGAGGACCCTTATAACATCCCCTAGTAGAGGACCCCTATAACATCCCTAGTAGAGGACCCCTATAGCAGCCCCTAGTACAGGACCCCTATAACATCCCTAGTAGAGGACCTCTATAACATCCCCTAGTAGAGGACCCCTATAACATCCCTAGTAGAGGACCCCTATAACATCCCTAGTACAGGACCCATATAACACCCCCTAGTACAGGACCCCTATAACACCCCCTAGTACAGGACCCCTATAACATCCCTAGTGGGGGACCCCTATAACACCCCCTAGTACAGGACCCCTATAACATCCCTAGTAGAGGACCCCTATAACACCCCCTAGTGGAGGACCCCTATAACATCCCTAGTACAGGACCCCTATAACTCCCCCTAGTACAGGACCCCTATAACATCCCTAGTGGGGGACCCCTATAGCAGCCCCTAGTACAGGACCCCTATAACATCCCTAGTAGAGGACCCCTATAACATCCCTAGTACAGGACCCCTATAACACCCCTAGTACAGGACCCCTATAACACCCCCTAGTACAGGACCCCTATAACATCCCTAGTGGGGGCCCCTATAACCCCCCTAGTACAGGACCCCTATAACAGCCCTAGTAGAGGACCCTATAACACCCCCTAGTGGAGGACCCCTATAACATCCCTAGTACAGGACCCTATAACGCCCCCTAGTACAAGGACCCCTATACATCCCCTAGTAGAGGACCCCTATAACATCCCTAGTAGAGGACCCCTATAACATCCCTAGTAGAGGACCCCTATAACACCCCTAGTAGAGGACCCCTATAACATCCCCAAGTAGAGGACCCCTATAACATCCCTAGTAGAGGACCCCTATAAACCCCCCTAGTACAGGACCCCTATAACATCCCTAGTAGAGGACCCCTATAACACCCCCTAATAGAGGACCCCTATAACACCCCTAATACAGGACCCCTATAACATGCCCTAGTACAGGACCCCTATAACACCCCCTAGTAGAGGACCCCTATAACATCCCCTAGTAGAGGACCCCTATAACATCCCCTAGTAGAGGACCCCTATAACAACCCCAAGTATAGGACCCCTATAACATCCCCTAGTAGAGGACCCCTATAGCTCCCTAGTAGAGGACCCCTATAACACCCCCTAGTACAGGACCCCTATAACACCCCCTAATAGAGGACCCCTATAACACCCCCTAGTACAGGACCCCTATAACATTCCTAGTAGAGGACCCCTATAACACCCCTAGTAGAGGACCCCTATAACATCCCCTAGTAGAGGACCCCTATAACATCCCTAGTAGAGGACCCCTATAACACCCCCTAGTACAGGACCCCTATAACACCCCCTAGTACAGGACCCCTATAACATCCCCTAGTAGAGGACCCCTATAACATCCCTAGTAGAGGACCCCAATAACACCCCCTAGTACAGGACCCCTATAACATCCCCTAGTAGAGGACCCTTATAACATCCCCTAGTAGAGGACCCCTATAACATCCCTAGTAGAGGACCCCTATAGCAGCCCCTAGTACAGGACCCCTATAACATCCCTAGTAGAGGACCTCTATAACATCCCCTAGTAGAGGACCCCTATAACATCCCTAGTAGAGGACCCCTATAACATCCCTAGTACAGGACCCCTATAACACCCCCTAGTACAGGACCCCTATAACACCCCCTAGTACAGGACCCCTATAACATCCCTAGTGGGGGACCCCTATAACACCCCCTAGTACAGGACCCCTATAACATCCCTAGTAGAGGACCCCTATAACACCCCCTAGTGGAGGACCCCTATAACATCCCTAGTACAGGACCCCTATAACGCCCCCTAGTACAGGACCCCTATAACATCCCTAGTGGGGGACCCCTATAGCAGCCCCTAGTACAGGACCCCTATAACATCCCTAGTAGAGGACCCCTATAACATCCCTAGTACAGGACCCCTATAACACCCCCTAGTACAGGACCCCTATAACACCCCCTAGTACAGGACCCCTATAACATCCCTAGTGGGGGACCCCTATAACACCCCCTAGTACAGGACCCCTATAACATCCCTAGTAGAGGACCCCTATAACACCCCCTAGTGGAGGACCCCTATAACATCCCTAGTACAGGACCCCTATAACGCCCCCTAGTACAGGACCCCTATAACATCCCCTAGTAGAGGACCCCTATAACATCCCTAGTAGAGGACCCCCATAACATCCCTAGTAGAGGACCCCTATAACACCCCCTAGTAGAGGACCCCTATAACATCCCCTAGTAGAGGACCCCTATAACATCCCTAGTAGAGGACCCCTATAACACCCCCTAGTACAGGACCCCTATAACATCCCTAGTAGAGGACCCCTATAACACCCCCTAATAGAGGACCCCTATAACACCCCCTAATACAGGACCCCTATAACATGCCCTAGTACAGGACCCCTATAACACCCCCTAGTAGAGGACCCCTATAACATCCCCTAGTAGAGGACCCCTATAACATCCCCTAGTAGAGGACCCCTATAACATCCCCTAGTAGAGGACCCCTATAACATCCCCTAGTAGAGGACCCCTATAGCATCCCTAGTAGAGGACCCCTATAACACCCCCTAGTACAGGACCCCTATAACACCCCCTAATAGAGGACCCCTATAACACCCCCTAGTACAGGACCCCTATAACATTCCTAGTAGAGGACCGCTATAACACCCCTAGTAGAGGACCCCTATAACATCCCCTAGTAGAGGACCCCTATAACATCCCTAGTAGAGGACCCCTATAACATCCCTAGTAGAGGACCCCTATAACACCCCCTAGTACAGGACCCCTATAACACCCCCTAGTACAGGACCCCTATAACATCCCCTAGTAGAGGACCCCTATAACACCCCTAGTAGAGGACCCCTATAACACCCCCTAGTACGAGGACCCCTATAACATCCCCTAGTAGAGGACCCCTTATAACATCCCCTAGTAGAGGACCCCTATAACATCCCTAGTAGAGGACCCCTATAGCAGCCCCTAGTACAGGACCCCTATAACATCCCTAGTAGAGGACCTCTATAACATCCCCTAGTAGAGGACCCCTATAACATCCCTAGTAGAGGACCCCTATAACATCCCTAGTACAGGACCCCTATAACACCCCCTAGTACAGGACCCCTATAACACCCCCTAGTACAGGACCCCTATAACATCCCTAGTGGGGGACCCCTATAACACCCCCTAGTACAGGACCCCTATAACATCCCTAGTAGAGGACCCCTATAACACCCCCTAGTGGAGGACCCCTATAACATCCCTAGTACAGGACCCCTATAACGCCCCCTAGTACAGGACCCCTATAACATCCCTAGTGGGGGACCCCTATAGCAGCCCCTAGTACAGGACCCCTATAACATCCCTAGTAGAGGACCCCTATAACATCCCTAGTACAGGACCCCTATAACACCCCCTAGTACAGGACCCCAATAACACCCCCTAGTACAGGACCCCTATAACATCCCTAGTGGGGGACCCCTATAACACCCCCTAGTACAGGACCCCTATAACATCCCTAGTAGAGGACCCCTATAACACCCCCTAGTGGAGGACCCCTATAACATCCCTAGTACAGGACCCCTATAACGCCCCCTAGTACAGGACCCCTATAACATCCCCTAGTAGAGGACCCCTATAACATCCCTAGTAGAGGACCCCCATAACATCCCTAGTAGAGGACCCCTATAACACCCCCTAGTAGAGGACCCCTATAACATCCCCTAGTAGAGGACCCCTATAACATCCCTAGTAGAGGACCCCTATAACACCCCCTAGTACAGGACCCCTATAACATCCCTAGTAGAGGACCCCTATAACACCCCCTAATAGAGGACCCCTATAACACCCCCTAATACAGGACCCCTATAACATGCCCTAGTACAGGACCCCTATAACACCCCCTAGTAGAGGACCCCTATAACATCCCCTAGTAGAGGACCCCTATAACATCCCCTAGTAGAGGACCCCTATAACATCCCCTAGTAGAGGACCCCTATAACATCCCCTAGTAGAGGACCCCTATAGCATCCCTAGTAGAGGACCCCTATAACACCCCCTAGTACAGGACCCCTATAACACCCCTAATAGAGGACCCCTATAACACCCCCTAGTACAGGACCCCTATAACATTCCTAGTAGAGGACCCCTATAACACCCCTAGTAGAGGACCCCTATAACATCCCCTAGTAGAGGACCCCTATAACATCCCTAGTAGAGGACCCCTATAACACCCCCTAGTACAGGACCCCTATAACACCCCCTAGTACAGGACCCCTATAACATCCCCTAGTAGAGGACCCCTATAACATCCCTAGTAGAGGACCCCAATAACACCCCCGAGTACAGGACCCCTATAACATCCCCTAGTAGAGGACCCTTATAACATCCCCTAGTAGAGGACCCCTATAACATCCCCTAGTAGAGGACCCCTATAACATCTCTAGTAGAGGACCCCTATAGCAGCCCCTAGTACAGGACCCCTATAACATCCCTAGTAGAGGACCTCTATAACATCCCCTAGTAGAGGACCCCTATAACATCCCTAGTAGAGGACCCCTATAACATCCCTAGTACAGGACCCCTATAACACCCCCTAGTACAGGACCCCTATAACACCCCCTAGTACAGGACCCCTATAACATCCCTAGTGGGGGACCCCTATAACACCCCCTAGTACAGGACCCCTATAACATCCCTAGTAGAGGACCCCTATAACACCCCCTAGTGGAGGACCCCTATAACATCCCTAGTACAGGACCCCTATAACTCCCCCTAGTACAGGACCCCTATAACATCCCTAGTGGGGGACCCCTATAGCAGCCCCTAGTACAGGACCCCTATAACATCCCTAGTAGAGGACCCCTATAACATCCCTAGTACAGGACCCCTATAACACCCCCTAGTACAGGACCCCTATAGCACCCCCTAGTACAGGACCCCTATAACATCCCTAGTGGGGGACCCCTATAACACCCCCTAGTACAGGACCCCTATAACATCCCTAGTAGAGGACCCCTATAACACCCCCTAGTGGAGGACCCCTATAACATCCCTAGTACAGGACCCCTATAACGCCCCCTAGTACAGGACCCCTATAACATCCCCTAGTAGAGGACCCCTATAACATCCCTAGTAGAGGACCCCCATAACATCCCTAGTAGAGGACCCCTATAACACCCCCTAGTAGAGGACCCCTATAACATCCCCTAGTAGAGGACCCCTATAACATCCCCTAGTAGAGGACCCCTATAACATCCCTAGTAGAGGACCCCTATAACACCCCCTAGTACAGGACCCCTATAACATCCCTAGTAGAGGACCCCTATAACACCCCCGAATAGAGGACCCCTATAACACCCCCTAGTACAGGACCCCTATAACATGCCCTAGTAGAGGACCCCTATAACACCCCCTAGTAGAGGACCCCTATAACATCCCCTAGTAGAGGACCCCTATAACATCCCCTAGTAGAGGACCCCTATAACACCCCCTAGTAGAGGACCCCTATAACATCCCCTAGTAGAGGACCCCTATAACACCCCCTAGTAGAGGACCCCTATAACATTCCCTAGTACAGGACCCCTATAGCAGCCCCTAGTAGAGGACCCCTATAACATCCCCTAGTAGAGGACCCCTATAACATCCCTAGTAGAGGACCCCTATAACACCCCCTAGTACAGGACCCCTATAACATCCCTAGTAGAGGACCCCTATAACACCCCCGAATAGAGGACCCCTATAACACCCCCTAGTACAGGACCCCTATAACATGCCCTAGTAGAGGACCCCTATAACACCCCCTAGTAGAGGACCCCTATAACATCCCCTAGTAGAGGACCCCTATAACATCCCCTAGTAGAGGACCCCTATAACACCCCCTAGTAGAGGACCCCTATAACATCCCCTAGTAGAGGACCCCTATAACACCCCCTAGTAGAGGACCCCTATAACATTCCCTAGTACAGGACCCCTATAGCAGCCCCTAGTACAGGACCCCTATAACATCCCCTAGTAGAGGACCCCTATAGCAGCCCCTAGTACAGGACCCCTATAACATCCCCTAGTAGAGGACCCCTATAACATCCCCTAGTAGAGGACCCCTATAGCAGCCCCTAGTACAGGACCCCTATAACATCCCATAGTAGAGGACCCCTATAACATCCCCTAGTACAGGACCCCTATAACATCCCGTAGTAGAGGACCCCTATAACATCCCCTAGTAGAGGACCCCTATAACATCCCCTAGTAGAGGACCCCTATAACACCCCCTAGTAGAGGACCCCTATAACATCCCCTAGTAGAGGACCCCTATAACACCCCCTAGTAGAGGACCCCTATAACACCCCCTAGTAGAGGACCCCTATAACATCCCCTAGTAGAGGATCCCTATAACACCCCCTAATAGAGGACCCCTATAACATCCCCTAATACAGGACCCCTAGAGAAACCATGCCAATGCAGGAATGATGCTCATAATGCTGATGATAATAAGGCTGCTGATTATTCTACTGCTGATAATGTCATGCTGATGATGCTAATGATCCGTTCCGGCGTGCTGGCGATGCTGATGTGTCTCGACATGGCGGGGATGCTGATGATGTTGCTGATGGTGATGATACGTCTCGGCATGCCGATGACGTTGATGTGTCTCGGCACGCTGATGGCGATGCTGACGAGCGTGCCCACGTGTCCGCGTGGCCGAGCCCAGGCTGTGCCCGGGCTCCGTGCAGGCCCTGAGCCGCTCTCGCTTCGTCACGGAGGGCGACCACGCCGTGGTGCGCCTCGTCACGGACGCCAGCGTCACGGCCAGAGGCTTCCGCATGGCCTACTCCGTCAACAGCACGCAGGGTACGAGGGGGGCTCACGGGGTGGGGGGGGGGACCCGAGGGGGGTTAGGGTTAGGGGTTTGGGGGCGCGGGGGGTGTGGTAAAACAAGAGGAATACAAATTATAATGTCAATTATTATTATTGTTGTTGTTGTTTCAAGAATAGATGCTTCCCCAAACTTCGGAGCCGCGTGTCACTGGCGTCACCGGCGTGTCGTGTGTCACGTGTCACTGACGTCACTGGCGTGTCGTGTGTCACGTGTCACTGACGTCACTGGCGTGTCGCGTGTGACGTTTTACTGGCATCACGGGCGTGTCGCGTGCCACCGGCGTCACCGGACTGTCGCGTGTCGCAGGCGTGTGGGCAGAGTGGGGGCCCTGGTCTCCGTGCCCCGTCTCCTGCGGCGGTGGTGGCGCCCAGCAGCGCACGCGCTCCTGCCTCACCGAGCCCGGCACCTGCACGGGCGCCGACAGCGACAGCCGGCCGTGTGGCTCGGACGCGTGTCCAGGTTTGAAACGGCACCATCGCCGGCAACGGCACAAGTGGCAGCGTCGGCACAAGCCGTAGCATCGGCAGCGGCTGTTGGGGCTGAGGGATTTGGTGGCAGCTCCTCACCACCGCGTGGTGGCTGCTGCTGCTGCCTTCCCGCTTGTCCGTGGTTCCTCCTCCTGGCGCCTCTCAGTCGTTCGCCCGTCTTCGAGAGCGAGCGAATGCTTGCGCGGCGACGCGTTGCGATTATAGTCACCATCTTCACCAACGGCACCAGCAGCAGCAGCAGCGACAGCCATATTAGCGGTAGCAGTGTCGCCAGCAGCGGCAGCATAAGCTGCATGATCGTCAGTAAAATGTTTTATTTCATTTTAGACCTGACTGCCTTTATCGGTCAGATGAAGAGATTTTCTTAGAGAAATTAAATCCATGAACCGAGACTTAACTGACGTGGCCAAAGTTAACATACATATTGTTGACTCCATTAACTCTTCTCCAAACCATCTGCTCCCCCCCCCCTCTGCCCCCCACCTTCAATCTTCTCTATCAGTCTGTGGGGGGCTGCTGGAGGGGACAAGTGGCACCTTCACGAGCCCCGGCTACCCCCAGCGCTACCCCGACGGCGCGCTGTGCCAGTGGACCGTGCGCGTGAGTGAGCAACAACGCGGAGCCGGCACGGCATTCTGGGCTATGAATCGATTGGGGGGGGGGGGGTGAATGGCCCCCATTTCATTGCTTGCAACCGGGCCCCATGCCCACCACCACCACGCTACTAAACGCATGAACACTCGGACACTACCCATGCCCACCACCACCACGCTACTAAACGCATGAACACTCGGACACTACCCATGCCCACCACCACCACCACGCTACTAAACGCACGAACACTCCACTCGGACACTACCCATGCCCACCACCACCACCACGCTACTAAACGCACGAACACTCCACTCGGACACTACCCATGCCCACCACCACCACCATGCTACTAAACGCACGAACACTCCACTCGGACACTACCCATGCCCACCACCACCACCACCACGCTACTAACCGCACGAACACTCGGACACTACCCATGCCCACCACCACCACCACGCTACTAAACGCACGAACACTCCACTCGGACACTACCCATGCCCACCACCACCACCATGCTACTAAACGCACGAACACTCCACTCGGACACTACCCATGCCCACCACCACCACCACCACGCTACTAACCGCACGAACACTCGGACACTACCCATGCCCACCACCACCACCACCACGCTACTAAACGCACGAACACTCGGACACTACCCCGTGACGGTACGACCTCGCGCAGCGCAACACCGCGCCGTGCGAGAGTACGGAACGAGCCACTGGTTGGGCCGCGTCACCGCGTCGCCCCGGGGACCGGTGCTCACCGTGCCCGCCGCGCCCGCCGCGGCCGTGACCTCCCGCCCCGGCGCGGTTGCTCCCGGCAGGTCCCCGTGGGGCTGGCGGCGCGAGTGACGTTCTCCGACCTGGACGTGGAGCCGGGTCCCGCGTGCCCCTACGACGCCGTGAGGCTCTGGGCCGACGGCGCGAGCTCCGTGCCGCTGGGCTCCGTGTGCGGCACCGCTCCTCCCCTCCCCGGCGCCATCGTCGCCCCCGGCGACCGCCAGCTCTTCGTCACCTTCTCCTCCGACAGCTCCGTCACGGGCCGAGGGTTCAACGCCTCCTTCAGCACCGCCGGTGAGCCGGGGCTTTGCCGTCATCGGGCCGGCACAAGGCGGTGCGCCGATTGCGGCGAGTTGCGGAAAGGGGGGTGCCGTTCGGTCAACTCCCGATTATCCGGAGTCAAGGAGTGGACGGGTGGCACGGATAAATGCGAGGTTAGAACTGACATTTTTAAAAAATAATCTTATCGTTTTCTGAGTTAGGATCTGGGTTGCGGGTACCAAACTCGGTTCGAGATCGTTCCCTGTAGCCGTGCGCCAGGGATTTTGGAGCCACCGGAGATGATCCTTCCATACTTGGGGCTTCCGCGTGTCCTGCCAGGCGGGGCTTGAACACAAAGAGGCGGGGCCTGAAGAAGAGGGGGCAGGGCCTAAAAAGGAAAGACGCAAGGGGGCGTGGCCTAATGAATACGCAGGCGCGTCTAAGGAATAAGTGGGCGGGGCCTACAGAAGTAAAGTTTCCCTGTTGATTCAAATAAAGCATAGAAAAAAATCCAATACGAGCAGCAGGCAGCAGCATCGCTTTAGCGACGCAGGTGTGGCCTCGGGCCAACCGACTACAGTTGTGAACAACGATAGTGCAAAACAAGAGAAATGTGTCATTTTCACAAGAGGTGACTCATGTAACACGAGAGAACGGTAAGATTTTAAATTTGGATATTTTGACTGTAAAGAAAAATAATTGTCGGGGGGGGGGTGATGGGGGAGGCGCGGTGATGGGGGGGGGGGCTTGGCCAGGAGACGCCACGGCCAGCAGGGACGACGCCCGCTGGCCACAGTAACGAGGAGCGGCAGCCAAGGAACGGAACGCGCCCGCAGTGACGGAGCGACGGAATCGGCGACGTGGATCGGCGTATCGCGCTTGGGGGCTCCATGAGAGACGGCAAAAGTCGTCGTCGGGAATTGGAGAAATGCGACGGCAGACGTGTGAGGTTTCGGTTTGAGTGAGAACCTCCCCATCTCCCTGCCTCCCTCCTGCCCCAAACCCCCGAACTCCCGGACCCCAGCCCTGCAGTGCGGTGGCTTTCTGAACGGATCGTCGGGGACCCTACAGAGCCCCGGCCACCCCAGCCCGTACCCCACGAACCACGTGTGCGCCTGGTACGTAACCCCCATGCGGACCTCGACTCCAACCCCAACACTGTCACGTGCCTTGCGTCCAAACCGAGACAAACTCAAACTCTTGACCCTAGAATGGGCCGTGCACAGACCCAGACCAGATTACTGCTGTCGTAAGGGGCGACTCAAGGGTTCACACGACGGACAACAGAAGGGCCGACACCACTTCGGATGACACATAGGTAGGTGTACGTGATGGACAATGCCACTCGCATTCCTCACTAATTAATACTAACTACTACTAAACTATTTTTTTATTTTACCAGGTAAGGCTCCACTGAGCTATACAGTGACCTGGCTTTCACAAATGATAGCTCCACGAATTGGCGTATCATCATAATCATCACGTGGACATTTATAGCAGCCAAATACTCTAAATGGGTGATGTTGATTCTAAATGGGGAGGGAAAAACCGGAGGACCCGTAGAAAAATCTACTCAACCATGGGGAGAGAGACACGCAAACTCCAAATCTACAGCAGCAGCAGGTGTCAGGATGGGGATCGAACCCACGACCTCCTGTATACCAGGCGAGGTAGTTAACATCTCTACAGGGAGAGAGTGCGACACGCAAACTCCAAATCTACAGCAGCAGTAGCAGGCGTCACGATGGGGATCGAACCCACGACATCCTGTATACTAGGCGAGGTAGTTAACATCTCTACAGGGAGAGAGAGACACGCCAACTCCAAATCTACAGCAGCAGCAGGCGTCAGGATGGGGATCGAACCCACGACCTCCTGTATACCAGGCGAGGTAGTTAACATCTCTACAGGGAGAGAGAGACACGCAAACTCCAAATCTACAACAGCAGGCGTCAGGATGGGGATCGAACCCACGACCTCCTGTATACCAGGCGAGGTAGTTAACATCTCCACAGGGAGAGAGTGAGACACGCAAACTCCAAATCTACAGCAGCAGCAGGCGTCAGGATGGGGATCGAACCCACGACCTCCTGTATACCATGCGAGGTAGTTAACATCTCCGAGCTACCGTGGTGCCCTCACACCTCTCCCCCCACCCCCCTCCCCCACAGGTACATCGAAGTTGCCGAGGGTCGTCGCGTGGGCCTCTCGATCTCTGCGCTGGACGTGGAGGCGTCGGTGGGCTGCGTGTTCGACCGCCTGTCGCTCTGGGAGGGCTGGGACGCCGGCGCGGCCTCCCTCCCGCTCGCCACCTTCTGCGGGCGAGCGCTGCCGCCCCCCGTCGCCACGGCGACGTCGCGCCGTCTCCTCCTCGTCCTTGTGAGCGACGGCTCGGTGACCGGCGCGGGCTTCCGCGCCGATTTCAAGCAGCTGTGACGACGACGACGAGGAGGAGGCCGGCGGAGGGGGCAGCGGGCCGGGGGGTGACATTCTTAGGTGGCACGGTTAATTTGTGTTTACGCGGAGCCGCGTTTAACTCTTCCCGATTCGTCTTCAGGTTGTTCCCGCGCGTTGTTCGGCACGATGTCCGACGTTTAAGCCCCACACTCGCCGGGAGCTTATTCGGCAACTGGATTGAACTTCAGGGTCCCAAGGCAACCTGAAGACGCTACCCCACCCCGGGGCCACGTGCAGGGAAACGTCGGACTTCGCGCGCGGCAACGACCCGAGAAGGCATCGGAGGGCTGCAGAGCAGAACCGCAAGACAAAAGCGACGCAGGAGTCGGGGGATAAGGCTGCCGAAGTTCTGTTGCGCTCGAGCGGGACGCGTCGCGGTGAGCTGGCAGCATCTCCCTCCATCGCTCCCCAAGATCCCTTCGTGGAGCCTTGAACGGACCCTTGCCCTGAGCAGCACCTGGTAAAGGCCGGCACCAGAGGCACCACGCCCGGCCGCATCCGTCTCACACGAGTGGCGCTTGTTGCACACCGCAGCGGACACTCGGGGCTCTGGCGTGGACGGGGTTCGCAAAACCTACTTTCTGTACTGCCCACGTCGTGCGTACCCCCACACACCTCCAGCAGGTGTGGGGGGCGAGTCACCCTCGCCTCCTCGCTCCCAAAGCGCTGGATCGCAGGAGATAAAGTTTGCTGTCCTTCCCCACGCACCTGCGATTAGCACCGCCGTTGGCAACGCAGGCTGAGTGAAAGAAGTTCGACATACAGACTGCCCATAGACTAAGACTGCCCATAGACTCAACACTGCTCATAGACGAACACTGCCCATAGCCTAACACTGCCCATAGCCTAAGACTGCCCATAGACTCAACACTGCCCATAGATGAACACTGCCCATAGACTCAAGACTGCACCTCCAATTAGCAAGGTTTGGCAATGTACGGTGCGAAAGAAGTTAAAATACATAGATGCAGTGGCCTGGGTTGAACCAGCGATTCGCGTAGCTTAGACACGGGGGGGGGGGGGGGTGCATGCGGGTCCATGGGATTTAGTGGATTATTAAAAGCGATTTTGTGATTAGATGCGAGTGGTAAGGGTTGGAATCTTTAGAATTGCCTCCAAGGGGGTGGTCGCGTGCAGTGATTGTGACTTTACAAATGATTGTGTCAATCGCGGTGGGAATAAATTACGGTGGAAATCAGAGGTGCAGATCGTGTGTCCGAGTGAGTTGGCGTCGACAGCCACATTGAATGTTGCATGTTGCATGCTGTATGTTACATGTTGCATGCTGTATGTTGTATGTTACATGTTGTATGCTGAATGTTGCATGTTGTATGCATGTCGCACTTCTTGCTCACCGTACGTAGCCGAGCGTGCTAATCGGAGGTGCGGCTGAAGGACAACAGAGCAGTTTTCAATCGAGATGACTGAAAAGTGCAAAGCTCCCAGTGACTTCCGAATATCGTAAGGAAGAGCGTTCCAGACGGCCACGAGCGCACCTGCAAGCGCCATGCGCGATGCATTGACCACCGCCTTGGTCAAAAGCCACCGCCGCCGCTGCTGCGAGGGTGACCGGAGTTGGTTTGTGCTCGTCGACGAGATCAGCAAAGGTATTGTGGTCCATTTGTGGCAAGAAGCCCCATTGTTGCGTCACGTATGCAGCCTTGTGAGTGTCGTCTTGACTTGAGACGGGGCTCAGGCCACGTGGATGTGAAGGACATTTTCCTTACCAAGAGGCCAAATACAACTCTCAGATACCACCAACATCAAAGACAGAGCCCCCCGTACAGCCTTAACACTGTTGGGGCAAGTGCCTTAACACTGTTGGCCAGCACCACGCCCGACCGCCTTTGTCTGTGTAGTACTCATTTGAGGCTGAGTCAACCTAGGAGAGGCCCAGGACCGGTTCAAATAATCGTCACTGGTGTTGGCCATGAACGGGACTCAAACTCGGGTCGCCGCGTTTGGAGCGCAGCGCTGACGCCGCCCTCCCTCTCCTCACAACAACCGACATTCGCCACCAAGTGGCAGTGACGTCACCACAGCGCTTGTGCCAGGTTATGTGCACGTTAAGGCCATGTGAAGTGTCAAACGCTTGCTGGCAGGTCGTTACGGGGCAGACCCAGGTGCCATGGGTCAACTGAGATGCACCACCTGTGCCCCCTACTGTGCCAACTTGCTGTGCTTTAGCCACCCGGCACTCCGTTGTTGTGAGCGTCGCTCCTCCGCTCTCCGTTGTTGTTGGAGGGCAACTGCCTCCAACTGCCCAGTAGCGTCCTTCACGAGCCTCCTCCACAGAGGCCGATCTTGACACCGCTGGTACCAGTCATCGGCAAGTCCACTCAGCTCCACGTCCTCCTGTACCACATCACTCCATCTCTTCTCTAGCCCGTGCCGCGCCCGTTTAGCCCCCTCTATCCGGCCGAACAAAAGCTGTTTGGGCATGCGGTGATTCGGCATGTGGGCTACATGGCCCACACACGCGTACACACATACGTACACACCGAAACGCAACAAAACACACACAACACCCATTTCTTAAACCAAGCTCTCAGTTTTTATATCACTCTACACTGATTACAAACAATATTTACAACAAGTCAAAAAAGAGTTATGTCGTAAATACGAAAACAAAACGAGGGCTCGAGACGATTCAGTTTCGTTTCCTCGGTCTCGCCAAGAGCGACAACCCCTCCCCCGCTGTGCGGTCGGTCGAGTTGGACTCCCGCTTGAGGGGGTGCCACGGCCCTTTCCGTGGGCTGCGGGCCGCACGAGGCAGCGAAGAGCGCCGGGGCGGGCGGGTGGGCGACTCCTCCTCATGATAAACGTGGACGCTGGGAAGGGTGATTTAGTCCGCGGACGAAACACAGGGACGCTTGGCGGCGAAGGACAACCGTAAGGAATGGACGTGAGCGGAGGAGTTAGGAGGGGGGGGGTAGGGAAGGGGAGGGGGGCGGTCATCATTTGAGTACCGCCATCTTACGAACTTCTGTCTCGTAGATGAGAAGCCTCCACATCTTTAACACGAAGCCTTCCGCCTCCTCGTCCAGAATCTGCCACGGTGAGGAGGGGGGGGGGAACAACAATGGCAGAGCGTTGGACGGGTTGGCAGGGGAACGGCCGGCTACTCCTCGATGGCGACACCGGTACCGATGCGGTTACCGTAACGACCGCTATGGTACGCGACCGTCACGATTCGGGGCGGGGTCACGAATCCGTTGTTTTCGCAACGTGTGCACGTTAACGGTGGCGGAGTTACAGAGCGCGCAGGCGGTGCAGCTGCACCAGGGTGGCCGAAGGGCGGGAGAGGGGCCCAGGCACCGGGCTACGTGGAGGAAGAACAACGCGCTGTCTGCTTCACGACGGACGGTGACGATCCCATGACATCAGTCGTAAGAGCAGGCCAATTATGTGCCAGCGTCATTGTCCGAATGTCAACATTTGATCAAACTACCAACGCCCGTAAATTGCTGTATTTGGATCCCACCTCACTCCCCCCTGCCCCCCAACCACCTTTAAAACTTGGCAGGACCCTCCTGAGAGCCATGAGACTCGGCGAGGCTTTCCTGGGGGAAAATGAGCATCAAAATGAGAAGAAAATTATTTAAATCTCAATTACAACGTTGATAACGTGGATTTGTATTTATAGAGCTCCACAGCTCATCGGATTCCTCCAGGCTAGATAAAGGTTTCTGATTCTCTAATATAGCTCGGGGGGGAGGGTGGGAAGAGACGACTACGGGAGGAGTGGTGCCAAGGAGGAGGAAGCAGGAAGAGGAAGTGGTTTGAAATCAGGGGGGCCTTGGGGGGGGGGGGGGGGTTAGCCCGTGGGGGGACCTTGGAGGGGGGTCTTTGGGGGGCCTGTGCAACTATGCCCAGAGAGAGGAACCACAGGCAAGTGAAAGCGGGGGGGGGGGGGGGTAGTGGGAGGGTGGAGGAGGCTGGGGCACGCCGCTCACCATCGTGACGTCGTCCAGGATGCTCTGTGCCGCGCTGTGCGACAGGAGCTGGGATACGGGAGGAGGGAGGCGGAACAAAACACGGAAAAATGCGAGTCAATGATGCAAACGGCAGCGGCGAGGCAGGCACGTGACCGCACGTGCGGTCACGCACGCCAACGCAGCCTTCAGCAGGCCGTTGGGGCGAGCGCAGTTGGCGAGCGACGCGCCTACGAAGGCCGGGCACCGCGCAGGAGGGGCGGTGGGTGGCCGGCCGACACCACGCCCGGCCGTCTTTCGTCACCGCACAGCGCGACAGGCCGACTAGGCCTCGTAGTACGAGTCGACCCAGGGGAGGGGCCCAGGATCGGTTTCAATTATTCGCCACCGTCACCGTCCGCCAGCAGGAGTTTAACTTGGGTCGCCACGCTACGCCATCGATCTCCACGACACTGGCACGTGAACAAGTGCGACTACAGACGCACACACGCGTGCGTTGGCGCACACATGCGCAAATACAGAGACACACGAGATTGTCCGCGTACGGCCCTTTAGAAGACAGTTGGTGACGAGCATCGTTGACGATGGCGGTGTGGCCAACGCCACTCTTGCCCCCGCACAAAGCCCGCGCCCCCCAATTAGCCCCCACACCCCCTCCCCCACACCCCTCACACCTTGGTGCAGACGAAATCAACCAGCGTCGGCTCCTCCTCGCCAATGTACTCCACGATCTTCTTGTTCACCCACGGCTTGATGCGGCGCGACATCAGCTTCTGCACGACCGCGCGCAACAAAAAAAAACGCTGTTGGGGCAAGTGCTGTCAGCGAAAGGCTATTTAGGCCGGCACGGCGCACGTGGGGGTGGTCTGGCCGACACCGCAGCACAGCGCAATGGGTAGTAGTTGTGGTGGTCCGGTGCCAGTTCAGATATTCGCCGCCGATTGTTGGCCGTGAGCGCGAACCGAACTCGGGTCGCGGACCCTTCCCACCCACTCTGCCGCCGGCGAGCGCCGACGCTCGTCTCCATGACCGTCCCAACGGACGGCGTTCGCCAATTCAGCCAAGGTGCGCGCAGAACCAAATTGTACGCGATGCGTTTTTTTTGTTTTTGATACGTGCAGCCATTTGTTGATTGGGCTGAGACCATCAACTCACTACGCTTCGGTTCATTCGTATCCAATCGGAGCGAGCCCCCCCCCCACCGCTCATGCTCCGCAGCAAATATAACTCGAGTACGCGATGGGGGACACCCAACACGCGGGCCGGAGGAGGCGATGACCGTCACCGACAGATACCTCCCCCCACTCCGAGATCGCTGCGATTAATCACGGCCACGCGGGAGGCGCAGAGCGTAGAGAGCGGGCGGCACACGCGACCCAACGACTGACGAGCGGCTCCCAAGTGGCGCTCCCCACCCCCCCCCCCCACACGCTCGTGCTCGTCAATCCCAGCCTCATCCGGCCAAAGAATGAATGCGGAACATGTTCCTTACCGACGGCCAAATAGGCCTCCCAAATACCTTTGGTGGGTAACCAAAGGCAAAGATTCCACCCTGCTCCCCAGTGTAGCCTTAACAGATTGTTGGAGCAAGTGCTGTTAGAGAGCTCCTTTGAAGGCCGGCACGGCACACGAGGGGGTGGGCGGCCAGCACCACGCCTGGCTGTCTTCGTCTCCCTAACATTGGTTTATTTTGCCCTTTGTAATATGACCACCTTGACTTAAAGCTTTCGTGACTGCAGGAATTCATATTCTTTGGGTCTTTCGGTAAAGTCACGTGACATTAAACAAGAGTTTGAGACACCTATTGGTTCACCGGATGGGCACCCCCCCCTCCCCCCTAAGTAGCGGGGGGGGGGGGGGTGCGATGCCGTACCCCCCCCCCCCGCTACTCCCGACTCAATTAGCTGGCTCAACCGCCTCTTTTAAATGTACAGCCGCTGAGGAGGAGGGCGACGTTGGCGCAACGCCCCAACGCTAAACTTTCACCTGACTACGTTTACGGCCCCTTCTGTCAATCCACTGCAGGACGAGGGCCTCCCCACGCCGTGCGGGTCGGGGGGGACAGTTGCCAGTATGAACGCGGAGACGACAGACGTGGGAGCATACAAGCACAGCACAACAATGCACTCTGCTGACCGGCGCGCTACACGGCCCACAGCCGCCTACGACACCCTGGCATGCAAGGTGGTGGTCGCCAATCCAAGTGCCACCCAGGCCCAAGCCTGCTTAGGGGCTAAACGTTCTTTGTTCGTGGTTTTATATTATTCGTCGAGACTTGCACTGTCATTAGCTCATTAGAGAATACGTGATGCTGAAATTGATGACTATGATGACGATAATTACGTTGCAGACCATCCAACCAATACGGCCGATTCCGTTGCTGATTAAAGGACCATGGTCGTGATTTATGTTGAACTTCTTTCGCACCGTACATAGCCAACCGTGCTATTGTTGATTACCCTATGAATAACCCAACCGGTAATGGATATCCACTGTAATGTATGTGCATACATTAACCACCCCCCTCCCCTTTCGCACCTGATTAGCTCACAAGTGACGACATCACATTATCCCTCTATTTAAGGCTGAAACAGGAGGAGGATTTCTCCACAAACGTGACTGTCGCTTGCTGATGCTGCTCGTTGTTGTAATTACCGGTGAAACGTCACAGTAGTCGAATTGTAAATGTTATAGTGGATTTACCATCCAATACACCGGTGTGCTGTACTAGTAACAAAATGGCAAGTTTTGTTTAGGTGACAAACCTTACTAATTGGCTTTTATGGATGATATTGGTCGCGTAAGCCTACGTGTTAAACTGATGACCATACTGCTACCGATGCTGTTCATGTCGCCGATGGACACGCCGATCAGTGACCACGATAACGACCGGGCTACCATTGTTGTTACACTGGTGCTGCGGCTGCAAACGATGATGATGATTAAAACTTGTAGTCGGAGATGATGATGAAGATGACAGTGCAGATGCCAGGGTCGCAGAGAGGGAGTGCACGTGGGTGGGTCTCTGAGTGGGCCTCAACTGGAATTTTTCCCCGGGCCTCCCAAAAACTTTTCCGAGTGGCCCTGGCCAACGGTGCTGCTAAGAGTGACTACAATGACGACGTTGCCGATGACAATGCTGATGATGATGACGACGCTGATGATGATGACGACGCTGATGACGACGCTGTTGACGACAATGACGATGCTGATGATGACGCCGATTGCGACGCTGACGACGACAATGACGATGCTGATGATGACGACGACGCTGATGACGACGCTGATGACGACGACGACGCAGGGCGGGCGGGTAACAGGAGCGTCGCTCGCACCGGGTCCAGCATGCTCCAGTCGAGCGGGTAGGCAAAGAGCTCCGACTTGGAGGTGGGGATGCTCTCGATGAGGGTCTTGATATGCCGCCTGCGCTCCTCCTCCGAGACGCGCGCCGCCTCCTCGGCGCCCCCTCCCCCATCGTCCCCGGCGCCGCCAAGCCCGCCGCACCGGAGGCCGCCGCCGCCGCCGCCGGCCGCCCTGGCCTCGTCCTCGGCCGAGGAGTCCATCGACGACGGCAGCCCCACGGGCGAGTCGTCGTCGGCCGTGCCGTACGGCGCCGGGCGACCGCCCGGCCGCCCCGCGCGCCGCTCCATCGCGCGGTTCACCAGCAGCCGCTCGATCGGCGACGGCACGGCGCCGGTGGAGGGGCCGGCGGCGGCGCTGCCGCGACCCCTGCCGGCGTGGTAGGCGTCCGCGCGGGCGGTCGGGACGTCGTCCTCGTCGCCCCCCCCGTCGTCTTCGTCGTCGTCGTTCTCTTCGTCGGCTTCCTCCTCCTCGTCGTCGTTGTTCTCCGCCTCGCCGCCGCCAGGGCGGTGGTGGCGGTGGTAGTGTTGGTGGCGGACGTCGCCGCGGGAGCGCGACGACGAGTGGTGCGGCAGCGGCCCGGGGCTTCCGTTGGGGAAAGCTGCGGCGAGGGGACGGCCGGGGAGGGGGGGATGGCACAGAAAGGCCCGGCGTGGCACACTGTCACGCTGGCTGCACCGGTCACAAATGTATGAATGTTGAACTTCTTTCGCACCGTACGTAGCCAACCATCTACCGCGTTGCTTGAATCCAGTCTCCCCCTTCGCCGACGTGGCATCTGTGAGCGCGACGTGACTCTCAAACAAAATAAACTTTTTATTTTACCAGGTTGGGCCTCACTGAACTATGTAGCTCTTATTCAGAAGTGACCTGGTTATCACAAATGATAGCTCAACGAAGTGGGCTTATCATCACGTGTTGATTCTAAGAAAAATCCACACGACCACGGGGAAAGACATGCTAACGTCAAATACACAGCAGCAGGCGTCAGGGTCGGGATCAAACCCACGACTTCCTGTGTACCAGGCGAGGTAGTCAACATCTCGCCACCAACGCGACGCCAAATCCGCTAAATCTCCCCACGCGAGCCTCTTGGGCCCTGCGGGAGAGCTCCGAGATTCTCAACGAGGCCACGCGCTGGGGAAGGAGAATCGCTACAAAAAAAACCCCTCACCATCCACCAGGCCCCCCCTCCCCTTCCCCCGCCCACCCCTCCCATCCCCCCGGTTCCCCCCCACCGTAACCGCACGCCGTCCCCCCAGCGGCACGCACCGTGACGGAGGCCCCTGTGCGCGGGCATGCGGGCTCCGCCGTCCGCCGCGAGTTGCCGTCGTCTGCCGGGCGACGCCGCCGCCGCCGCCGCCGCCGGCCCCGCCGCCGCGGCGCCCTCGTCGCTGTGCGGCGACACGGACGGCGCGAGGTTGACGGGGCGCAGCGTCGGCCGCAGGGACGGCAGGAGGAGCGCCGGGCCCTCGCTCGCCGACGGCACGCCGCCGGCGGCCTCGCCGTTCTCGGCGGGGGAGTCGGAGCCGCCCTCCATGCTCGCGTCCATCTCCCACCGCGCCTCCATCTGCTGGATCTGCACCGCACACGGCAGCAGCAGCAGCAGCAGCAGAGTCGGTCGGTGGCTGGGCGAGCGTTGACGCGGTTGTAGAGCTGCGATGATTGTACGTCATCAGTTTTTCTTCCGATTCCGTTCCAATGACGTACACGTACACACATCATTGGAACGGAGTGGAATCGATGGGGGGGGGGGGGGGGAGCGGTGACGACCCCACACTCACCCTGAGGATGTCCCCACACTCACCCTGAGGATGACCCCACACTCACCCTGAGGATGTCCCCACACTCACCCTGAGGATGTCCCCACACTCACCCTGAGGATGTCCCCACACTCACCCTGAGGATGACCCCACACTCACCCTGAGGATGTCCCTACACTCACCCTGAGGATGTCCCCACACTCACCCTGAGGATGTCCCCACACTCACCCTGAGGATGACCCCACACTCACCCTGAGGATGTCCCCACACTCACCCTGAGGATGTCCCCACACTCACCCTGAGGATGTCCCCACACTCACCCTGAGGATGTCCCAACACTCACCCTGAGGATGTCCCCGTCGGGGTCGGGCCGACCCTCGCGGATGAACCTGAGCCGCAGCTCCTGCAGCTCCTCGCGCTCGCGCCAGCGGTCCCTCTCGTCCGACTCCAGCTCCTTCTCGCGCTCCCACAGCCGCTTGGCCAGCGCGTTGCCCCTGGGAGCACGCGGGGGGGGGGGGGGGGGCGATGTGCGTGGGCAACCTCCTTCCTTTCTAGATTTAAAGCTTTCGTGACTGCAAGGATCCATACTCTTTGGTTCTATTCGGTAAAGTCACGTAGGTAAAAAATAAAACAACAAAAATCACGACGTTTCGGCCACAACACAAGCGGCCTTCATCAAGTGAAGGGATCAGGCTGTCTCGAGGACAGCGCTGGAGTGAAACACAGCCACGCTCAGACCGCGACCTTTAAGCTGTGTGCGAGGAAACAGAGTGCCTTGACAAAGGAATTAGCATAAAAAGTAGCATTTGATTGGCCCCCCGTCCCTCCTACCCGCTTCATCTTTTTAGCCAAGAGCCCCAACAACTGCGTGGGCTCGGCCGCTCGTATCGTCACTCCCCCATCTCACCCTCGGTCTGCCTGGGAAAGGACTCCTCTACTTACGAACATTCGACTTAGGAACAGATCTCTGGAATATAACTGGTTCGTAAGTAGAGGAGTCTCTGTACTCACGTCAGCTCTGCACCGGTGGCATCTCTCTGTAGCTAGCCTAACCTAAGTCTATGGGGGTATGTGTGTGAATCTATGGGGGTGTTTGTGTGAATCCATGGGTGTCTGTGCCAGTCTGTGGGTCTCGACGTGAATCTACGGGTCTCTGTGTGAGCCCCATTCTCAACACGTGCCCAAGCCACCGAAGTCTAACGTTTAACCGACTGTTTGAGCACATGCTGTTAGCGAGCACATATGAAGGCCGGCACGATACAAGAGGGGGTGAGTGGCCAACACCACGCCCGGCCGCCTTTGTCTCCACAGTGGTGATTTTTACACACCGCACCAGGTACTCATTTGAGGCCAAGTAGACCTAAGGGAGGGCCACGAACGGTTCAGATAACCGTCACTGATGATGGCCGTGAGTGAGAATTCGAACACGGGTCGCCTCGTTCGTAGCACAGCGCGCTAACCGCCACACCACCGTATCCGTGACATGGCCACGCATACACACACGCGTGCGCGCACAAGAGCGCGAGGTGTGGATGCACTCACATGAAGTACTTGGGGTCGTCCCGGTCATCGTCGTACTCCTCGAAGAACACGCGCAGACGCTTCGCTTCCTTGGTCTAAAGGCACGGCGGTGATGCACGAGCGCACACACACACACACACGCACGCGCGGGCACGTGTATGTCAATAGACTCGATTGTTATTATTCGTATTATTGAGCTTTGCTACCTATCATACCGGCTGAGTCATTTGCGGTGACATTTTTCAGGTTTTAGAAATCCTGGAGTGTGACGACGGCACACGACGACCGACCCTTGCCAACGACGTCACGGCACATGCCGCGGTATTTTTACGGTCAACATACACCACCTACCCCCTCCCCTCACCCCCACGGCAACAAGCAAGTGAAGGCCGCTGGGTTCAAACGGCGACCCCCTCCCTGCAACGAGCGGCCAACGGCGCAACCGCCGGCCGTGACGTCACCGAGTCCCCCAATGCGGGAGACGGAGCTGACGAGGCGGACAGAGGTGGCTCACACAGAACCAAAACTAAAATAGTTTTTACTGCACCAGGTAAGGCCCACTGAGCTGTATAGCCCGGCGTCAAATGAGTACCTGGCGCGCTGTGACAAAAACACCGCCACTCGAGCGTGGTGCTGGCCACCCACCCCCTCGTGCGCCGTGCCGGCCTTCATAGGTTGCTCGCTAACAGCACTTGTCCCGACAGTCTGCTAAGGTTACATGGGGGATCTTTGTCTTTGTGTGTACACGCGCGTGTGTACGTACCATGTCTCTCCTCCGATTCCGCTCCTTCTTGGCGTCCTTCTCGTAGAGTTTACATCGCTTCTTCTCGCGGGCCACCCAGTTCTTTAACCTCTGCGCGGATGGACGGCAACGTGGAATTGGCCGATTAATGAAAGAATGCGCAACCCGTAACACAGATGTCATTATCTGAACCACTCCTGGGCCTCTCCTAGGTCGACTCAGCCTCAAATGAGTACCTGGTGCACTGCGTAAACATCTCCGCTGGGAAGATAAAGGCGGCCGGGCGTGGTGCTGGCCACCACCCACTGCCTCGAGTGCCGTGCCGGCCTTCATGGATGCTCCCTAACAGCACTTGCACCAACAGTCTGTGAAGGCTACAGGGGGGATCTTTGTCTTGGTGGGGTGGGGGGGGGACATGTCAGAGAGGAAGAGCCTCAGGTGGTGGGTGGGGGGCTGTCAAACGCTTCTCTCTCTTTCTCTCTGCAAGCTCTGGACAACACTCGCAGGCTAAACTGAACAGGCGGCGTCGTTGCGCCTGGACCTCCGATCAGCACGGTTGGCTACGTAGGGTGCGAAAGAAGTTCAACATACGTAAGTACATACAAAAGGGGTCATGATTATGACGATTATTATTATTTTTGAGACGGTAAGCTGGTCCACGTCCATGTGAGCGTCATCTGTGTCGAGATCGTCTGTCGCCTGCTCGTCTCCCGTCTGGCGGTGTTCGTGTCCGTGCGCACCTCCTGGTAGGAGGCCTCCTTCTCCCAGAGCCTCTTCTCCAGCCTCTTCCTCACGTAGAAGTCCTCCTCGTCCTCCTCCTCGTGCGAGCCGTACAGACGCTCGCGGTCACGGCTTCCATCGTCGCTGAGCGCAACGGCACGCGCAGAGTTAGCGGGGCGGTCGACACGGGGCAAAGTCGGTTTGCCACAACGTCATCAGCCGGACACGGACCTGAGCAAGTGACACCGTACGCGTGACTATGCAGCAGTAGCAGCAGGACACGCATGCTGCGTGCAACGGGGCAGGCAGGCAAGTACGCGTGTTGAACTTCGTTCACGCCGTACGTAGCCAGCTAATCGGAAACGAGGGGGGAAGGACGACAAACTGAACACAAAAAGCAGTTCTAAAGAAATTAGTATTGTCAATCTAGATGTTGATGGTTTAAAATTGCATAGCTCCCAGTGGCTTCCTAATATCTGAAGGAAGAGCGTTCCAGACGGCCGCAGAAGCGCGTCTCAAAGCGCCGCGTCTCAAAGCGCCGCGCGATGCGCCGACCGTCGTTGTTCGACGAGCAGCCAAAAGCCGCCGCCGCCGCGAGGATGTGCGACAGCAGAGACTAAAAAAACTCAAACGGCACAGCTCCTCCCCTCGCGTTGGCAGCGGCACACCGGAACAACGCAGCAGCAGCAGCAGCAGCACACGAGACTCGAGACTGCACGCCGCACGGCACCAACAGCAGCAGCAGCGGCGGCGAAGACGACAGCGAGGTACCGTCGCTTTGCACCTGGCAGGGCTGGGCTCCTGGCTGGAGACGTGGGGTTTCTCCTTCTCGCGCTGCTTGTCCTTCTCCCGCTCCTCCCGCTCCTTCTCGCGTTCCCTCTCGCGCTCCCGCTCCCTCTCGCGCTCCCGCTCCCTCTCGCGCTCACGCTCCCTCTCCCTCTCGCGCTCTTCCTTCTCCCGGTCCTCGCGCTCCTCCCGATCCCTCTTCGCCTCTGGGCGGTCGACGACGTCCCTGTCCATGTCCTGCCGCTCCTTCTCCCTCTTCTCCTTCTCCTCCTCCAGTTTCTGACGGGTGCGGGTGAAGTGGAACGGCGGGCGTCAACATAAACGCTCGTCGACCGGAACGACGACGACAACACCTCTTGATGAATAACACGAATAGGTTTGACCCTTTCTGGCAAATAAAACAGGTGTTGTGTTTTAAGATGTTCAAACACCAAATAGATATCTTTATGCATAGGCATCATCAAGTCTGCATTAACCACACACAGTACTTGTGGAAAAACGTGCAGACAAACATGCTCTTGATACTATATGCATTGTCTTTGAAACTGATTGTTGCCAAGCAACACGTGCGAGCCGCTAAACTCGTGCTCGTGTTTAAAAAGGGGGGGGAGGGGGGAGCCCCGAGCCTGGATGAAGAGGATGGTTCCGTGGCCGGGTTCATAGCCCGGCCAGATATCAAACTCCCTTTGCAACAGACACAACACGGGCACAACAGAATGGCGTGTGGTGACGACTGTGGCTAGGTTGGCCGAAGGCCGCGACAAAGAAGCTGTGGTGGCCAACGCGCTGCAAGGCACGGGGGCGAAGGGCTGATGTTGGCGATGGTTTCTAGCGGGCGTGGCACACCGTTTAACCGCACCTTGTGGGTGTCTCTGAATTTGCTGATTTCGCGCGAAATGAGGTCCTTCTTGTCATCCTCAATGTCCATGTTATCCAGATCCTACGCAACGAGACGGAGAGGGAGGGAGGCAGACAGACGGTGCAGGGAAGGACGCCCGTTAATAACGCTCGCCACGCAGCACACGCAAGCCACGCGTCCTCAGCAGGCCGTCCCACACAACCGAAATAATTGCTTTCCCTGCCACATTTGTCACGCTCAAGCCGACTGCTGTCACTTGCAAAGATCACTATACTACCACTCCCCAACGCAAGCACACAAAGACAAAGATCCCCCCCACCCCACGTGCAGCCTTAACAGAGTTTTGGGGCAAGTGCCGTTAGCGAGCAGCACCTATGAAGGCCGGCACGGCACACGAGGGGGTGGGTGACGAGCACTACCCCCGACCGCCTTTGTCTCCCCAGTGGCGATGTTTATGCACACAGCGCACGCACACGCAACGCACGCACACACACAGCACGCGCACACGCAGCACACAGGCACGCACGGTACGCACACACGCAGCACACACGCACGCACGGTACGCACACACGCACGGCACGCACCCCGTCCTTGCGCTCCTTGCGCCGGCGACGCTGGAAGTTGTCGGCGCCGCCCGACTCTCCCGACAGCTGGCTCTCGTGCTCGCGGATGACGGCGCGGATCTCCTGCTGCGTCGCTTCGTCCACGCGACGCGTCGCCTCGTCCAGGTCAACGCCGTCGCTCTCCTCCGTCGCCGCCGCTTTCTCTTCCTGCTGCTGCCGCTCCTTCACCTGCTTCTTGTCCTGCTCATCCTGCTGCTGCTGCTGCCGCTCCTTGTCCTGCGGCTGCTGTTCCCCCGGCTGTTTCTCCTCGCCCGCCGCCTTCTTTTCCTGCTCGTGGGCTTGGTTGGACGCCGGCTGCGTCTTCTCGTCGTTGCTGCTGTTGGTGGTGCTGCTGCTTTTCTCCGCCTGTGGCCGGACGGGGAAGGTGGAGGAGCGCAACGGGAGGATCAAGAGAGGAGAAAGGCGAGGAGAGGGCCGTTACGTAAAAAAAACATCAAAGGCCGCGTCTCTCAACTTGCATGGCGCCGCTCCCGAGTACGTGCTCACCCTTGAAGGGAACGGGCGACTCAAGACGTGCACAGATTTCTAACGAAACTCTTTTTATTTTACCAGGTAGGGCCCACTGAGCTATGAAGCTCTTTTTCAGAAGCGACCTGGCCACAGGGGATAGCTCAACGAAGTGGATTATCATCATCACGTGGAAATGTATAGCAGCAGCCAAATTCTCGAAACACGTGATGCTCACACGACCACGGGGAGAGATACACGCAAACTCCAAATATACAGGCACCAGGGTCGGGATCAAAATCCACGACCTCATGTATACCAGGCGAGGTAGTTATCTCGCCATCGACAAGCAGAAAGGCAACCACGTGATGAGCCAGTGCCAACAAATGCCCAAGCTCTGCGGTCCTCTACATATGAATGTTTCTTCTTTGGTTCTTTCGGTAAAGTCACGTAGAATGAGAATGAAATAATAAATTAATAAAATAAAATAACGAAACGTCGTGAGAATTTTATTGTTATTTTATTTGATTAATTTATTATTTTATTCTCATTCTACGTGACTTTACCGAAAGACCCAAAGAAGATGAATCCTTGCAGTCACGAAAGCTTTAAATCGAAATTTATGAATGTTATCGACCAATTACATATTCGAGGGAACCAGAACACATGGAGAAAAACCCACGCGTGCAAGGGGGAAACACTCAATCCGATACAGACGGAACAGGTGGAGCCCCACATTGCCCGCTGTGCTGCCTCCTCCTGGCAGAGCCAGGGTACAGAAACTTCCCCGAAGTAAACGGGGAACATTGGTGCGATCCACCAACCCTGGCTGCATTACACAGGCTACGTGCGCTTACGGCGGTGGTAGCAGCGGCGGCAGCGGCGGCGGCAGTGGACGCCTGCTGCTGGGCCTTCCACGCATCCAGCAGGGCCTTGGTCTTGGCGTCGACCTTCACCAGCAGGTGCCGGTCCCCCAGCTCCAGGTCGTGCAGGAGCCTCAGGGCGCGAAGCGAGGAGCCCGGCTCACGGTACTCGCAGAAGCCGAACGCTGCGTGACACCGCGCGGACACCCCGGCACACAGCTCAGCGCCGGCACACCGCTCAGCACCGCTCAGCACCGCTCAGCACCGCTCAGCACCGCTCAGCACCGCGAGATCCAGTCACGCCACACCACTCAACGCCCCCGGCGCTCTCGTCCCACCGTACCCGTGCGGTCCAGTCACACCACGCAGCTCCGTTTCCACTCATCACCCCCTCGCTCTGACCCTCCAGTCAAACGGTTAGCGGCGTTAATATACCGGGACTGCCACGGCTCTGCTGCTAGTTTCTATTGCCGATGCCCTCCCCTTCAAGCTGCTCCCATTGCCAGAGGCTCTGTTTGTCAAATTAGAAGCTTCACAAATGAGAAGGAAGCCCCCCTCCCCCATTCCAACCCCCTCAATGTGATCGCCATCGTGCCATCTGCATCATGTCATGAAAAAAAAAGGGAATCCCTCCGTCTCGGCACGGCAAAAAATATCTGGGAGGCCGCAACGATGACCTTAACGCAGCTTAACATGAAGGCTTCCGGGTCCAATATTATATATAATTGTGAATGCTGTGGGTTTACTCTCCAAAACGTTTTGTTTACACATTGGGGAGTACATTTTGCTTACGTGACAAACCTTACTAATTGGCTCTGTCGGGTGTTGGCGGGTTTAATGACACGTTTATATTTACGCGATGTAACCCCAAAGGAAAACGTCTCATTATGAATGACCTTACTGTGAACGATGCATTGTCCGCAAATTGCCCTGCGCATCACCACCGCCTGCGAGTGGGTGGGTGGGTATTAAAGTCCAAAGTACACTGCTCACGCCCCCCACCCCCCACACTTCACGCCCCCACCCCCCACGCCCCCATGACAAGTGCCGTACCACCACGGCCCCAACCCGGCCACCACCGCGGCTCGCAGATCGGATCATCTCACCTTGGAGTTTCCCCGACGGTCCCTGGACCCGTTTCCAGTTGAGCACCGTGCCACATTTCTGCACAAGTCGACGATGACAACCACAGGGCATGGCGGGTGTTTGGGAGGCAGAAAGGGAGAGAGGACAGCCGCTGTGTTACCTTGAAGATTAGAAGATGTTATCTTAAGCTGTTATCTTAAATAACAACAATAAAGCCCGTTTACCATCACGTCAAAGACAATATTGAACTTCTTTCGTAGGCAACCGTGCAAATCGGGAGGATACTCGCAATACGTGTACCGTGTTCTGCGGGTTACAGTGAGGGAAAAAAGTATTTGACCCTCTGCTGATTTTGTACGTTTGCCTACTGACAAATAAATGATCAGTCTATAATTTTAATGGTAGGTTTATTTGAACAGTGAGAGACAGAATAACTAAAAAAATCCAGAAAAACGCATGTCTAAAATGTTATAAATTGATTTGCATTTCCATGAGGGAAATAAGTATTTGACCCCCTCTCAATTAGAAAGATTTCTGGCTCCCAGGTGTCTTTTATACAGGTAACGAGCTGAGATTAGGAGCACACTCTTAAAGGGAGTGCTCCTAATCTCAGCTTGTTACCTGTATAAAAGACACGTGTCCACAGAAGCAATCAATCAATCAGATTCCAAACTCTCCACCATGGCCAAGACCAAAGAGCTCTCCAAGGATGTCAGGGACAAGATTGAAGACCTACACAAGGCTGGAATGGGCTACAAGATCATTGACAAGCAGCTTGGTGAGAAGGTGACAACAGTTGGTGCGATTATTCGCAAATGGAAGAAACACAAAAGAACTGTCAATCTCCCTCGGCCTGGGGCTCCATGCAAGATCTCACCTCGTGGAGTTACAATGATCATGAGAACGGTGAGGAATCAGCCCAGAACTAATCGGGAGGATCTTGCAAATGATCTCAAGGCACCTGGGACCAATGTCACCAAGAAAACAATTGGTAACACACTACGCCGTGAAGGACTGAAATCCTGCAGCGCCCGCAAGGTCCCCCTGCTTTTAAAGCACATATACATGCCCGTCTGAAGTTTGCCAATGAACATCTGAATGATTCAGAGGACAACTGGGTGAAAGTGTTGTGGTCAGATGAGGTCGAAATGGAGCTCTTTGGCATCAACTCACCTCGCCGTGTTTGGAGTAGGAGGAATGCTGCCTATGACCCCAAGAACACCATCCCCACCGTCAAACATGGAGGTGGAAACATTATGCTTTGAGGGTGTTTTTCTGGTAAGGGGACAGGACAACTTCACCGCATCAAAGGGACGATGGACGGGGCCATGTACCGTCAAATCTTGGGTGAGAACCTCCTTCCCTCAGCCAGGGCATTGAAAATGGGTCGGGGATGGGTATTCCAGCATGACAATGACCCAAAAAATACGGCCAAGGCAACAAAGGAGTGGCTCAAGAAGAAGCACATTAAGGTCCTAGAGTGGACTAGCCAGTCTCCAGACCTTAATCCCATAGAAAATCTGTGGAGGGAGCTGAAGGTTCGAGTTGCCAAACGTCAGCCTCGAAACCTTAATGACTTGGAGAAGATCTGCAAAGAGGAGTGGGACAAAATCCCTCCTGAGATGTGTGCAAACCTGGTAGCCAACTACAAGAAACGTCTGACCTCTGTTGATTGCCAACAAGGGTTTTGCCACCAAGTACTAAGTCATGTTTTGCAGAGGGGTCAAATACTTATTTCCCTCATAAAAATGCAAATCAATTTATAACATTTTTGACATGCGCTTTTCTGGATTTTTTTTGTTGTTATTCTGTCTCTCACTGTTTAAATAAACCTACCATTAAAATTATAGACTGATCATTTCTTTGTCAGTGGGCAAACGTACAAAATCAGCAGGGGATCAAATACTTTTTTTCCCTCACTGTATAAGACTCTCCATAAAGTAAGAGGCACCGCAAAAGTTTGTGTCCGGGCGAGTTATACAGATCTGATCACACACCGCAACAAGGACAAAGATCCCCCCCGTATGGAACTTCAACAGACTTTTAGGGCAAGTGACAAAAATGAGCGATGTGGAAGTGTTAATTTTGAGCACACAAGGAGGTGGTGTGCTCAGCAGCACCCCCTCGGGGAGCACGGAAGTTGGAACACAGTATAGCACGCTGCACCGCACTCTGCTAACCGCACCGCATAGCCGTGTAGTGGCCTCCAAACACCTGTCGCATGCATGGCATTTAAACCAATCCAAAGCACTTGCTAGGCTCAAGCCTGCTTCGAGCAAGCTTCTGAGACCCGACCAGTTCGGACTGTGGGTGGACTGGTCACAGGGATGGCATTGTGCACGCCAGGGGGCGTGGCCCGGGCTGGGTTCGCAAGTGGGGGGCGGTTTCCTTCTCGGCGTGGCTGCACCGGCTACGCGCCGTCGCGTTGCCTTAAACAACACCACCACGAACACCGAAACGAAAGCGATTGGACGAGGTCTCCCCCACGAGTGGACCAACTAAACATTGCCCCGTAGCAAAGCACCGTCCAGCCCTGCGATCCTTTAACAGAGGCGCAGAGCCAAAATTACACGATCCCGCTCCTGAAGGCAAGCAGACCTCCACAGAGGCATTCAGCGATTGAAAGTATTTCTAAACGCAAGGACGGAACATGCATTTCGATTATTTTGCTGTTAGAAATGTCCACGTGATGGGCCACTTTGTCGAGCTTTCATTTGTGGCCAGGTTGCTTCTGAAAAGTAAGTGAATATAAGCTCAGTGGGGAATGACCTGGTAAAATTTGTATTTTTAAAAAAGTGTTTATCTTTCTTATACTTTGCACTCCGACCGTGTTTTTGTACTATTTGTTGTTGTAACGTTCTGACCCCTGTGCCCCAACTGGACATCTGCGCAAAAAGAGCTTTACAGCTCATCGGATTTCTCCTCCGGTCGAAACAAAGACCCTCATTCTGAGAACGGCTCGCCGGCTCGCCGGCTATCCCACCAAGGCGGCAGCCAATGGCGCAAGCGGGCGGGCAACTTACCGCGAGCAACAGCCCGATGAGATACTCCGACGCGCGGTCGGGGATGTTCCCCACGAACACGGTCGTGGGGGGCGGCGCCGGCTCGTCCGCCTTCCGGGGGGCGGACGACGACGACGACGACGACGACGGCGCCGGCGCCGGCGGCGGCGGCGGCGGCGCCGGCGAGGATGCGGGCGGCCGGACGGGGGGAGCCGCCGCGGCGGACATCGCGGGCGGCCCCGCCCCGGGCGGAGGCGGCGGCGGCCCCGGGGATGGCAGCAGTGCTGGAGGCTTGCCCATCATGGGCGGCAGCGCCATGCGACGGGGCAGGAACACCTGGTGCCGGAGGGAGGGCACAGTCCACTGTCCACGCAGCAATGCGGAAGCAAATGTCAATCCCACTGCTGGACACGGGGCGATCCACCACCCCCCTCCACAAACAAAACAAAGATCCACCGTGTAGCCTAGACAGACTGTCGGAGGCAAGTGCGGTTAGCGAGCAACTATGAAGGCCATAACGGCATGCGAGGGGGTGTGTGGCCACCAACACGCCCAGCCGCCTTTGTCTCCCTAATAACAATGCTTTTACGCAACGTACCAGGTACTCATTTGAGGCTCAGTCGACCTAGGGGAGGCCCGGGACCCGTTTAGATAATCAACGCTTGTGTTGGCCATGAGCAGGAATCGAATTCGGGTCGCCGGGTTGGTCGTACAGCTTAGCGCTAACCGCGAGCCAGCCGGTGCGGGTGTGGCCAAAGGCGGAGGGGGATAAACACGAGGGAGCGTAAGAAGCGCGGCACAACTGTGGATTTTGCCGCACGGCGCTTGTCTTGCTCATGATGGTCACCCGTTGAGACACGCGATGCAGGCTCTACCCCCCGCGTAAGCTTCCGGGATGTCGCGAGATCGGTTTGTGCATTGACAGCGAAAGGCCATGTCCGGGGGGGTCACACCTCTTAGCCGCAAAAACGCAAATACAGGAAACACGCCAGGTGCACTATTGGTGTGTCCACTAACACCCACACACACACACTACACGCACCGTATTGTACGCATGTACACGTAACACACGTGTTACATGTAACACAACTGGCTTCATCAGGCGACAGCTAGTTGAAATTACTGGCAAAACAAAACACTCCAATGTTGTGCGTTTACTCTCCAACACACCGGTGTGCTGTACCAGTAACGAATGGCTATGTTTTCTTTACGTGACAAACTTTACTAATTGGCTGTGTCGGGTGGTGGCGGGTTTAACGACACATTTACATATCTAAACGATCTAACCCAACAAAAGAGTAAAAACCTATACTATGGATGTTGCAGTCGCTTCTCTTCAACTCCCCCACGTTTGTACCATTGCACGGTGCCCCGAGGCCATTGCCATGAAAATAAAAGACAAGCCTCATATTGCGGGTTGCACAGACAACTCTTGATTACCCAGGGTCATGGGGGAGGAGAGGAGGGCATGGCCAGCATAGAACAAAATAAATTATAAAACACACCTAAGTCAGGCTATGAGATTAATTATTGTTTACTTTTGTAAAATTGTGGGGGTGAAAATACATCAAGTCTCGTCTGTTTGCATTGCTTCTTAAAGTGCTGGGTTTGTGTGTTTAGTTTGTTACCCCCCCTCCTCCCCTGCACCCCCCCCCCCATTAGCAAGGCTGGCTTTTATATTGGTGGTGTCTGTGTTGGTGTCTTCACCATCAGCCATGGTCTATCCACAAACACAGTACACAGTACAAAGTACACTACAAAGTACTGTTTGTGTGCGTGAATGAGAGCGCTGGGCCCCCAAACACACATGTTCATCCACACAAGCCAGATAAGTCCACCAAGATATGATCGAGAAATCTTCAAATGTAGATTCAAATCTAGATATGATCAAGTGTCTAGTGTATTATTAGTTGTAAAACTTTTAGAAGTTGATGATTGATGGTGGCGATGATGTGATAATCGTGATTATAGCGATGATGCTCACCGGTCTGGGAAGCATGCCCATCGGAACAGGAATCATCGGGGTACCTGGAAAACAAACACACACACGGGACACGCAAACACATGAGCACAGCGGTAATTCCCCCGATGTGCCATGAAGCGCATAGACTCAACATGTGACAACACAACAACATTACACAATGGATCGTACGACACGTGCCGGCTGCAGACACCAAACGGCATTGGCGACGTACACGCCAAGTGACGTCACAAGATGTCGCGAGATGTGACGCAACGATACTCGACGTGCCAATACTCGACGTGCCGATACTCAACAAGGGCGTGACGATACTCGACGTGACGATACGATACTTGGCATGATGGTACTCGACGCGACGATACTCAATGTAACGACAGGCACAGCAGCAGTTATACGAGTTGCACGGCGCTTTAACACAGAGCATTAGCATTTCATGACGCATCACGTGGCATCGAACAACACGCGTGTCAACGAAACGAACATATGAATCGGGGGGCCGGGGACGATGCATCGCGTGCTACGTGGCACATGACATATGGCAAACGGCGCTTGAACACACGGGGCGGCAGTAGTAGTAGCGCACCACGTGTCACATGGCACTGTCAACAAAACGCGGGTCACCGACCGGGCTGGGTCGTAATGCTGCGCGAGGGGAGGGGAGAGGGGTGTGTGTGTCCGTACAATGAGCGCTTAGTGTTTTGTTGACGTTTGTTTGGCGTTAGTCTGAGGGAGGCGGGGCGCGCTAGTGCCCGCTGAGCGACGTCCGAAGCCTGCCAAGTTGCTCCCTGCGCCGCCGTCGATGCTGTGAGCTACTCGTGGCCCGCACGCCGGGAGCCCCCCAGTCTACGTCTGTCACGCGACTCATGCGTGCACGCGCGTCTGTGTGTGTAAGGGGGACCGCGGTAGTGTAGCCATTAGCCTGCTGCGCTACGAACCTGACGAACCGAGTTTGATTTCCGCTCACGGCCAACACCAATGACGATTATCTGAACCGGTCCTGGACCTCCCCTAGGTCGACTCGGCCTCAAATGAGTACCTTGTGGTGTGTAAACATCGCCACTGGGGAGACAAAGGTGGCCAGGCGTGGTGTTGGCCACCCACCCCCTCGTGCGCCGTTCTGGCCTTTATAGGTGCTGGCTGACAGCACTTGCCACAACAGTCTGTTAAGGCTATACGGGGGATCTTTGTCTTTGTATGCGTGTGTGTGTATAGCGGGGAGTGGTAACGTAGCGGTTAGCGCGCTGCACTTCGAACCCAGAGAACCGAGTTCAATTCCCGCTCACGGCCAACACCGGTGATGGTAATTTGAACTGTTCGTGGGCCTCCTCTAGGTCGACTCGGTCTCAATTAAGTACCTGGTGCGTTGTGTAAACATCGCTACTGGGGCGACAAAGGCGGCCGGGCGTGGTGTTGGCCACCCACCCCCTTCGTGTGCCGTGCCGGCCTTCACAGGTGCTACTCGCTAACAGCACTTGCCCCAACAGTCTGTTCATGTAGGGCACGTAACGATGCGTCGACTCGTAACAATTCACCTGGTTAGATCGTGCGAGCGCAATGCCAACCGGAGCTATGCACCGCCAAAGGACCAGACCAGAATACTGGGACCATACAAAGCATTGCAATAAACGAGTTGGGGGACCACTAGGCCGTCGTAGCTCGTTCGTTTTGAGAGTAGCAGACAGATTCTAGAGCCTACATGGGGCGTCCCTTCAAGAGAGTCCCAGCGAAGCAGCTTCCGCCACCTGGTGCTGTGCGGGCAGCCGGTTCCAGGCTGCCGCCGCTGTCTGCGCCACCGTGACCAGATGTCAGCTACCTCGCCTGGCAGACAGGAGGTCGTGGGTTCAATTCCGACAGCTGCGGTATATTTGGAGTCAGCGTGTCTCTCTCTTCTCTGTGGCGGCGTGGATTTTTCTCCGGGGTCCTCCGTTTTTTTTCCCCTCCGCATTTACAATCGTGCGTTTAAGAGCGTTTGGCCACTGTTATAAATTTCCACACGATGACAAGCCAATTCGTTGGGCTGTCATTTGTGATGGTCAGGTCGCATGTGAAAAAAAGAGCTACATAACTCGGTTGGGACCTTACCTGCTAAAATAAAAATAGTTTTAAATAGCTTAGTAAAACGCAATCGCTTCCCTCCCGTCCACGGTCCTGAACTTTCCCCACCAGCATCGTCTACCGCGGCAGCTCCTCCGCTTCTCTCACCTCGTGTGTCGAACTTGAGGCAAGCGGTCAGTTGCCCGGATCGACCTTGGTCGATATTATTAGCGATTTTTGAAGGCGCGGATTCAAGTCTCCGCGCGTTCTCCTCTGTTCAAGGGACAAATGTTCCTCAAGAACCGTGCTCTTGCCAAGAGCCGGCGATGCTTGTTTTTCAACATATAGAAATAGCAGTTTGCTAAAAATCTAAATTGACGGGGCGCATTTGTCCAGGTGACAAGTGGACTTGTTTGGCTGTGTCGGGTGGTGGTGGGGGGTGCATAGCTCTAGTTGACATGATAACAACACGATCGAGCGTCCAACTGAAAATCGAGCAACTTCCTCAAATCGGATTGATTCTTACGCCACCGTGATACACTGCACCGCGCTGTCACCAACCCCCAAATGAGCAGCGTGGCGAAGTATGGTCAAACAACCAAAGCATGTAAACGAAAGGGTGTTCCAATTGGACGGCACACCATATATAAACCTAAATAGGGGTAACGATACGGTCACATGGTATAACAAAAGTCCTCGATTAACGCGGTAGATGCGTTCCTGAAAAAAATGCTGCGTCAAGCGGAAAACTATGTCTCCATAAGTAATGTCACGATAAAGTTCGGTGAGACACGACGGACTACTACGCGCACGCGTAGCAACTTGAGGGTACGCCGTCGACTGCTCAGAAACCATGTTACAACGGTGCAAGTTTTGCATTATAATGGCATGCCTTTTGCGTTAGAATGGTGCGTGGTCCACGTTATAACAGTGTGCGGCCCACGTTATAACAGTGTGTGTTCTACGTTATAACGGTGTGCGTTCTACGTTATAACGGTGTGCGTTCTACGTTATAACGGTGTGCGTTCTACATTATAACGGTGTGCGTTCTACATTATAACGGTGTGTGTTCTGCGTTATAACGGTGTGTTCTGCGTTATAACGGTGTGCGTTCTGCGTTATAACGGTGTGTGTTCTGCGTTATAACGGTGTGCGTTCTGCGTTATAACGGTGTGTTCTGCGTTATAACGGTGTGCGTTCTGCGTTATAACGGTGTGCGGTCCGCGTTATAACGGTGCGTGTTCTACGTTATAACGGTGTTTGTTCTACGTTATAACGGTGTGTGTTTTACGTTATAACGGTGTGTGCTCTACGTTATAACGGTGTGCGGTCCACGATATAGTGGTGTGTGTTCTACGTTATAACGGTGTTTGTTCTACGTTATAACGGTGTGCGTTCTGCGTTATAACGGTGTGCGTTCTACGTTATAACGGTGTGCGTTCTACATTATAACGGTGTGCGTTCTGCGTTATAACGGTGTGTTCTACGTTATAACGGTGTGTGTTCTGCGTTATAACGGTGTGCGTTCTACGTTATAACGGTGTGCGGTCCACGATATAGTGGTGTGTGTTCTACGTTATAACGGTGTGTTATATGTTAGCGGTATGCATTCTGCGTTATAACGGTGTGCGTTCTGCGTTATAACGGTGTGCGGTCCACGATATAGTGGTGTGTGTTCTACGTTATAACGGTGTGTGTTCTACGTTATAACAGTGTGCGTTATATGTTAACGGTGTGCATTCTGTGTTATAACGCCGCGCCTTCCGCGTTGCGCCAAAAGCGCTCCCCGAATATAAGAACCGCGTTACAGCGAAAACAGCGTTTGAGCGCGAACAACGCCGCCGCCGCCGCCGCCACTGCACGATAAGCGATCACTTTTCCGTACGTTCACTTTAGCCATGCTCACTGCAGGTGAATGTCTCGTCGCGAAAAATCATGTTGCGCGGAAATCCGATCGAACGGGGGGGCCCCGGGGCTCGCGGTCGGTTACCTGGGGGCGGAATTCCCGGAGGAGGATACCCCGCGTAGTGGGGGGGCGGCAGTCCCGGGGGCAGGGGAGGTGGCAGCCCCCTCGCCATACCTGGGGGAAGCGGGGGCATCCCCGGGGGCATGGGGATGGGGGGCATGACGGGCATGGGGTGGCGCGCCAGGCGAGGTGGGAACGACATCTTCTCGACAGTTTTGCGCTGGTCACGCCGGACAGAGCCTGCAATGGGCGGTAGAAACAGAGGCACACGCACACACACACACGAGTCATGGTCCATGTTCAGCTTCGTAGTCATCATCATCACGATCCATGGGCAGATCACCAGTAGATCCCCACTGCGCATTTCGTTATTTGTTTCCATTTTCCTCTTGTCTACGGTGGCAATATTCCGACACGCCCGTCAAGCTTTGAGAGAAAGACTTTAAAAGTCACGGACGGCCAGGCGCTCCGTTATAGCGGCGCTACTGTGGAGTCTCCTCAACGACGTGCGTTGCGCACAAACGCATATGTGACGCATGACACACGTGTGGCAGTGCTGTCACGGTGACGTTACCGCAGCACGACAACGGCGCTCAATCGTGAGAATCCACTTGAAATTATTTTCTCGTTGAAGAAGCTTCCAGCCCGTGTGTTAAGCAGCCCGAGATAAACGTGTGAAAAATGAGAATAGGTGGTTACCATTTCTGGCAATGAAACAGGTGTTAAAGAGGTTCAAACTCCAAATAGATACTTTTTTGCCAATATCATACTTTGATACTGGCAAAAAGGTTCCAGAGAGATAACCGCTCAAGCCGAGATGTAAATTCTCTGATACTTGCATTGTCTTTGTACTGTTCGCATTTTGTCGTTCTCTGGTGTGCCACTGTTTGTGACACCAAGGCCATGAAGAAGGCTGCTGGTTCTGGTGTAGGCCAATCAGTTTCAAAGGCAATGCATACATTACCAGAGAATGTTTATAGCTTTGCATGTTCACCACAAGTTCGTGTGATCAACGCAGACTTGATTCCTTGCAAAAATGTATATATTTGGTGTTGAAACATCTAAACACAACACCTGTTGTATTGCCAGAAAGGGTAAAAAAAAATAGTTTTCTTTTTCAAAATTTGATTCTGCCAAAAAAGTCCCATCGAGATGCATGTCTTGGCAGACGTGTAAACATCTGTCAACTCAATAACTGCAACGATTAATCAACCGTGATTACTGTGCTCAAGATGAACACCTCAATACGCCCATGTGCAAAGAAAATGAATTGTTGTGTGCAACTTGCGTGCAAATTATATATGAACATTAACTTTGAGTTGAAAGCCAAGCAGAAGTCTTGATTTTGATTATTAACTAAGCTTTAAACTCATGTACAACAGAGACACAGTCATACAGCTGAGAGCGTTATCTGCTAAGAGATAAGAGATATGGGAGGTGGAGTCGTGTGGGCACGGTGGCGGATCGCGCAACTGTACTACAAAACCCGGTGACCCAAGTTCCATTTCAGGCCACGGTCAACATCAGTGGCAAGTGATATTTTAACCAGGCCTGGGACTACTCCTCCGCCCACCCAAGACCAACACACACTGACCAGCTAAGCAAGTATGGTCAAACAACAATTGTGGCTATGACGGCTTGCGCAGGGCCCTTCTTTCACCCGGCAGTAGATTTATAAAATGCCACAACTCATATGTAAACCACTTTAAAAAAGAAACACAAATACATCTGTGTCATGAGGACGTCTCTTCATTTCATCTGAAATTGCTGCCGCTGACCGGTGGCTTGTATGTACGTACGTCAAGCTACTTTCGCACCGTACGTCGCCAACCGCGCTCACCGGTGGTGCGTGGCCTGCACCTGCAGGAAGGCCTATTGGCCACAGAGGGCACATCTCCCCATTTGACATAGGAGTCAGACCCCCTTTGGGTCAATAGAATCGAGATCCAAGGGGGACCTTAGGGAGGGCCTAAGGAGCAGCCTCGGAAAAGACCAAATTGGGGGGGGCTCAGTGGGGAGAACATCTTTTGCAATAAAAATTCCCCAGGGCCACCGAATAACTCTTCCGGCAGCCCTGCTGCTCTCTCACTCTCGCCGCACACGCAGCGCGGTTTGTTTGCTGTGAGTACGAAACGCTCATGTGGCAAGGTGGGGGACGGGGGGGGGGGTGTCGGGCGGGGGGGCTGCCCCCGGAGATAAAAGTGCCACGACCAAACTCGTGGAATGCGGAGCAGGATGCACAATGGCACGCCGGCGCAAAACGTGGGACCCGGTCACGCTACGACGCCGTCCATCGACGCGTCGATTCGTGTCAATTCAAATCATCGATTGCTTGCGCTGACATTGCATGCATCGAAATTGCGCTCGCGAGAAATCGATTATTATTTATTTGAATTTGTTGTTGCGGGGGGGGGGCAGGGTAGCATTTGCGCGGTGGGGTTAGCGCGTTGCGCTCCGAACCCAGCGACCTCGGTTCAACTCCCGGCCGTGGCTGCTAACATCAGCGCGGTGAGCGATGCCCGCACCGGTCCCCCTCTCTACCGACCCGACACAACCAGAGTGGCGGTGCCGGCATACACCCTACACGCCGGTTTCGATTACACCCAATGAGACCAAATCGCTGGAGATTGCTCGTCATAGGTGACCACCGTGCATGCTAGCTTGTCAGGCAGCTGTGGGGCGTGCTATGTTGTGGGAAACTAAATGACAGCTAAACCCATTGCTGTGCTGCACATCTATGCTTTCCGCAATCGTGAATCCGCATGGGCCAGCTTCGTAGCGTAGGTGTTATAGGCTCAACCCAGATGAGCTTCCAAAATCTGATTAGATGAGTTGCATTCCGGGTGATATGGGATCAAAGGCCGTTAACCACGAGCGGAACAATCAATAAAGACTGAAAACCGACATTCCCGTCAGAACCACGTCGAACTGCCCTGCTTACAGGAATTTATTATTTTTTTCTCCGTGAACTCGCTCCATGCGGCGTCGCTGTAGTTGAGCGAAAGCACAAACACACCGGGGCGCAAGTCTGCGACCCCAGCGCTTCGGAGGCAAGAGTTGGTGGATCACACAGATTTGTGAAAGTTCCGAACCAAAACCCCCTGCTGAGCTGCCAACTGGTCAAGAGGTGGCAGTGCAGCCAGTGGGCTCGTGAACCCATCTGTGCGGACCTAGGCATCACAGTCAGAACCAAAACCAACAACAGCAGCATCCATAATACAGCTTTTTTTTGTTATACTGTATTGCGTAAATATATAAATGTGTCATTAAACCAGCCACCACCCGACACAGCCAATTAGAAAGGTTTGTCACGTAAACAGAACATTCCAATTCGTTACGAGTACAGCACACCGGTGTGTTGGAGAGCCTGTATTATGGATGATATTGGTTACGAAAGCCTACGTGTTAAAGCAACATCCAGATAGGCAGGTTTACATCACCTATAGAACAAGCGCCAATTACCAAATCACCTACAACTGCCCAATCTCATCAGATTTTAGAAGCTCAGCAGCAGGGTTATGAGCGTGGACACCGCTTGGTTGGGCGACGACGCATATTGTACGCTGGGTTGTCATCGACCGCTGAAGGGGCTGCGTGGTGGGCAGCAGAGGGCAGCAAAGCAAAGTCCGTTCTTGGACAAACGTTCGGTCTTCGAAATTTAGCGTTAAGGCGACAAATTACGGACACTTTTAGAATTAACGAAAAATCGAATTTCCGCGCAAACGAAATTTCACGACGGCCACGCCACCAAACATGAGCAACCACCCGGGAGGGCTGCGTCATCTATCGGCGACAGCGTCACGGTGTCCCTGCAGTAGCGGCAGCAACGTTTCCTGTCATTCCAACGTGCAGCAGCAGCATCTTTTGGCGAGTTTCCCGAAAAGGTTAATTATTTTGGTTTAAAGTGAATAATTATTCAATCGTTTTAATATGCACGTTCATTATTATTATATTGTGAAAAGTGATACGGGTGTGTATTTTTAGGCGAGCAGAGTTGGAATGACCGACTGTCCGATACACAGCCCTATATTTTTGGTATTAAGTTAATGGGTAAGGCCATTCCGATCTACCAAATTTCGTTCTGTGTTTTTTTTGGAAGAACGCATCCCTTTCGTTGATCGAGGGATACCTGCACTGTGTGTTCCTCTGCTCCCACACCCACGCCATTCTAGCTACGTTCACCAACCCACACTGAGCAGCGTGGTGATGTACGGTCGTACAACCCCACGACCTGCAGGGCAGGGGGAAGTCTTCATCCAACATGTAGCAAACCAGAGGGGAAAATCATCAACCACAAATAGGCGCTACACACCTGTAACAATAACTACGACTACTAGGAAGATGCATCAGCAATACAGCAGAGATATCAACTACAACCACGTAGGTTAATCAACCACCTTGGTTGGTACAACATGAACAATGACCAGGTAGAATAAGAAACTACCCCCACCACCTTGGTTGGTACAACATGAACAATGACCAGGTAGAATAAGAAACTACCCCCACCACCTTGGTTGGTACAACATGAACAATGACCAGGTAGAATAATAAACTACCCCCAACACCTTGGTTGGTACAACATGAACAATGACCAAGTAGAATAAGAAACTACCCCCACCACCTTGGTTGGTACAACATGAACAATGACCAGGTAGAATAATAAACTACCCCCATCACCTGGTTGGTACAACATGAACAATTACCAGGTTGAATATTAAACCACCCCCACCACCTTGGTTGGTACAACATGAACAATGACCAGGTAGAATAATCAACCACCCTGGTTGTTACAACATGAACAATGACCAGGTAGAATAATCAACCACCCTGGTTGGTACAACATGAACAATTACCAGGTAAGATAATCAACCACCCTGGTTGGTACATGAACAATGACCAGGTAAGATAATCAACCACTCCAACCACCTTGGTTGGTACAATACAAACAATGACCACGGAGGATAATCAACTTCAACAAGTCTGGGCTAAGTATATAAGGAGCTTCAGCAATTCCCTCCCATCGTATCTCTTTCCTTTTGCCCAACCAGGGCATGTATTAAACCTTACCTACACGACACATTCCTGCCCTCCGTTTCTTTGCACGCTTGCAAATTCACGTTGCGTCGACGGAGCCATCGCGAACGCCGTTGTTGGTATGTGCGTGTCGACCTGGGGTGTTTTTTTTTGTTCCTTTCGATGTTTCCTCGTCGTGCCGTTCTTGCTGCTGGCCCCACTACTTGGTGTTTTGAGCGCCGTGCTCTAGCCGCCGTGGCAACACGAGGCATCAACGGTCCATCAACAACAATACATATGAAATCAGACAATCGGAAGTCGGTAGAGATATATATTCGAGTCCGCTTTGAAAACGGACACTGCCGACGAGACTGGCGTGATACGGAGGATTCTCGTCCAGCAGTGGAACTGACAAAGGGTTATGTTGCAGGTGGACTATACTTACTATGATATGAACGTAAAAGTCGCAACGATAAAAGGCGTGTTGGTTATAGGCCAAATGGCGAGTTTAAACCTAAACACACGAGTTTTGAGACTAGCACATACGACATACATACAAGGAGAATAAACCCATAAGCCACAGAGACTCAGAGATACAAGGAGAAATACACTCACGCACAAAAGGTATACCAAGAGATATATACATTAGAATACACACACTTGTAGATACATAGTGATATACTCGCAGAGATAGACTCCTGGAGATACACTGTATATAGACTCAGTGATAAATAGAAAGCCAGAGAGCCATAGAAGGCCATGAAACCCAAACTATGGTGCGCATATTAAACCCATAGATATAGAAACTCAGAGATACAAGGATACAGATACATAGATATATTAAGACATACTGTACATATACACGTAAAAATATACATAGACTCGTAGATACACAGAGACACACACTGGCAGAGATAGACTCCCAGAAATACACTCTCTGATCAAACGAAAACATTAGAGACATAACCACAGCAGTTGTGCGATTGTGGCCCAGCAATCTAAACTATGGGTTGCATAGTGAACCCATAGACACCGACCCAGAGATACCAGAAGACACTCAAGTACATAGGTAGACACAAACATATATACAAATAGATATACACAGACGTGTAGCTAGAGACATACTCCTAGAGATACAATGCACAGACTCAGCAAGAGAAAGCCAGAGAACCATCTAGGTACATTAGAAACGTGGCCATGCAACCCCAAGCTTATGAGGCGCACAGTGAACCCGCCACTGTACGGTCACTCAACGGAGGAGGCAAATCGTCCACACGACACCGATTCGTCTCTCTCGCCCTGCCGAAGCCTTCCTCTCGTACGTGGCGAGCAGCAGACCCCGACACCGAGACACACACACACAATAGCTCCTCTACCGTAGCGGCAGCCCGTGTCCCAGAACAGAATGTGTCCGAGTGTATCGTGAACGGCGAGCGTTCAACGCGCTGAGGCATTTCTCCATGGCCCGAGGCCTCTCTCGACGTGCCCAGGACCATCATCACCACCACCACCAACCACAACAAAAACCACAACCACCACGGGCACAGCAACAACAACCCGCGCTGGAAACGCAAAACGCAACACAAACCTTGTGTGTGTGTGCGTGCGCGTCTCGCTCGCTCGTCAGCGGGTGAGTCCGCACTCACATTCTACACGGGTTCAATGCGGGAACAGCAAGCGACGACGATAGTAAAAACAACAGTAAGTGATTAGTTAAAACTGTCAATGATTAAGGAGACGCCACCGCACACTCGCGGGTTCCGTGCAGGCTACGGCCGAGTCGAGGGCGCTGGGGGGGGGGGGGGCACCTCGCCGCCTTCACATTCCGTACCCCGCACGCGCAGCCGCGGCTCCCTCGGCGGCTTGCGAGTGGCCGCGCGGCGGTCACGCGGGAAGCCTCCTGGCCAATGGGCGTGCTCCGCGGAGGACGAGCTCGCTTATCCGGACTGCGGATTCTAAATGGGGGCGGGGGTGGTGGTGGGGGGGACGCGGCCTTGGTCAGGAGGGCCCCGAGCGGCGTCGCCGTCGCCTCCCCTCCTCCCGCGGGTCTCTTCCCCACCGCCCGCTCGCTCGCTCACTCCACGCGGGTTGTGTTGTCTCCACCGCCGCTGTTGTTGTTTGTGGTGGCGTGGAAATTGTAAGCAACGCGAGGCGCCGACTCCTTCCGCCTCCTGAGGCACCAGGCCCCTGCACGTAGTCACGTGGTGCGCGTCTGCACCACGTGGTGGCAGTGGAGGAGGAAGATGTGGCTACGTGGTGGTTCATGGTGAATGTTGCAGTAGTGGTGCTGGTAGATGTCTAGCAGTAGTGGTGCTGGTGGATGTGGCTACGTGGTCGATGTTTGGTGGTGGATGTGTAGTGGTGCTGGTGGATGTGGCTACGTGGTCGATGTTTGGTGGTGGATGTGTAGTGGTGCTGGTGGATGTGGCTACGTGGTCGATGTTTGGTGGTGGATGTCTAGCAGTAGTGGTGCTGGTGGATGTGGCTACGTGGTAGTGATAGATGTTTGGTGGTGGCTGTCTCATCAGGCAATCGCCCTCCAACAACACCGGAGGGCGGAGGAGCAACGCTCACAACCAGTGGAGCGCCGGGCGGCTAAAATACAAAAGTTGGCACAGTAGGGGGCACAGGTGGTGCATCTACCGGTCATGTCAGTCAGCCAACCCATGGCACCTGGGTCTGTCCCAAGACCTCCTGTGAGCGAGCTTTCGACACTTGACGTGGCCTCAAAGTTGTGGCGTATAACGGGTATTGCGTGGCGGATATATATGGTGAGGTTGAGGGGAGATCGTAGCGCTACTCAGGATGATTGTGGTGTGTAGGCAGGAGTGTATATAGTTAGATTAGTGTGTGCAAGGGGCTGGTAACCACATTAAACGAAACTTTTACTTTACCAGGTAAGGTCCACTGTGGAGCTATACAGCTCTTACTCTTAAGTTAAAATTTATAAAGCTGTTTTTCAGAAGCGACCTGGCGATCACAAATGATAGCCCAATAAAGTGGCTGGTGGAAATGTATAGCAGCGAAATACTCTAAACGCATTAGGATTATAAATGTGGAGGGAAAAACCGGCGGACCCGGAGAAAAATCCACGCAACCACGGGCAGAGATACATGCAAACTTCAAATATACAGGCGTCGGGGTCGGGATCGAACCCACGACCTCCTGTATACCCAGCAAAGTAGTTAACATCTAGCCACTGCGGCGTCCCCACTTAGCACAGATTAGATGTTTTGTTAATTAGGTGATTCTTTTTTTCAATGCACACACTTTTATTAGTACTCAAAATTATAAAGTAAATTATTTTGACCCCAGAATTGATCAAATTTTATTTTCTGAAGAAAAGTGGGTGGCTTGCAAAAAAAAATAAACGTTTCGAAAGAAAACCACCCACTTTTATTCAGCACCTCAAATTTGAATAATTCTGGAATCTAAAAATGTTTTTTTTTTCTAATTTTGAATGCAAATAAAAATGTGTGCATTGAAAAACTATTTTCACCTAATTATTTTTTTACCATGAAAACTTTTAACTATTTGATTTAACAAGTTAAGGCCCATATTCTTAGTTTTTTCGGTAAAGTCACGTTGAAGAGAAACAACATGATGACCGTTTGAGTTATGGTCGAAACGTCGTGAGAATTTTTTTTATTGTTTTATATATATTTTGTTGTTTCTCTTCAACGTGACTTTACCGAAAAAACTAAGAATATGAATTACTGCAGTCACGAAAGCTTTAAATCAAAATTTAAGTTAAGGCCCACTTGAGCTGTATAGCTCTTTTTCAGAAGCGACCTGGCCACAAATGATAGCCCTATGAAATTTATAGCAGCCAAATACTCGAAGCACATGTTTCTAAATGTGGATAAACCGGAGGACGCGGAGAAAAATCCACGCGACCACGGGGAGAACATGCAAACTCCCAAATATACAGCAGGTGGCAGGGTTGGGTTAGGATAGAAACCACAACCTTCTATAATACACCAGGCGAGATAACACCGCGAGATGTTAACTTTTAAGAACAGCATCACTATAACACTCTACGCCGAATGAACACATGATCCGGAATTGGAATGCGCTCGATCTGGTCGGACCTCGAAAGCCAAGCAGATCTGAGCTTGCAAAGTGCCTGGATAGGTGTCCACCATGCACAAACAGGTTGTCATTGGGCTGCGGGACTATGTTGCGTTTTATACCGAGTTGTACTGTACGTCTATGCTGCCCACCTTTACCAATCCGCACTGACCAGCCGGGGTAAAGTATGGTCAAACGCCTCCACAACCAGCACGGCGTGGGGAGCCCCTCATCCAGCGGTGGATTAACAATGTCTCGATGTCCCTACGGGCATTGTGCTGCGCTCATCCCCACCAGTGGAAATTCCACATTCCCATGGCAGGCACCAGCTTTAACAACCACTTACGACTTCGCACAAAGTGGTAACTATTTTATGACCATGTAGAGATGACAATGATGGCTTGTCTATGTCAGCCCTTAACCTTACAATAAATTAAAGCATATGCATTGCTAGGCAACAGTCTACGCAATACAAGGTTTTGTTAGCATGCAGCACGGCTGCAACAATTAAAATAACGATCATGCCGATTGCAAAATATAACAAGAAACGTAATACGCGATTAATTGTTGTATTTGCGATTAAGAACTGTACTGTATGGAATACGGCAAGATACAAGGAAACGGAAATGCTATAATGCGCACACGTGTACAGCAGCGCATATCGCGACACCGTGTTCAACGCATACAGATTTAGCACAATTAATTTAAAGCATTTATATTAACAATCGTAATGAGAAACATTTTGCCAAGTAAAATAGCGATAACATTACGGCATTTAAATAAAAAAAGCATGATCACGATGCTCACCTGCTCGCTCAACTGGAGCATAACCACGTTTTGCTCAGCAAACGATAACACTGTTCATTAAGATTATAACTATGTAGTTATTTTAACAACAGCAAGAGTAGCAGCAATTGTTATTGCAATTGTTAGCCTCGCGCTAAAAGGGAACCACAGCGGCCGCTCCTGCGCCATGACGAGCGGCGACTCTAAGCGCACCTCTCATTGGTCAAACGCTCCCCAACAACAGCCGCTCTGATTGGACGAGACGTTTCCTCTTCGGAGCTGGGCACCTCCATTCGTGATTTGACATGGGGGTTAGAATATCTGAGTATTAATTACAGACATTTTATATTATTTGTTTATTTCGATAAAGCCACGTAGATAAAGAGAAAAAACATTAAGTGATAATAAACAATAAAAAACACTAACGGAGACTGTAACTTGGTTCTTCATCGGAGTGAGTGTACTGGCAGTCTATAGTGTAGACTTATTCTTGGTTCCTTCAGTAATTTAAATATAATAAAAATTAAATGAAAACAAAAACCACGACGTTTCGATCGCAACACAAGCGGTCGTCATCAGGAAAAGGGGGGTTCACCTCTAAATGCAAACTGTTTATAAAGGTTTAGAGATGGGCGTAGCCCAAGCGTGTCAGCAGCATGGGCGGGGCAGCTTATGTTAATGTATCCCAAGTGTGTCAGCAGCATGGGCGGGGCAGCTAATGTTAATGTAGCCCAAGTGTGTCGGCAGCATGGGCGGGGCAGCTTATGTTAATGTAGCCCAAGTGTGTCGGCAGCATGGGCGGGGCAGCTAATGTTAATGTAGCCCAGGTGTGTCTGCAGCATGGGCGGGGCAGCTTATGTTAATGTAGGAGAAAGCAATGCCAACGCAGTGAGTCGACAACCAATCAAAGGTCCGCCAGGCAATCATTTGCACCTTGCTCCACATAACCACACACTGTTGACGGTGGAGGTTGACAAGAAAACACAAATCAAGTCCTGACCCAGTGGTTGATGACATCTTTCCAATAATTTCTGAGTTTAAAAACCATCCACTCGGTTGAAATTGTGTTTGTATATAGGATGGCTTCATGAACGAATCATTGTTGATAGTAGGCCTGCAAGGTACCATCGTCTTAGAGAAATCAATTTCGTGTGAACCAGCCGCATTCAAACAATGATGAGCCACGGCAGAAATATTGGTCCTACCGTGTTTCAAATCTGCCTTATGCTCACGAATACGGTCCGAGACATGTCGCTACGTTTCCCCAATGTAAATGCTGTCGCAGATACAGCTTAGTAGACGCCGGGATATTGCATGTCAGGAATCTTGTCCTTCACAGATGGGATTAGATCACGAATTGTATGTATTGCATTAAATCAGACCTGGATCTCGTTTTTTCATGATTTTGGAAATCTTTTTGGTTACCCCTACAGAAATTAAGTTTAAAAAAACACGAAGAGGCCAAGGATCGGCAGATCCTGGACCGGTTTTCTTAATTAAATCTTTATCACACAAGTCCATGTCGAAAATTTCAGCTCGTTCAGCTTCGTAGATTTGAAGATATTAACCGTCAAATGTTTGAAATAATATAAAGAGACAACAACAAAGCAAAGTTCTATTTAAAAAAATGTGTAAATAATTATAAAACCCACGGTACAAACATCGAATTAAGCTTGTGCCAGAAGCCCTAAGGGGGGCGGGGAGGGAGAACTGACATTTTCCGGCCAAACCCCAAGAGGTGGAGCTAGGAGACTCCACCCACCTCGGGGTTCCTGCAGAAATAAGAAACCACTGCAGACAAAGGTGGGAAGTCCAAACGGTCACTGCGGAGAGGCTGCCACTCCTATGGTCGGGGAATGGTTCGGTAACCACCTGTACACCTCTGTGGAATACAGGTACCCCTGGTGGACTGTTTCTGGCTCCAGTCACCCTGAGTGGTGGACAGTTATCCGCTCGGGGCAGGAAACTGCCAAACAACGGGGAGTGACTCTCCTGAACAAAATAACGACAGGCGTGTGGGAGCGTGGTGGTGAGTTGTGGGAAGCTTCGAGTCCCAGGCTATTGTGGTTTCGGCTCCCCATCAACAGGGAGCCAGTTGTGGTGATGGCTAACGCCCCCAACCGACCACTGGATTGCAAGTCCCTTGAGCCAACCGGTACACTGCGGAAGCAGCGTCCTTCATCGCCTCTGCAATGTGCAACAATCGGTGGGGTGGGGGGGGCAGTGCTGAACCAAACGGGTACAAGTCTGCATAGTTTCTCTCCCGTCAATTCGCCACACAGGGAAATAAACAATCTGAATCGTCGACGTGTTACTTTGTTTTTTATTGGAACATTGAACGCAACTCGGACAACAGCGCCCTAACCACTCGTTCTTGAAGGTGCAACCTACATTGTTATTATTGGAACATTGAACGCAACTCAAACAGCGCCCCAACTACTCGTTCTTGAAGATGCAACCTACAGTAGCAACAACAAATTTGCTTTTCTCTTAAGTAGCCAACAACCGAGGTGGTGTATCCTGCGCCGACACGTGTGAAGCTTCGATATTGATATTTATGTGAATGCGACCGTTCAACGTGGCCCATTGGCTTAAAATGTCGAAATGCCAAGTTAGCATATGCCAAGATTTCTGGGTTACGAATTCAGATTAAGTTGTCCATGATTAAACGGGAGGGTTCTCAAGTGTAGTGAACTGATGGGTCTCAGGCGAAGCACCAATGACTACGCGCGCACACAAAAACCCATCACTTTAAATCAGTTTTTCAATCAGTTTGGCTAAAATCCAGCTTTGCACTCAGTTGTTGCAATGGAGCATGTGTGCCACGATGGCATCCAGGAATTCCACGGAGGAGTTACAACAGCATCTATGACGTGACTTGGGCAGTGTGCAACTCCGACTTAAAATTTAACTAAAACTGGTCCTCGACGCCAAAAAGACAAATGAGTGGAATCCGTGGCCCAAGCAATCTCTGAAGAAATATCAGGGTCGTCAAGGTCTACATCTGGTCAAAGGAAATAACAAGGGAGACAGACGTGCTGCAGATATTTAAAATAAACAAATTGCAGACAAGATACAAAGACACTGCGGAATGCTGCCAAGCGTCCAAGAAATGAGACACGTGTGAAGACCTCGCAGAGCTCAAGCGAAAATGTGAACTGCACAGCGATAGGATTTGAGAATACAAGACGACTTTGAAAAGCCAAGGCCATGGCAGAGATGACAGTTAATTACAAACAAAACGCCATTTCCACATGGAAGAGAGGAAGAATTCCTAAATTTTAACACCAATCTTTAAAATACAGGCTCGGCCTTTGGAGCAAACCAATGCTGCAGCATGAACATCTGAGGTGGATTATACCAAAGTACGCGGTAGAAACTTAAAACAATATTGGTGATGAGACAAGACATTCCTGCCGAAAGCCACCAAAAAATAGTTTTGCAACACTTTCCGGAGGTTAGAAGGTGCTATTATCTCCGCCCATATGCCCATCCGCAGCAGGGGGAAGCACTATAACTCTCGTACAGATGATCCAATATGAACCAAACTGGAGGATAAAGTTGTGCTGCTATCAGGGACTTACCCAATAGAAAACATGTCAAATTGATCTGAGCGTTGCCCAACACTTGTGGAGGCACAGCCCAGATCAGAAAGGACTATTTATAACGAAGCAAACAATATCTTTATACCCTGGCAGCCATCCGTTGGGCTTCCGTGCTGCTAATGACCTACTTCAGGAGGCAAACGTTGGAAAGCATTACATAAATCTACGCGTAAATTTCCTAACTAGTTTATTATGAACGAAGCTTCACAAAAACCCGTGCCAGACAGCCTGAGAACACGCAACCTGAATGTGGTTGGTGTAAGTACTCGAGAACAACCGTTTGTTACTTTCAGGTTACGGTCCTTCCCATCTTAAAACGTTGCCGACTTTCAACTCTGCACCCGGTTTTTAGCCGCTTGTGTAAAGCGACGGTGCGCACATTGGCGCGCGTACGTGCCAAAACACCTCGTTTTTCCAGCCATAGTCACGCGGGAGAACGTGCGAATCGAACACGTGGAATTCACCGGCGCGGATGGACGGCTCGTCGCAGACGGGAGACGGTGGCGGGAAAAATGCATGCTTCGCGTGGGTGGGGGGGGGCGCACGTTTGGCAGATCAGATTTCACTGCACTCGTGTAACGAAACAAAAACTATTTGGAAATTTAGTTGGGAGGCGGCATTGCGAACGACGTTGACGATTATTGGGAAAAGGGGGATCGTTGTCTGCTGCTGTGGATTAAACTTCTTAACAAATCGAGACTCCCGCACGCAAACACACACGCACACAGAGATCACCTCCCAAGTGCAGGCTCCATTAGGGAATGTGGCGACACGCACAAAGAGATCCTCTCTCACTCCGTGGTCAGTTGCATCAAACGCCAGCGACGGTGAAAAACATCCCCCTAGGTTATGCACCGGCGTAGAAAGGGAAAACCTGGGGGACGTTTCAACTTCAGGGCATCGATATTCACGTCCACACGAGACTGGCGGGGAACATCACCGCCGGCCTTGACCCGTTTTGTCCCATTGTTGATGATGTTGTCGCTGTTGCTGTTTCCGACGAAAAGACATTTTGACGTTTTCACCTAGTCAGATGAACAGCAACATCCGCCAACACACAGCTCTACACGGACCGACCACAAATCTAGAAAGCAATGCCCACCCTATAGCCCAGACCTAGAACTTAACACCTATCCTATAGCTAGAAGCTAACACTCACCTTTTAGCCCATATCTAGAACTAAAGACCTCCTAAGTAGCCCAGAGCTCTGACACACTCATTATATATAGCTCTGATCTAGAACACCCACTCTATACCACTGATTTAGAACTCAACATACATCAAACAGTCAAGAAGCTAAAATTCACTGGGTTCCAAGGACCAATCACTTGGCACCCACTCTATAACCCAGACCTAGAACTCTAAACTCACCCTATAAACCAGACCTAGAACTGCACCTACCCTACAGCTCAGACTCATCACTCAATATTCACCCCCTCAAGTCCAGAACTAGAACCAAACTTCTGCTCTGTAGCCCATACCTATATTTCAAAACCCACCCAAACCCAAAGAGACTAGACGACCCAGCACTTGTCTTCTCATCAATAATAATCCAAAAAGATGTGGGATTTACCACTCAATAATCCATCTGCACGATGCATCAACCCCACTTGCGCGCAGTTGGACAAGTGTGGTTCATCGTGGCCACCACAAGTTTAACTGGTTGGCGTCACTTGACGGTGCCGAGCACAACCGGCCACTGCTACCCAGGTAAGTGGTGCCGCAAAGGTTTGGGGGGTTTGGGTAGTCAGAGGGTTGGACAAATGCCCTCACCTAATAGATACGGAGGGAGGGGTGGTTTGGTGACACCATTCTTCCCCCACAAGGCCCAGTTCTAACTCCTCTTGTTATGGGAAGGGGCAGTGGTGCTGGGCCACGTTCGCAGTGATTCGCCGCTTAGGAGGAGAGTGAAGCTGGGTGGGGGGAGGGCAAAGGAACATGCGGTGTGGTGCGGGGCCCATCCCAGCAAGCCCCCCCCCCCAAACCTGTAACCAGCCCTGGTCCCCCCAATAAAATCCTTCTGGGTCATTGGACAGGAGAGGTAGGAGACGCCAGTTGATTTCAGCAGTGAAAAGTAACCGTAGGCTTTAGCTGCTAGCAACCAACGCGACTAAACTAAACTATTTTCAATTTTACCAGGTAAGGCTCACTGAGCTATGTAGTTCTTTTTTCAGAAATGACCTGGCCACAAATGATAGCTCAATGAAGTGGCTTATCACGTGGAAATTTATAGTAGCCAAACACTAAACACATGTTTGTAAATGTGGAAAGAAAAACCAGGGGATCCAGAGAAAAATCCACGCAACCACAGGGAGACACCACAAAAACTCCAAATATACAGCAGGCGTCAGGGTTGGGATCAAACCCACGACCTCCTGTATACCAGGCAAGGCAATTAACATTTCACCACCGTGGCACTCAAGAGTGTCGCGTGGGTTAAGCCATTTGGAAGTGATGGCAGCGGCAGCGCTTAGTCGAGAGCCGCTGTGGCTGAGGGGGTGGCAGGGTCATGAGGGGGATGCCTCACAGCTTGTACCGTTAAGGGTTATGGCTTTGTTACAGAGTTGGGGTTGACAACAGTTTTGCAAATGTGATTAGTTCTAAATTCGAAAAATTCCATATGTATCTAATCAACTACAAATTAAAACTTAGTAACCAACTGCCATACCGAGGACCCCGTGTAACACAGGGCCAGGGATTCCAACTCGCGTCCATCTCAAGTTTAGAACAAGGCCAGCGAGTTTTCCTGCACCCTGCTGTTACAGCGCCCCCCCCACCACCCCCCACCCTCCGGCACCTTTACAGATAAAATTTTTTACCCAATTAACATTCGCCAAACAAGCATCGTTGTCCCCTCCTCTGTATCAGCCCCCCCCCGCCCACCTCTCCCCCACCACAGCTTGTAAACAGTGGTGCCACCAATGGCCAACGGGACTTGATGCACACGACGCACATGAGCGTGGGTCCGACTGCTAAAGACAAGCGGAGATGCGCCGAGCGTTTAACTCTGCGCCAAGCCTGGCATAAAAAGCAGGGGTGGAACAATTCACCCACACCCCTCCCCAACCCCGGCCCCCGACCCTCGACCCACCCACCCCAAAGCGATTTGACGAATTGTCACGATTCTGGGGCACTGTTCAAAGCGAGATATTTTTGTTTATAGATTTTTTACGCTGCGCCAAACGATCGGGGAAACCTAGCGGCCGCAAGGGCGACGCGAACCCATCGTACATTGAGCGCACACACACACACACGGACAGAAAGAACATCGATTCTCAAGCGCGCGATCGACGCGGGGCCGGCGTAAAGCTCAACGACGATCGGCATCGACGGACGACGAATCGTTGCGCTGTTCGTTCCACCTCCTAAACAAATCCGATATCCATTCCGCGGGCTCGCTAACACCCCTCCCACCGTAGCGTCGCGACACGGGGAAAAGGTCCCGTTCGAGTACGCCCTTCAATCTCGACGATTGTAACTGGTTGTTGGGCGTTTTGGGGGCCCCTCTCTGGGCCTGTGCTCGGCAACCGTGATTACATTTTGTTTTTAAAGAATAAATGGAAATGGATGCTGTGTAAGCTCCTGGACAGATACTGGCCAGGTCTTCGCAAACCTCCAAGCAAGCAAGGTTCCAGATACACAGGGGGGAGGGGAAGAGGACATCCAATTCCTGTGGCTCCTCGCTTCTAGCGGCAAGAAGCCCCCCCCCACCCTCTCTCGAAAGCGTAATAACGTGCAACAGACCTCTGGCTCAAGGTCTTCACGGCAATCTGTCAAAAAATGTCAAGGCTTGGGGTGATAAGATTGGCGGCACGCCATGGTTAACGTCAATAAGGGATGACTCCTAGAGTCACTTAAAAGTGTTTTTTTTTATTTCACTTCCATTGGACAGTCCAGGACACAGCCCTAGACACAAAAGAAGAGCCATTTATGTTTTGTATGTTTTTGTTATCTGGCAGTCATCGTGTAGTATCCATGAAACAAATTCACCACCCGCCACCTCGGTCCTTAAATTCTGATTTGGGCTTTATCGTTCCTTCCTATAGAGGATAACGTGCACCAGCACCTGCCGTTGATTAAAAAAGAAAATGTAATCGCTGCCTTCATAGCTCGGAAATCAGTATAAATGAGGGGAACTGTCGTCACAGACATCCTCGGCGGATCTTTGGAATCGCGCGGTTTTTTTTAAATGAACATCATCGCTAACAATGGCACGTGTCGTAGAAGCAACCGAATTCACAGTAATGGGAGCCGAAAGAGCGGTCCTTTCTATTGCAAGCCGGCGAGCGAGCGATCGGTCGGGCGCCCGCACAATCAAATAAATAATAAAGAGTGATGGAAAGAAAGAAAAACCGGTGCACGCTGATTTGTCAAGGAATCCGTCGGCGACGTAACAGTGGGACAAATTTAGCAAAAACTTACGACAAAAAAACGAAGGGGCAAAACAAAAAAAACGCATTTAATTATTTGTGTGTTCCCGTGTCGTTCGGAGCTAAAAGGGACGTTGCCCCGTGCGGCATCCACACCCACCCTCCGCCACCAAACTCTCCCCCACCACTCCTCCCCTCCGTACTCCCTCCCCTCTCGTAGCTTTTACCCCAACCCCAACCCCCTCAACTAAAAAAAAATCAATCACAAAATGACCGGCAGAGGAGGGGGGGGGGGTGGGCTGCCCCGGCTTCTTCCATCATTGGATGAGGATGGTCCAGTCGGAGGCAATGTTCACGCCAGGTTTCCGCACCTCCAGGGTGGCCGTGGCGGCGTCGTACTCAAACTCCAACGCGGACTCCGACGGAGAGACTGCAGCACCGCGCGCGCACACACACACACACACAAAGACAAAGATCACTCTGCCTCCGGTGTAGCCTGTTGGGGCAAGTGCGAGTCGGCGAGCAGCACCGTCGAAGGCCGGTCCCTGCGCACGAGGGGGCAGGGTATGCCAGCATGTACGTTGGCCCAACTCCTGGGACGTCCCATTGCTTCAGCCAGTTGCCACCCCATCATCTATTCGTGACGGACAAAGGTCAAGGATAGATCACAGGAGTGCGCGTGTACGATGAACTCCTTTCGCCGAATTATCCCCCCCAATTATGAAATAGCAAATACCAAACAAATGAGGTTTTACTGTATTCTGTGAGGCCGAGGTGCAGCGTTACAAGTTTGAAATTATGACAGTGCTGGATAAACGGGGCACGTGCGTAGCCACCAGCACCTGGGGAAGGCCACGTGCTCGATCCATCTGGACCACGACGGAACACCGCGGTGCGACGGGATGCGGGCGCCACGGTACCTGCTTGCTTGAGAGTGACGTGCGACGGCTTTTTGACGCCGATGACCACGACCTTCTCGAGCCACGACTTTGTGCCGTAGCTTCCGCTGGGGTCGGCAGAGCTGCACAACGCGGAAGCGGCGTCAGGGAGGGGAAGGAAAGAAGCAGGCACGGGAAGGAAGGAGATTTGCATCCCCACACCATCCCCCCCCCACCACCACCGTGTCTCCTCGGCATCTCCCATACCCTGCGTCTCCCCCTCACATCATCGCTACATTCCCCACGTCCACCCATTGGGCTCCTCCCACCATTCGCTGCACCCAACGTCTTCGTAAGTGCGGGGGGTCCGACGCGCACGTACACGAGAGTACACGCGCAAGAAAACAGGTGTGTGCGTGTGCGCGGTTCCCCCCCCCGTCCACCTCACCTGGCCACCAGCGCGCCGTTGGAGAAGTGGAACGAGCGCAGCGCGAACCGCTTGTCCGTGTCGTAGGCGAAGGAGCGACCGTCATCCAGGAACAGCTGCCCCTCTGCCCGGCCCTGCTCGCCGCGACGACAACACGACGACGTGACGACAACACGACGACGTGACGACAACACGACGACGTGATGACAACACGACGACGTGATGACAACACGACACCATGACGACAACATGACACCGTGATGACAACATGACACCGTGATGACAACACGACGCCGTGACGACAACACGACACCGTGATCGCCGTGACGCGACCCGAGCGGACGCAGCCCCGGAGTGTCAGGAGGGGGTGGCTGAGCCGCCCCCTCCACTAAATACTCGGCAGCCCCTGCCCCCCCCCTCCCCTCAAAGTGCACTTAGCCTGGCACGAGCGCTGTGGTGACGTCACCGCCACGGTGTCGAATGGCGGCTGTAGTTGTGTGGATGACCGTGTATGTAGGCATTCTTGTATGGTGCGTGTCCGTATGCATGTACAGTACGTGCGTCCATGGATATATGCACACGAGTTTGTGCGTGCGGTGTGCGGGCGCGCGTACGTTTGTGTGCACGTGTACGCACGCATGTTTGGGGAGCGGTGCTGTAGCGGTTAGCGCTACGCTGCGCTACAAACTTGCCCACCCGAGTTCGATTCCCGCTCACGGCCAACACCAGTGATGATTATTTGCACGCATCTTTGTGTACGGTGCTCGTGCGTGACTATGTGCACGTGCTCGTGCGCGAGCACGTACGTTTGTGTGTATGCACGCATGTTTGTGTACGGTGCTCGTGCGTACGAGCTCCTGCTAGCTCGTGTGTGCATGAGCACGTGCGTGGGTCGTACGGCTTTGTCGAGGGCGACGTAGAGCGTGTAGGGGTCATCGTGCATGCACTCCGAGGAGCGTCGCGGCCGGTTCTGTCGCGGCACCACGGAGCCCCCTCTCTGATACACCGGAATCTGTGCATTCAACAGAGACAACGTGCGTATGTTGAACTTCTTTCGCACCATACAAAGCCAGCCGTGCTAATCGGAGGTTGAGGGGGGGAAGGGCAAGAAACTATGATTAAACATATTCTTAGCTCTTTCGGCATATAAAACAATAAAAATTCTCACGACGTTTCGACCATAACACAAACGGTCGTCACCAGGTGTGTCGGTTAACGACCGTTTGTGTTATGGTCGAAACGTCGTGAGAATTTTTTTTATTGTTTTATATATATTTTATTATTTTATTGTTTCCCTTCAACCTGACTTTACCGAAAGAGCTAAGAATATGAATTACTGCAGTCACGAAAGCTTTAAATATGATTAAACATATCATTCAATGTACATAAAAAGGTAAAGGCGGAGCCCTGCAATTGCTTGCTTGTGCGGCTGCTGGCTAACGGAAACTCCAAAAGACCCTCTAGACTCGGAGGGTATTTGGTCTACTTTTCCACGTTGGCCAGACGTCTCGGAGGATGTGGGGAGTACCCACGCTCTGCCTTTGGACTCAAAAAAACTAAAAACTAAGGCCCAATGAGCGATATGGCTCTTTTACGGAAGCGACCTGGCTATCACAAATGATAGCTCAACTTAGTGGCTTATCATGTGGAAATTTAGAGCAGTAAATTACTCTAAACGCATGAGGACCCGGAGAAAAATCCACACAACCACGGTGAGATAGAAAATGCAAACTCCAAATGTGCAGGGCATCGTTAGGGATTGGATTGAAGCCACGACCGTCTATATAGCAGGGGAGGCAGTTAACATCTCCTAGCCACCATGGCGCCCTCCTTACCGAGCTCATGGTGACGGGGACATAAAGCTCCTGGCCGCCCTCGTATTTCCTGTGGTCGTGAACGTCGTACCACAGCTGTGGGGTGGAGGAAGCGGGGGTGGTGGTTGTGGAGAGAACACAGCACATTATATTAAATGGAGCAGTGGGTATGGAAATGGAAGTGAGTAAGAAGAATGTATAAGGGTAAGAGGAAGGTTGGAAGGAGGGTATGAATGATGTACGAGAGAGCGGACGCCGATGAGGGCCATGAGAATCGAGCATCACGGGTGCTCACGCAGGACCAGGTAAATTTATGAAAACAAATAAAGACAACATTTTGGTGAGTGCTGTTAGCAAGCAACTACCAACACACACACACAAACACACTGGTCCCCCATATAGCCTTTAACAGACTGTTGGGGTGGCACAGCACACGAAGGGGTGGATGGCCAACACCACGCCCGTATGCCTTCTTCTCCCTAGTGGTGATATTTACACATCGCACCAGGTACTCATTTGAGGATGAGTCGAACTAGGGGAGGCCCAGGACCGGTTCAAATAATCGTCACTGGGGTTGGCCGAGAACGGGAATCGAATCCAGGTCACCGGGTACGGAGCGCAGCGCACTAACCGCTACACTACCGCTCCCCACATGACAACTCTTCCCCACACACACACACACAGACTCTATGCGTAGGCGGTGCTCACCTCTCCGGGCCCAGGCAGGTAGATGCTCACCCCTCGGGAGCCGGCCTCTGTGATGGGATGGACCAGCAGGGCATCACCTGCAGTGAAGAGACACCACACACACACGCGCGGTGAGCACAGGCCACGTCTGTGCACATGGTGAACACGCAGGGGAAACACCATTGTATGTATGCGTGTAATTTTAACTTCTTTCGCCACCGTACGTAGCCAACCGTGATAAATCGGATGTGCAGGGGAAGGACAAGAAACTAAACACAATAAGCAGTTTTAAAGAAATTAGTAAAAAAAAAAAGGTCTGTACGCACGCATCGTGAACGTAGGTGTGTAAGCGCGCACCGTGAACGCAGGAGGTGTGCGCGCACAATCAAATCGCAGGCAAACACAGTGTGAGCGCAGGCATGCGATGACAACCCACCAAGAAGGTATTCGTCCTCGATTGCGAACGTGGCCGTTTCCTTGGGGAACTCGACCCAGAGGGCTCTGTACACAAAGGCACCGCCACACTGATACAGCGCACCCAGCCGGCGTACGCACAGCCCGCGTACACACAACCCGCATCGCTTCACACTGTACACACATGAACAACTGCTACTAAGTGGCGGTGATGTCACAACGGGGCATATGCCAGAATATGTGCACTTTATGACCGGCAAATGCACCACCTGTGCCCCTTACACACATGAACAAACAAAACTAAGATCCCCCGTATAGCCTTATCGGACTGTTGGGGCAAGTGCTATTAGCGAGCACCTAAGACGGCTGGCACGGTACACGAGAGGGTGGGTGGCCAGCCTTTGTCGACCTAGTGGTGATATTTACTCACTTGAGGTTGAGCCGATCTAGGGAAGGCCCAAGACCAGTTCAGATAATCGTCACTGGTGTTCGCCATGAGCGGGAATCGAACTCGGGCCACCGGGTTCGTAGCGCAGCGTACCAACCGCTGCACTACTGCTGCCCCCACACACACAGCACCAAGCCCGGCCGCCTTCGTCTTTGCCACACACGCACCTCATGACGGGCTCGCCGGTGCGGTGGGCGCGGTAGAAGGCCGTGTACCAGAACGGCAGCAGGGCGTAGCGCTGGTGCAGCGCCACGCGCACCAGCGCCATGTTGTCGGCGCCGATGAGCCAGGGCTCGCGGCGCTGCGTGTCGATGTGAGCGTGCGCTCGGAAGAACGGCTGGTAGGCGCCGGCCTGGTACCAGCGCACCAGCAGCTCGGGCGGCGGGTTGCGGAAGAAGCCGCCGACGTCGGCTGTAAAAGGAGGAGGGGAAGGACAGAGCTTTGGGTATCGAAATACTTATTTAGGACTGGGAGGAATTCGATGAGCTACAAAGCTCTTTTTTCGCAGGATGTACAGAGCTGGGAGCGTGGCAGAAAAGAGGGGCATCAATGTCGTTACGAGTACTGTGCAGGGAGCGGACTGTCACGAGGGGCGTGCCCGGAGTGACGCATGTTGCGCAGTGGGCAGTGCGTGTCGTGCAGTGTGTCACGTGATGTGCGGTGTGCCGTATGCATTGTACCCTGTCCCCCCAGTACCACGGGTAGTGTGCGGTGCCGTGCGCGCTGTGCGTTGTGCCACGTGACTTGTGCCGTGTGCTCGCTCACCCCCGCTGAAGGAGATGCCGCACAGGTTGATGTTGAGCAGCATGGGGATGGACACGCGCAGGTGGCCCCACTCCCCCGTGTTGTCTCCCGTCCAGATGGAGCCTGCGAACCGCCCCACGGGCCCACGGCCACCGTCAGCCCAACGCTCCTTCACGAGCCATTCATTAACCAGGGCCGAGACTAATTGATTGATTGGAGTAAATTGCTTGGTAGCGAGATGTAAACTCCCTCGCCTGGTATACAGGAGGTCTTGGGTTCGATCCTGACGTCTGTATATTTGAACCTTGCATGTCTCTCTCCCCACGTGGTCGTGTGGATTTTTCTTCGGGGACCCCTGGTTTTTCCCTCCACATTTAAAATCAACATCATGCGTTTAGAGCATTTGGCTGCTATCAATTTCAACGTAATAATCCACTTCATTGAGCTATTGTTTGTGGACAGCTCAAGTGGGCCTTACCCGGTAAAATAAAAAAAGTCTATAGTTTAGTTTTTTTGGTTTAACGAGCCCCACGTAACCGGCACGGCACGTACCGTATCGCTGGGATCCGGCAAAGAACGCGCGGGAGAGCACGTAAGGGCGCTCCACACCGCCCGATCGCCGGATCTGCCCCTCCACCGTAGCCATTTGCTGTGGAACGAGGAAGTAGCGGGGAGGGGTGGAGGGGGGGTTTGGAGGGCAGAGGAAGGAGGGACGGTGCAAGTGGTAGGAGTGAAAACTGAGGGCACAGTTCAAGCAGGGCTTCATCTCTCACCGAATATTTACTGAGCGACTGGAAAACTGGAGCAGGTAACACGTTAGAGCGAGGGAGCGAGGGAGCGAGGCCTGCGCGCCGGTACCTGGTAGAGGCCATAGAGGTTGTGCAGGTCGCGGTGCTCCCAGCCGCTCAGGTGCACCGTGTCCTTGTGCATCGTCACCTCGGGCCCGTTGAACACGGACGGCTCATTCATGTCGTTCCACGTGAACAGAATCTCACTCGAGCCCTGCACGTGCCGCGGGGGGGGGGGGGGGGGGGTCGGGGTGGGGGGGCGGGGCGTGGAGTGGAGGGGCGGGATAGCACGTGCCGCGATGTCAGCGAACGGTCTCTGCGAGGCCGCGTGACCGCGTCACGGCCGGCCGACGGCACGTTTCGCCAAGCGCCGCCGCCAACGACCCCGTTCACGAAAGAGATTGGCGACAAGATTGGCGACAAAAAAGATCGATAAATAAAATAATAACCCTAAGCTGCCACCCGCCGGCTCACCTCGTACTGGTCGTAGGCAAACTTGCTCGCGAACCAGGAACGCACATCGGGATTTGCAAAGTCTGGGTACGACACCGAGCCTGGGTGTAGAAAGAAAACATTCAGCGCATTGCTCATTATTATTGTTGTTGTTGTTGTTATTTTGTTGGGGACGGTGTCCTTCTCGCAGTGGCTCCACCCACGCTTTTCGCGTCACCTCAAAACAAAACTAACGCCGGCATCCGGGGCAAAACGATGTCGTTAATCCGAATCCGTCGCCGTGGGCGCGATGCCAAGCACGCGGACACACGGGCGCCGCCGAGCGTCGCCTCACCTGGCCAGCACCAGCCCTCATAGTCGCGCCCATCCTTGTTCTTCATCAGGTACCCGTTGGCCTGCGCCTCCGTGTACACCTTGTAGCCGCTGTCGATCTTGATGTGCGAGTCAACGATGGACACCATCTGCAGGATGACGTCGTGCCCACGCGCGCACACACACACGTCAAGACAGAGACCCCCCCCCCATATAACCTTCAATAGACTGTCGTACGTCATCCAGTTGTTCTTCCGATTCCGTTCCGATGACGTGGCACAGTTTGGCACCAGCTATCGTGGAGCGGCGGCGGTCGTGTCGCTACGGTTCTCTGCGGTAACGTCTTTCAAAACAATGGCGCTACGACGACTCTCTGAATAAAACTCACGCTTAACCGCTTGCGCGTTCCGAGATTCGCTGGTGGACGGGACCCGCCCTGCAAACTTGCAGGCGTCTCGGAACGGGAAAGGTTTAAGACAGAGCGTCTATGATGGCCGGCGCGGCACACGAGTGTGTGACGTAACCCCAGCACCACGCCCGGCCGCCTTCATCCCCCACTGTAGCCACCGCCACCCTCCCGCCACCGCCACCCTCCCGCGACCGCCGCGTGTGCCCCACGTGCACCTTGCGGCGCTTGCTGGCGATGTTGCGCTGCATGTCGAGCGGCGTAGGGAACTTGTTGGGGTCCCAGGTGAAGTAGCGCTTGCCGTCCGCGTGCTCGATGTCCAGCCAGATGACATCGTAGGGCAAGTCGTTGGCGTCGAAGCCCGCGTCCACCGCCCGCACGTCGTCCTCGTCGTTGTAGTTCCAGCGGCACTGGTGGTAGCCGAGCGAGAAGAGCGGCGGCAGCGACTGCGTGCCTGGGGTGGGGGGGGGGGGGGGTTGGAACGACGGGGGTGAGACAGGGGAGGCAGGAAGCAGGGGGGCAAGGGCGACAGACGGACAGAAGGAGATGGGGGGGGGGGATATGCAGACGGGGGGGGGGGATAGGGAGACAGGGTGGGATAAGGAACAGGAGACGGGAGGACAGAGGGAGATGGGAGACAGAAGGGCAAAAGGAGACAGGGGATCAGGGGCATGAGAAAGGAAACGGGGGCAGAGGGAGATGGGGAGATCGGGATACAGGGTGGGATGAGGAACAGAAGGAGACAGGAGGACAGGGAGATGGAGACAGGAGAGATAAAGGGAGACAGGGGGGGATAGGGAACAGTTGGAGTTGGAATGGAGAGAGAAAAAAGGGAAACGAACAGACGCAACTTCGTCGTATAACTAAATTGTGAAATAAAATTGCTCGCTCTTCAACATTCCTCTGCTAAAACAAACCAAATAGCCACATTCGCCCGCGCGACAACGTCATTTGAATGGCTCTGCCGAGTGGTGGGAGGGTTAGACAGTTACAAACCGACATCGTACCTACACAATAATCTCATGCGAAAGAAACCAATGATGGATGATGATAATGATGATGAGGGCGATGGCAATGACGATGACCGCGTGGAGACGCCCGCGGGAGGAGGCGAGAGTGTCGGCGCGGTGCGGCGGTACCGGTGAGCGAGGCATATTGCCGGAACAGGTCGTTGGGCGTGGGCCCCAACAGCACGAACACGTCGATGATGCCGCTCTCCGACATCCACCGCACGTCCGTCTGCGGCACCTCGCTGCCCCCGCGCACGTAGTCCAGCATCTTGCCGAACACCGTCTGCCCGTCGCGAGGGGGTTATTTGGTCAGTCGGTCGGTCGGTTCAATGGCGGCCCGGCCAAAGCGGCTCAGCACGTTACAAGGGAAGGGAGGGTTTACAGGAAATGTGTAGAACGGCTTGTACGACGGAGGTGGCGGGGAAGGTGGTGGTGAAGTTGGCGCACCTTGCCGGCCGTGTTGGAGCTGATGTCCACCCAAGTTTCGGCGGCGTTGTGCCAGAAGATGCCGAGGGTGCGCTCCGGCCGGTGCGCGATGAGGTAGGGGACTGCGCCGTAGAGCGCCATGTTGGTGTCCAGCTCGTACTCGAACACGTCGAGGTTGTAGAGGCGGTAAGGCTCCGAGCCCCTGAGCAACGGCGCAAGCAAAAACACACAAACGTTAAGATGATTCAAATAAATCGACACTCTTCAAACCGCACTTTTGTATGCAATCATCCAGTTTGATTCTAGTACCGACCGAACCAATGGGCAGACGCGAACGTTTGAACAGCATTGCACTTTCTAATGCGATTTGGTCCGCTGCAGCAGCAGAACCTCAACATCGTCATCAACATCAGCTATCACGAAATCACTGCTGGATCAAAGCTTCCTCAAGTCATCTCCAAGGCAAAGGTGGGGAGATGAGAGGTCGTGGAGGTGGGGTGGAGGTGGGGGTGATGGGTTCTGGAGAGGGAGAAAGGGGGAGAGGGTAAGGAGGGGGGGGGGGGGCAGGGGAGGGTCGGGGGGGCGGGGGGTTGCGACCCTCACGTGGTGGTCTTGAGACGGAATGTGTCGGCGTGCTCGGGGATGCCGTACACAAACTCAACACCCGGCAGAGAAAAGTCCAACCCCACCGAGGCAGGGCCTGAGCACACAGCACACACAGAGAGCCACCACACACAGAGCCGACACCACACACACAGACCCCAAAGACCAAGACAGAAATACACCACACACAGAGACACACAGACACACACAGAGACACAAAGACACACACAGACACAGACACAAGCGCGTGTGTACACGGGGAGAAGGCATTGGCGGCAGCAGCGTCGTGAATCTCACGGCGAGGAGTGTGGTTTAACACGTAGGTTTACACGACCAACATCATCCATAACATGTTCTTTGGGTTATATCGTGTAAATATATAAATGTGTCGTTAAACCCGCTACCACCCGACACAGCCAATAATACAAATTGAACATGTCAATTCGTTGCATCGTAAACTCAAGATGTACAGCAAACGCAGCCACGGCAAACATAACCCACGATGTTGATAAGCGTCATGACGAGTATCGCGGTATCTCGGCAAGTAGCTTGATATCAAATCATGGTAAGAATCGTGGTATCACGGCGAGTATCGTGGCATCGCAGGATTGCAGTGAGTATCGCGGTATTGTGGAGAGTATCGCGGCGAGCATCGTGGCGAGTATCGTGGTGAGCAGGCCCACCATTGGGTTTGCTGTCGTGATGAGTCTTAAACGTCTCCTCCCACATTCCCGGCTCGTCCTCCTCTTCCGTCACCTGCGACCGCAAACGACAATCACCGCACGTCCCTAGTAGCCTCATCAACAACACAAATCACAATGTGTGTTTATTTATTTGTATTTATTCAGACTGGAAGGAGTCCCACGAGCTACCTAAGCTCTTTCCTCACCAGATGTCAACACCAACAACAAATTCCTTTATGCACCACGGTGCTCTGAATCACACATGCATCCCCCTTATCCATAATAGGCTCCACGCCCCGAGTGGGACAGCCGGGTGGACACGCAGCCTCAGGTGCCACGGCTATAGGAAAAGAGCCCCTTTCTGTGTTGTTTGGGTTACGTGAGCTCCTTTAAAAGGAATGCTTCTCTCGCGTTGACAGCAAACATAGAAATGGCGCCAAGTCCTTTTATCTGCTTGCAGATGGGAAACAGGGTGGGGGGGGGGGAAGAGCAGAGGAAGAAGGGAAGAGGGATTTGTAGGAAAAGTAACTTTGAGGATTTGGAGGAGGCTTAGGAGGCGCAGGAAGAGGAGGGTTTGGTGGAGGAAGAGGAGCAGGAAGAGGGGGTGGCTATGGAGGAGTCGGTACCTTGGACTCCGAGCCGTTATCGTCTTCTCCGCCCCCTTCCTCCGCAGCCGCCTCGGTGGAGTCGCTCCCGGCGGCCCCCTCCTCGTCCACCCCAGGAGATTCCTCAGACTCCTTCCTGCCGGCACGACGACGTCGCCGCCGCCGCCGACGACAAATCCTCGTTACCCCGGGCACGGCAGCACCCTCCCCCCGCCGCTCCCACCCCCCTTCCCACGATCTCTCGTCTCGTTTAACCTCTTGCAGCGAGCGGAACACCGCAATGCGTCCGAGCAATGGGGGGCTCCCCCACAAAATTGACGTCACGGAACTACCTCTGAAGTCACTTTCCCGCGTGGCGCACACTTTTTACTCAGCCTGCAAAGGAGCGCGCTCGCCGCGCGTCAAATCAAAATTGAACGCTTCGTACGTGACGGCTGTTTTGGCGAGCGGGAGGAGCTCATCACCAACTAGCTCATCACCAACTCATTGCACTTGGGAACCCGGTTTAAAAAAATCAGATGCAGAGGCTGAGACCCGGATTCGAACCCAGAATCACAGTTGGGAAGTGGTGGCCGCCGGGTAGCTAGATATTATCCGGGAATTATTTTTTATATTTTTTTATTGGGTCGCACGTTATCGGTACTGCCGTGCGGTGGATGAGTGCCATGGGCAGCTCAGCGTTACGCGCAAGGTAGACGCGACCGAGCGAGATTGGTTGCACACTCTTCTACCGAGAAAGCGATTAGTTTTCATATCCACACCGTTAAAGCAAAACAATCCGCAAACCCAAAAAACCACAACAGGTCCGCCGTCTTAAGTCTGCTGCCACAGGAGCTGCGATTCCACGGCAGTGCATCAGTCTCACCCCGCTGCTATTGCTGCTGCGGCAAACAGTATACCGACGATTCTCCTCCGGAGAGCTCATCTAACCGGGCATCGCCCAAAATAGAGCGTTATATATTTATTCCTTTTAACACCATACAAGGTTATTGACGACGGTGTTGAGTTTTGTTCGTCGTGTGCGCCTGTGCACCACTTGTCAAACGCAGCGGCGGCGGCAGCAGCAGCGGGCAGCAACGGCGGCAGCATCACAAAGTAATGCGTTTATCATTGTAAAAGAACCCCCACCTACGATGCACGTCCCACTTTGAAGCTTCAGAAACGAAAATAAAAGATTACAGAGCTATGGTCAAGCCACTCTGCCACATCCCCCCTCCAGTCGTTTACCCCATAACACATCATTGCAATGAAATCACTGCAGCACAGGGACAGAGCACTTGACCATAACTATATATATACTTTAAATCCTTTAACAAAGCTTCACACTCTGGTGGGGCAGCGCGGGACACACGGACGAGGTGCACATCTGCAAGTTAAAGTGCCGCTTTGATTTTTGGGTTGCGTTTTGCTTTAACCTTGGGTGAATAAATGCCTGGACTCAAACCCAGGAAATCTCACTCGGGGGAGCTGCGACATGGCCATTATCATTTCTCCCCCCCCCGCACCCTGGGGCACACACAAGCATACATCTACACACGAGAGCACATGCACAAAGACAAAGAACCCCCCGCAGCCTTTATCTGAACGGTGGGACCAAGTGCTGTTCGCTAGCACCTATTCAGGCTGGCACGGCGCATGAATATGGGGGGGGGTGTTGTGCTGGCTAGCAACATGCCCGGCCGCCTTTGTTTCCCCAGCACCAATGTTTAACGAGTGGCCCAGGTACTCATTTAAGGGTAGGGGAGGACCGGTTGACCTGGAGGAGGGCCCCAGGGCCGGTTCAGTTGTCACTCGCCACCGATGTTAGCCGTGGCTGGGAATCGAACTCGGCATCGCCTTGTTCGCAGCGCATGCACGCACCACACACACCACACACTCGGGGTTTCTGAGAGCGTGCGATCATTACCTAGAAAACACGTTCTTGAGTTTAGTCCACATGCTACCCACTGTGTTACCGACTGCCTCCGAGAGCCTGCCGGCCCCACCACATACACAGCACAGTGACACGACAGCACAGAGGTAAATAATGAACACAACCGAATGGGTGAGAGAGAGAGAGAAAATAAAAAGAAAACAGGCTGCAAAGTAGGGCGACCGCGTTACAGTTTTACCACGATGCGGTACTAATTTTCATGACGACGATTAACGCAATGCCAGTTTCCCGTAACTTTGCGAGTTGCGTTTACCTATTAACGTCGCACTGTGTGTGCGTGCGTGGGCTTTGCTGTACTTTAGGGTGTGTACCGAGGACACTTTAAAAAGGGCTCTTAAATGAGCAGTTCATTTGACGACAATAATAATACATTTTTAATTAGCGCCTTTCGTTGAGAGGTGGCAAAGTGCTGCACATGGCCATGTCGCACAACCCTTTTTAAAGTGTCCTCGGTACACACCCAAAATTAAAGCAGTACAGCAAAGCCTACGCACGTACACAGATTTATTGGGCAAGAGTTACTTTTATTTGGAATGCTAATTATTTTGGTACCCTTATAAACGTCTGTTCAAAATAATTACACTTCTAAAAGTAAAATGACGTGATTAACGATCATCGCGATATGACGAGATTGTCACAAAATTACTTGATTCGATTATCGCGGCCCTCGCACTGCACGATGTCACAGTATTGCCGTATCGCAGCGAAGAACGGCCTCTGCATGTGGCGTTTTCTATGCTTCTCCCCCTGCTCTGCATGGGATTTCCTTGTGGATCTGGAATTGTCAAAAACATCCCCAATGGCTAAAGAAAGAAAAAAAATCACCTGCAAATTACTCAATTGTGGGATCACACATCAGCACCCATTGCCCCCCCCCCCACCACCACCCCCCGTCCTGCGAAAACTTGGTAGGACCCTCCCGTTAAAGTCTTTCAGAATCAGAATACTTATTTATACTGGAGGAATCCGATGAGCTATGAAGCTCTCTTTCGCAGACGTCCAGTCGGGGCACGGGATCAGAAATTTGATAGTTGAAGCATTCCCGAGTAGACAAGCCTCATGATGATAATAATGAGTATCGTGGCAACCCTGCTTGGCAAGCCAGTCCACGAAGGGAGCCTCCCACTTTGTTAGGGCAATTCCACCGCACAAAGAAATACGCAAGAACGAATGGAATGCGTTGAGGATGAAGCAGCGACACTGCGGCAAGGAGACGTATGTGTGCAAGTGTGTGGGGGAGCGGTAGTGCAGCGGTTAAGGCGCTGCGCGACGAACCTGGCGACCCGGGTTCAATTCCCACTCACGGTCAACACCAGTGGCGGTTATCTGTACCGGTCCTGGGCCTTCCCTAGGTCGACTCAGCCTCAAATGAGTACCCAGTGCGGTGTGTAAACATCGCCACTCGGGAGACAAAGGTGTTGGCCACCCATCGTTTCGTGGACCGTTCCGGCCTCCATAGGTGCTCGCGAACAGCACTTGCCCCTACAGTCTGTTACAGGCTATATCGGAGACCTTTGTCTTTGTTGTGTGCGTTGAACTTCTTTCGCACCGTACGTTGCCAACCTGCTTCGATCTCGCTCTCCCTCTCCGGCCTAAGTGCTGTGACGAAAGGATCGCTGCCCGTAACGTCAACTCTTATCATTATTTTTGTTCTTTTTAAGGCTGCATTGTGTTATTGAAGGATGTGTGTGTTGCGTTTGCTGATAATCCTGTTTCTGCACCACTGCCAACGCTGCAGCAGCAAGCAGCAGCACCACCAACCAATTTGCTTAATCCAAGCGCAAGCCGTTTTCCGAGACCTGAAGAGATTAGGTGCAATCCGGGCATATTTGGGGTTTTTTTTGTTTTTGTACAGATCTTGCTAACATTTATAAAACGGCCGAGACAGCTACAGCTGCAACGCGAGCGAGTTTGCGACGACGACGACGACGTTAGGCCAAGTCAACGAGTTAAACGCGTGTCAGGAAATCGAGGGGGGCGGCGGCGCAGTACCGCGGTGGCGCGCTGCACTAGGAACCCGGCTACCCAAGTTCAATTCCCAGCCACGTCTAACGTCAGTGTGTGCGCTTGCTATCTGAAACTGATATTGGCCCGCCTGACTCGTCTTCGACCAAAAAAAAGCCACCGACTTAAACGCAACGAAGTATGGTCAAGCAACCCCACGATCGACAGGGCACGGGGAGAGGGGGGGCTTTCATCCAGCAGGTGCTTGACCGAGGAATTGTAAACTGAAATTCTATAAACTGTGAACGGAGATCACACGCGTGTTAAACTAGAGGATGATACACAGCATCACCACTGAAAGTACGTGACAGCAACTCCACATTTCTTTCTTGGTCAATGGAAGCTTCTTCAATCTGGGCATGCGACAATCTCGGGGGAGACACGGCCTGGGTGAGCGAGGCTACAACATCGAATCTTTTGTGTCGCTCGCCTGGCGAGAGAGTGGATGAGTGGGAAAGTAAATGGTGTGCGTTTGCATTCCTGTGTGGTGGGGGGTAGGGGTGAGTGATACGTAGCGCTGAGCGACAGCATAGGGGTGAGCAGCAGCATAATGGTGAGCGGCGCGTGATGGTGAGCTGCGCGTGATGGTGAGCGGTATGTAGCGGTGAACAGCAGCATAACGGTAAGCGCCGGGTGATGGCGAGCGGCGGCGTAGTGGTTTAACGAGAGCCGCTTGTGCCTCCATCCTCCTGAGCTTCCTCCGGGACGTCGCGCGCAGCACTCACGTGTTTCCGCGCAGGCGCAGGTGCTCGAAGGCGAGGAGGCCGCGCGAGTTGACGCTGGCCACGAGCTCGCCGGCGCTCACGATGTCCACGCGGAACGGCTGAGCCGACAGCAGCACGCGGGCGCCGCCGGGGCCCTCGCCGAGCCCGCCGGAGCCGCCCCACGCCAGCACCACCACGCCCTCCTCCCGGCTCACCACCGTCAGCCTGCGTGGCGGAGAAGACGCACGCGGTGCATCATCATCGTGCGCAGGTTTGACGTCCGCAAGGTCGTTCTCACGAGCGCAAGGCGACGGCTGAAGGAAGGCGCCGTGTTGTCACAGACACAGTCTGAAGTAGGTTCGCAGCCTTGGGGTGGTGATGCTGCTGCTGTGTGTGTAATACCAACAGTCATTTGAAAGTAGTTTTTTTATCATTGGGATGTTTTGCCATTGCCAGTTACACTGCGTGTATTTTTTTCAACTATGGGAGGAAAGCGGAGAACGTGGAGGAAACCGATGCAAAACAGGGACAGAACATACAAACTACACACAGACAGGCACCAGGCGGGAATAAAACCCAAGCCCTTCTTGATGCAAGGCAGGTGTTACCAATACACCACCACCCTGTGTCGGTTTAAGGGTGCCACAGTGTGGATGAGATGTTAAATACCTCGCCTGATATACAGGTCGTCAGTTCGGTCCCGACCCTGACATCTGCTGTATATTTACAGTTTGCATGTCTCTCCCCGTGGTTGCATGGATTTTTCTCCGGGTCCTCAGGTATTTCCCTCCACATTTAAAATCAACATCACACATTTAGAGTATTTGGCTGCTATGAATTTTCACATAAGCCACTTCGTTGAGCTATAATTCGTGATAGCCAGGTCGCTTCTGAAAAAAAGCTATATCGATCAGTGGGCCTTACCTGGTAAAATAAAAATAGTTTAGTTTTAGTTTAATTACAGGCAGCACGCCTGGATTCAAAGTCAGCACAGCGCACTGACCTTTGTGACATCTTCCGTATGGCTGATGCAGACGCAGAGCAACAATTAAAATTTCACATCCAGGTAGTCCAGCCCAACAGCCGCGTCACGAGCAGCAGAGTGCATCACCACCGCCGTGACATCTCCTTCGTATTTGTGGATCGTGCATTGAGTCTTTATACGCTGTACAGTCTCCGTTCTGGATGATCAGGGTCACCTCCGAGGGCCCTGCCATGCGCGTTGGGCTGTGGTGGGGTGTGGTGGGGTGCGGTAGGGTGCGGTGGGAGGTGGGGGCCTACACAGGCCGTACCGCTCGCTGGCCGGCTCCCCGACTAGCACGTCCTGGACACGGTATCGCGGCTTGAGTGGCGCCAGCTCATCGACGAGCAGCCGCACCATCCCGTCCTTCAGCCCCACTACCTCCAGCACCAGCCGCACCTGCGCCCGGCACACAGCACCACCCTCCGTCAGATAAACACGGTGCTGGCGGGCATGCAGGCAGGCAGGATTTACAGAAAAACGCGCCGGCTGCTGGCACACTCGCGGATGAACGGACTGCGTGCACGGGTTGGCGGAAAAAACAGACGGCCTAGGCAGACTAGTGGTGCAACAGATTAGCGGATAAAGAGACTGGTTGTAAGCAGGCTAGTATATTGATGGACTGGTGGTAGGCAGCCTGGCGGCTAACTGGGACTGGCGGATAAAAAGAGTTACCCAGCCACTGGACGATTTCGGTGTTACAGTCCCATTCTAGAACCTTTTTTTGGTCTCGTTTCTACTTTCCCATGAATCGTCCAAATCATTTGTACAGCGTCATTCAACATCGGAGAGAAACCATCTCTCCTTGTAAACCGTCTTCATCTGTACCAACTTATTAACATTTATGGTTACTTGGCTTGCAACAATGCATTGGCGTATTGACTAAGCTCACGGAACGTACATTTGTGCATGAACCAATTTGCATATGTTTATTCACAATACCTACAATTTGCAAATAGGATGTAAATGATACCTGTGGGCTATTGTATTCGACACTACAAAGGGGACAGAAAAGAAAACAAGCTAGGCAAACGAGATTGCAAAACCTGGCCAAAAAAAAAGGAAAGAATCTTGAACCCAGCATTGTTTTTGTGTTACTTCGAATTGTGGCAGTGCGTCGAATGGCCGTGGGTGTGAACCGTAACTTTCCCGTAACTTTCTCCAATTTTCCCAATTAGGATTTAATTTGCATGAAGCTCACGATAGCGATTCACGCACACGTAAAGCGATGCTTGCGCATCGCGAGCACCGATTTGAAATGGACAAATTTGATTCATCTTTAAGCTCCCTGTGGCAGCAGCGGTTTAGCGCGGGCTCTGGCGCCGCCACCCCTCCCATATCACACGAAGCGCTTGCCACAAGTGAACCACAATACCTTACCGATGTCGTCAAAGAGCATAAGCCATCATCACTCGAACTCCGGTCATCCTCGCAGCAGCGGCTTTTGGCCGGCCGTCGAACAAAGGCAGTCACACTGCATCGCGCGGCGCTTTAAGATGCGCTTCCGCAGCCGTCTGGAACGCCCTTCCTTCCGATACTAGAAAGCCACTGGAGCTATGGACTTGAAATAATCTAGAATGAAAACTAATTTCTTTAGAACTGTTTTTTTGCGTTTAGTTTGTCGCCCTTCGCCCACACCTCTGATTGGCACGGTTGGCTACGTACGGTGCGAAAGAAGTTCAACGTACATAAATACACACCTCCGCCTCCCCAGTCCTCAGTCTTCCTTTAGTATGTTGGCAACTTCTCCCATCTCCTTCCGCCTCCCCTCCCATTTAAACTTTCACCCCCCCCCCACTTCGCGGGGTCTACACTCGGTTGAGGCAGAGGGCCCAACACTCTCTCTCTCCCCTCTTGAGTGTGGCCCCCGCCGCGCCCACTGGGACATTCCACGGTTTTTCTGCCCCTCTTCTAACGGTTACCGGTGCGTTGCACCCGGCTCGCGTTTTTTGTCTCAATAAAAATGAGCATAAATGAAATGCACACGTGCGCACGTAAATATATCTCCCCTGGCCTCTACGTGGCCCGGGCCCATCCGGCCCTTGGGGCTCAGGGGTACAGTTGCACCACCTCTGCCCACTGCTCGATGGCTACGCCGGGCAGCGTGGCAGCCCGTGCGACGTCGCGCACGCCGCACCTTGTTGGCAGCGTTGAGGAGCTGCACGCGCGCACTATTCTCTTGCACGTCCAGGGTGTCGAGCAGCGCGCGGTACGGAGACTGCTCCGCCTCCATCTTGCGCTGGCGCCTGCCACAGATGGCGGAACGGCGCGGGCGGAGCGGGGGGGAAGAGTGAGAGAGCGAGCGAGAGACGCAAAACAATCTTCATTTAAGTAAAATGTAAATTTAGGCAAAATGTCACGCGGATTGTTAACAGCCCCACAGCGTGAAATTGTTTAAAAGGGGCGTACTAAAACTCAAGGTGAGCACGACAACGTCAATTGTTACAACAACAAAAAGGATACGGTGGAGCATTCTGCTCTCGCTCGCACAAGCTCATACCCAGTGTGTATGAGGAAAGGTTGCAGCTTAAGATTTTTTGGTTGGAATCATACGTGCAGTAAATCCACCGTTATCTACTCCTGCCTTGTGCCTCGGGCTCTGTGCGGACGAGCTGTCCGAACTCACTGTGGGGACAATTTGGCCACTGCCCAAGGGTGACAATACACCAATTCCAGCACTTTCTGCCAATAATGAGAAACTCAACAATCGGACAGAAAAGTGCACGCATACTGGGAGAAAATACAAGTAACAGATGACTTTCACATCCCAAAGGAGAGGCAAAATCCCACATGCGAGAGCAGGCCCATATCCAGCAGCAGAGTGACAAAAGGGCTCTCTACATTCACAGTGGCTCGTTATGCGATGTGGGGATCTGGACCTGCAGAATGAGCTCTGCTCGCATGTCTTGAAGTTGCTGCGGTCGACGGCATCGGAGAGAGAGATGCACAAGGCCAAGCCTAGGATGGCCAGATGGGCCAGCCAGCTGACACACCTGCACACAAACACAGCGAGTTATGGAGGCAGGCAAAGATTCCGCGTATAGCCTTTATCATGAAACGTCGTGAGAATTTTATTGTGTTATTTTATTATTTTATTCTCATTCTATGTGACTTTACCGAAATAACCAAAGAAGAAGACTTTATCATGCTGTTGGGGTAAACGCTGTTCGCGAGCAACTATGAACGCCGATTTGTATGTTAAACGTCTTTTGCACGATACGTAGCCTGACGTGCTAATCGGAGGTGCGAAATTACACACAAGGGGGTGACTGGCCAACACTCGAGAGCAGTTCAAATATTCGCCACTTATTGGTCGTGAGCGGGAACCGAAGGCGGGTCGCCGGGTTCATAGCGCAGTGGGTTATCCGCTACAGGCAGGCACAAAGGAAAACAGCCCACCACACACCGAAAGCAGAGTTACAATCATACAGGCAAGTAGCGCAATACCTCCTGGAACATAGCCTAACACACACAGACATCCAGCACCACACACAGAGGAATACGTTCCCATTCGTCCCTTAACACAAATAACAATAAAGCATATAATCCCACACACACAGCGCACACAAACTGCCAATCACCACGAAGTGGCAGGGACATTAAAGGCTGCTGGCAGGTCACATAACAGACCTAGGTGTACAAATCGCGTGACTTACAATAACGGACAGTTGCAACACCTGCACTTCCCACTTTTCCATCTGGCTCTGTTTAGCCACCCCGCGGCTCTGCTTGTTGAGAGCGTCACTTCACTTGCCATTGTTGCTGCCAGAGCTACTGTTTGCAACTGTCCAGTCGCGTCTTTCACGAGCTTCCTCCAAAGAGGGCAATCTGGACACATCTGGGACAACTCATTACCAAGTTCACGGAGCTCCAAGGCCTCCTACACTACATAAGCCAATCTAAAATCAAACCTACGCCGTTCCTGTTTAGGCCCTTTTATCCGGCCCCACACAAGCTGCTTGAACATGTGGGCTACATGACCCGACCAAAGCATCCTCGACAAGTGTTGCACACCGATGGGCACGTGACAAAATCTGTCAAAGATGTGCGAGCTAGCTAGCTAGCTGCTCACAATCCAGGCTGGATAAGGCGAGGATTGATGCTTGGTAGCGCCAATCTGAATGTTTCACGCCGAGAAAGTTGTTGCTCTAAGGGGGGGTCCACGTTTCGCAGGCGTAACGAGGGCAAGATTGTTTCCCGAGAAGACCCGGATGTTGGTATGGCGACACGGATCGGGCAGCTCAACTGAACGTGATGCAACCCATGAAAAGATAATGCCGTTCGAAGCGAGATTTCCGCTGCCAAAATAAAGTTAACCATTAGCACACTGCCTGACCAGCCAGATTGTGTTTGACCAGACTGCTGAGGGGGATGAACGGTTGAGAGACGGAGCTGAGTACATAATGTTCTTCAGATGAGTGGACTTTCCGATGACCGATACCAGCGGTGTCAAGATCGGCATCTATGGAGTAGGTTCGTGAATGAAGTTACAGTCCTGGTTAGTTGGAGGCAGTCGCTGTCCAAAAACAATTGAGGGCAGAGGGGATAAGCTCACAACAACGAGCCGAACGCCGGGCGGATAAAACAATACGTTTGCACATTGGGGTAGCACAGGTGGTGGGTGCATCTTTCAAGTCATCTCAGTCAACGCATAGCACCTGCAAGGCCTGTCCCGTGACAGACCCATATACCACCTGGCATTCCGCACTTTACGTGATATAGCCTCAAAGTGCACCTAGCCTGGCTGTATACACGTCATCACCACTTTGTGGTTAAATGGCGGCCGTTTGTGTTGTTGGCGTAGGAGTTGTCCAGTGTTATTAAGATCACTCATTATGCGAGTGTTAATGAGTGCTTGTTGTTAAGAGCAGTGGTTCTTAGTCTTCACCGCAGCTCTCTGGTTCTCAGTCGTTAAAAAATGTACAATGTTAATAGATACATAAATTTGATGAAACAAAGTAGTTGTGCTTACGTGCCCTCAGTCGTTAAGAAATGTACAATGTTAATAGACACATAGGTTTGATGAAACAAAGTAGTTGTGCTTACGTGCCCGCGTGCTTAATACCGTCACAAACAAACTCTGCAATGTCTCGCACCCCCAGAAGGGGCATTTCTGGGGGTGCGTGATGATGTTAAGAACCACTGGTGGAGTGAACATCGGGAGCGCATTAATTAGCGGGGCTGCTGCACTACGAACCCTGCGGCGACCAGAGTTCGATTCCCCGTCACGGCCAACACCGGTGACGGATAACCTGAACCGGTCCTGGGCCTCCTTTAGGTCGACTCAGCCTCAAATGAGTACGCGGTGCGGCGTGTAAACATCGCCACTGGGGAGACAAAGGCGGCCGGGCGTGGTTGCTGCTGGCCACCCCATCCGTGTGCCGTGGCGGCCTTATAAAGATACTCGCTGACAGCACTTGCCCCAACAGTCTGTTAAGGCTACACAGCGAGGGGAGGGGGGGGACGCTCATACATTGACGTAGAGGAGTGAGTGTGTCAATGAGGGAGCCACTGTTGTTGCCTGGAGTACTGCGCGACCCGACTACTGTACAAACATTAACGCACCCGTACAGAACAAGGGGTCGAGTTCATTTTGAAGCACCAAGACCAAACAGCGAGCCAAGCGGTGCGGTAGCGACGGTGCCGTGACACAAACCCCGTTGCGCTAGGCCCAAACACAGCATCGCCTCACAGGGAAAAAAATAATTCGCTTCCCAAAAAAACCCGCCGGCTCTCTCTCCACACACATGAAACCGGGAGGGGGGCCCGTTTCTCCCGACGCTGCTACCGCTGCTGCTGCTGTTGTTTTAAAAGCGCGCAAAGAGACGGCGGCTCCTCACCGGGCGGACTTGTTGTGCCTGCGCGCCGCCATCTTGGGTAGGGGGGTGGTGAAGCGAGGGTGGAGGGGGTGTGCTGGCGTCACGTGGTGCCTGATGTGTGCGGCTCTTATTGGCCGCTCAGGCGAGTGACGCCGAGGTAGCCCCTCCTCCCTCCCCCCTCCCCTCCTCCCTCCCCTCCTCCTCCCTCCCCCCCTCCTCCTCCCTCCCCCCCTCCTCCTCCCTCCCCCCTCTCCTCCTCCCCTCCTCCTCCCCTCCTCCTGCCACCTCACACCCCCTCCTTCTGCCCCCCTCCTCCCTGTTACGTAACAGTCAGATTCTCCAAATTGATTTATACTACAGGGGGAATCCGATGAGCTATAAAGCTATTTTACTCACAGATGTCCAGTTAGGGGGGCACGGGGTAAGAACGTTTACAACTACAAACAGCGCACAAACACAATAGCAGTGCAAAGTACAAGAAAGATAAACAAAGCACCCAACACACATACAATAATATTAAACCATCCCCATCCTATGCCAGGCAAAGCCAACTTGAGGTGTTATCTTATTTTTCAGAAGCGACCTGGCCACCACAAATGATAGCCCAACAAAGCGGCCCCATCATTTGGACATTTATTGCACGAAAATAATCTCAATAATCTAAACGCGTGATGTCGATTCCAAATGTGGAATGAAAAATCGGAGGACCCGGACAGAAAAATGTTGACGCCACCACCACCACCACGGTGAACGAGCGAGAGAGAGACAGGCAAACTCCAAATATACAGCAGCAGCAGGCGTCAGGGTCGGGATCGAACCCACGACCTCCTGCGTACCAGGCGAGGTAGTTAACATCTCACTGCCATAGCGACAATTTAAATAAAGTATACTAGCCGATAGCCCGTCCAAGGATGGTTGTATTGCAGTAAATCTGAAACATTCAAGCGAAAAGCAGACCGCGACGTCATATTAATTGCATCCACTAGTGTGCAATTAGTAAGGGCGCGGTGACACAGACTTATTTCATTGAAAGGGTATAATCCCTTGTTCATCATGACGTCCTTTTTACTTTGATGTCTCAACAACGTTACGGAGATCACGTGACGTGAGGGGGGAGGAGGCGCCCCCCCCCCATGTGGAGTGACGTCACCCGCTCATGATGATTGATTAATGAAGGGGGGTCCATTTAGAGGACGTCACCTGGTCATTATTATTCATTAGGGGGGCTGTTCGATGTGCCGTGCCGTCACCTGATCATGATTATTAATGAGGGGGGGGGGGGTGCTCCATGCGGAGTGACGTCAGCCGACATGATTATTAATGACGGGGGGGCGGGCCCATGTGGAGGACGTAACCTGTTCATGAGTATTAATGAGGGGGGCTGGTCGACGTGGCGTGACGTCACGCGCGTTACACGCTGACGTTCATGGGTAAATATAGTAGTACATATAGTAGTAAATAAGTTTAAATTGGATAATCAGTTCCCAAGCTTCGGAATGGGGCAGTAGAACGACAGCAAAAAATACTCCCAGACTGGGAGTGTGGATTGGACCCCCCACCCCCATTATCGTAAAGAGAAAGGGGACTTCCAAAGGTTCCATCGAGATAAATCTGGCTCAACTCGATACAACAAATTCTCTCTCATGCTTGCGTTATCTTTGCACTGTTCGCCTTTTGGCGTTGGTCTATTTGTGGCGCCACGGTGGCTAGGAGATGTTAACTACCTCGCCTGGTATACAGGAGGTCGTGGGTTCAATCCCAACCCTGACGCCTGCTGCTGTATATTTGGAGTTTGCGGTCTCTCTCTCTCCCCTTGGCCGCGTGGATTTTTCTCCGTGTCCTCCGGTTTTTTACTCCACCTTCAGAAACACGCGTTTAAAGAATTTGACTGCTCTACATTGCCACGCGATAATCCACTTCATTGGGCTAACATTTGTGATCGCCAGGTCGCTTCTGAAAAAGAGCTACATAGCTCAGTGGGGCCTTACCTAGTCAAATAAAAAAGTGTATTTCTAAATAGTTTAACACGTAGGCTTTCGCGACCAATATCATCCATAATAGATGTTTTTTTGTGTCGGGTGGTGGCGGGTTTAACGACACATTTATATATTTACGCGATCTAACCCAAAAAACCTCAGTCATGTATTTTAAATAGTTTAATTGTTGAATTATTAAACTGGATCATGAGCATGACGATGTGCTGATGATGTCATGACATCCACCTACTTCAGGACACGGATCACGGGAAGCGCTGTCAGAGAGCCAAGCTCGCTGTGAAAAAACCTGATGATGCTGCATGTAATCTACAGCGAAACGTCGTACATCATACAGAATAATTTGCATATTTATCCACGTGACAACTTGATTTGATTGGCATTGTCGGGTGATGGAGTGTCTATATTAAAAAAAGGCATGTTGGTCGTGGAAGTCTACGTATAAAATTTACATCGAATTAATTAAATTAACCATACAGCACACGTTATTTGGTGATGCTGCTGCTTTGCCAGTGGTGCACGAACACAGTTTAATTTAAACACATCCAAGCAGCATCATCATAACAAAACTTTGAGTGGCCTGAAACGATAAATATAGGCGACGTTTCGGGCAATGACCCCTCTTCACAGCACATCAAATGATGTGCACCATAAATTTTGATTTAAAGCTTTCGTGACTGCAGTAATTCATATTCTTAGTTTTTTCGGTAAAGTCACGTTGAAGAGAAACAACAAAATAACAAAATATATATAAAACAATAAAAAAAATTCTCACGACGTTTCGACCATAACTCAAACGGTCATCATCAGGTGTGTCGTTTGCATAAATTTATTTTAAAAAACGGCACATTTATTTATTTATAAAAAACGCTGGCGTCACGCGCAGCGACTGGCAGTTTGCCCAGGACTAGTCCATCTATTTTTTTTTTGAAAAGAGGAGGGGGGAGACGAAATTTTTTTATAATGTATGCTGTCTGAAAGCCACTGTAAGCGTGAACAATCAATCAAGAACTAAAATGATTTATCAACCGAGAAGATGGATTCTATCTTAGCAATCATTGGAAAGATTTGATAAATCATTTTAGTTCTTGATTGATTGTTCACGCTTACAGTGGCTTTCAGACAGCATACATTATAAAAAATTTCGTCTCCCCCCTCCTCTTTTAAAAAAAAAAATAGATGGACTAGTCCTGGGCAAACTGCCAGTCGCTGCGCGTGACGCCAGCGTTTTTTATAAATAAATAAATGTGCCGTTTTTTAAAATAAATTTATGCAAACGACACACCTGATGATGACCGTTTGAGTTATGGTCGAAACGTCGTGAGAATTTTTTTTATTGTTTTATATATATTTTGTTATTTTGTTGTTTCTCTTCAACGTGACTTTACCGAAAAAACTAAGAAGATGTGCACCATCTTAAAAAAAACATACATATAAAAAATTCTACTTTGAATCTGTGAATGTATTACTTGACAAACGGATGAATTGACGAATGATGAAATTAATAAATCATGAACGACTCAAAGGCTGGCGACGCGCTCCCCTGCCGCCCTCTGCTGGGAGCGTGCAGACTGCGCGAGCTTCGGGTTCAACTCGAGGTCAGGCACCGTGATGAGGCTTGTATCCATCCATGCATCACTACCATCCAGCCATCATCATCGATCCATGCATCATCACCATCATCCATGCATCATCACCATCATCCATGCATCACTACCATCCAGCCATCATCATCGATCCATGCATCACCATCATCCATGCATCACTACCATCCAGCCATCATCATCGATCCATGCATCATCACCATCCATCCATGCATCATCACCATCATCCATGCATCACTACCATCCAGCCATCATCATCGATCCATGCAACACTTTTACCATCCATCCATGCATCATCATCAATGCATCATTACCATCCAGCCATCATCATCCATGCATCATCAGCATCATCATCATCATCGATCCATGCTCCGCACTCTTAAAGCCTCTGATGTTTTCGCGGAAGTTTGCAGGTAGGGGGGCAAAGAAGTCGTTTCTTTGTTGCCATTTCTCTTCTAAATCACACACACGTTTCATGTTTTTTTTTTACAAAGGAAAGCACATCGTCATTATTTTTCCACGTTTGGATATTTACGTTTTCACGAACAAATGTTGAAAAAGGCCTGAATTCGCATCTTAACTCGGTTAGTTGAGTGGCATTCTTTGTCACGAGATCATAATCCTGAAGGTCAATTAGGGCCCCCCCCCCCCCATCATCACCATCAATGACGATCATCAACGATCACCATCAATGATCATCGTCCCATCAACGTGGGGAAATGTTTCACACGCGGCGGAATTGAACCACTTGGTAAACAAGTAGCGACAGATCACCCTGTTGTTGACAAACACGGCCCGGCCGCCGTGGTAGCATTTACTTTCCACCACTGGCTCTGAGCCTCCCCCCCCCCCCCCCGTCAATCCACTGCTGGATGAGCGCCTCCCAACACCATGAGCGGGCCGTCGGGCTTATGAGGCCACATGTCACGCTGCGTCGTCAGTGCTGGTTGTCCAAGGGCAGGTAGCGTTGAGACGCGAGAGCCATAGAAGCAGTACAGGACAAGAGTGGATTGTCCTGCAAATCCGTCTGCAGGATCCGCCTCCAACGGAGCACAGCTCCACGGCGCGTCTCCTGACGGCCGTCCCAGGCGCAGGCTCCCACCTGCTTAGCTTCCGAGATCCGACTGCGTCTGGCGTAATCTCCCGGCCGATTTGGTCGACGTGAGATCGTAGGCACCGCCCCCAAAAAGAACCCAGAGGGATGCCAGTGGGCAGCAGCAGCAGCAGCGCGCGCGGGGACTGTGCGCACAGAGCGGACCTCGAGAGGGTTCACGTGTAGACGTCGAGCCTCGCGCGAACAAAAACAAAACACATTCTCGACGCTTCAAAACGCAGCGGTTTTACTGATTTATTTATCAAATAGGGGTGTGGGAGTGGGGAAAGAGAGACACGGTGGCACGGATGGTACACGTGATTTGGGAAAGTAAACTATATCACCCCCCCCCCCCCCAAAAAAAATGCCGTGCTGCCACACGAGGTCTCCTCCACCGCGTGAGAGAGAACGTTGTCTGC